ACTATCTAACGAGACCACTGATCCATCAAATGAAAGCAATAATCAATGTACTGTACTCTAAAATAAATAAGACAGTATTGTAGATGATAATTTTTTTTAAAAAAATCTTACCTGCACTGATGACAGTCATTGTTTGTATGGGGGGCTTTTATCCATTTCCGCAGTCAATCAATCAATCAATCAATCAATCATAAAACAAAAAACAGGCCACAGACACAAAAATGAAAAAGCCACACAAACAAAAACGCAAAAAATAGCAAAAACAAAAGCACCAAATATCACCTCAGAAAACTGCAATCAAAAACAGAAGGCTTTAATTATGATGGGGAAGACTTAAATTTGCTGCTTATCTGTTAAACGGGAGGGGGAAAGACTTAATTACTATGTGGGGGACTCAAATTACCGTAACTGCACAACAGTGAAAACGGAAGCTCAGGAGCACGTTCAGCTTCCGGGGCAAAGTTCAAAAACCAGAACACCTACTTCCAGGTTTTCAGCGTTCGGGTTCCAAGTTGTTTGGGAACTAAGCTGTTTGAAAACCGAGGTGCCACTGTTTCATAAAGACACACAGTCTCTGCTGTGCCTCACTTCTAAAAGGAAACACAGACCCTGAGTAAGTGCCCGGAACCCCTGGGATCTCACACCACGCAGAAATCAGGACTGCATGTAACAATGGTTTCCTTTCTTCCAGTGCAAGAAAACAGGAGGCAGTTGTGGTTATTTTCCTCTTCCTGTTGTGTGGCTGAAACAAAGAAGCTTTGCAGTCATCCAGAGCAGCTACTACTCAGAGCGGTGGCCCACAGACTTGTGCCAGTCCACCAAGGACTGACTGCTGGCCCACAAGAACCCCACCACAACCCAGGTTGGGTGGGATGTTGCAAAGACCAAATATGGTACCAGTTGCTGGCAAAAAGAATTTTTGGTTCTCCACATCAGATAGTACAATGAGAAACACTGATCTAGTCCACCTTGAGGGAGGGGATGCACTGATAGGGGGCCAAACCTCCACATGTGGTGGACCTGCAAATCTGTACATAAATTCCTGGAGAGGAGTTTTATAGGGAATGTCTGAGATTGAAGGCAGAGCAATGAATATCCATGCCAGGCTATGTTTGTCATCAACATTCAAAGATGGCAAGAATAATAATAATAATAATATACCCCATCCTCCCCAGCCAAGACCGGGCTCAGGGGGGCTAACACCCGATATACAGTAAAAACAATTGATTGAAATACAACTTAAAAACAAGATTGAAATACAACATTAAAACATTAAAATACAGCCTCATTTCAGTGGAAACTCAAATCAAAAACTTTTTGGGGATGAAAACGTCAAGTCTTCACCAAGGCCAACTATCCAGACTGGTCCTATGTGGACCAGAAAAAAACTCCCCAAATAGGAGTTCCATAATTTATTTCCATTACTTAATAAAGTTCAAAAGAGAGAAGACAGCACACGAGGGATCTGTGCAAAGAGTGGGGGTTGTTCCAGCCGGCGAGCAAAGCGCTGCCACGATTTGCTGCCTCTCCGCTCCGCCGCGCGTCTTTGCGCATAGGAGGAAATCCCTGCCAAGAGACTTTTCCCTCGAAGCGCAAAACCCGCCCGGCTTGCGCGCGCCCGGCCGGCGATGTCCAAACACAAGGCGCGCCCGTGGCCTCTCCAAACATCGCGTCTCCTGCTGCTGTTGCTGTTGCAGATTTGCTGCCTTTGCTCATGCTAATTTCACTCTTCAATTATAAGCGGCTCGCTTTTTCTCGTTTTAATAAAAACGAAAGCATCCGGAAACGCCGCGGTGCCCGGGAAAACGGCAGATCTGACATAATTAAAAAGTGGCTTCGATCAGGCTGTTTTCCTAATGGTTTGTCATATCAAGCAGCAGCTCCCAGAGAGAGAGCGCCCCCGCCCCACTCCGACTCCCAGCCCCCTGAGGCATCATTTACATTTCTTAATAACCCCTCATTAATATTCATGACGTGGGGAGGGCCACGACGGCTGAGTGCACACCACTAATTCAATTTCGCCGAGCCTCCGTGTGTTTAGTTAATCACCGGGGGACCTGGGTGGCTCAGTACAATTATTTATTCGGAATGAGATCTGGAGGCATCGGCATTGCGAAAGGACCCGAGGAATACAATGCAGAAAAAAAGGGGATTCTCCGCCTCATCCCTGCAGGCACCTCGCCTGGTCCCCAGGAAGAGCTGGAGAGAAAAGCCCCTGTTTCTCTGCCGGCAGTTTTGTGGTAAGAAGTGGGGAGTCCTCTCCATCTTTACAGCCCTTTGGACGCAACGCGCAGCTGCAAGAAAACGTCCAGGTAACCAACGGCTGGCTATAGGGGGTGGCCAGGTGGCTTAGGTGCACAGTCCTCCCCTTGAGGTTGGGAACAGGAAAACAAAAGGAGAGCCTGCTGCGTCAGGCCGATGGCTCGTCCAGTCCAGCATCTTGTTCTCACAGTGGCCAACAATGTTTAGGCAACAGGGTGACCATATGCATACGTAATAGACAACCTTTATAGAATTCCTTCAATCAATTGTTGTTGTTGTTGTTGAGTCGTTTAGTCGTGTCTGACTCTTCGTGGCCCCCTGGACCAGAGCACGCCAGGCACTCCTGTCTTCCACTGCCTCCCACAGTTTGGTCAAACTCATCTTCGTAGCTTCGAGAACGCTGTCCCACCATCTCGTCCTCTGTCATCCCCTTCTCCTTGTGCCCTCCATCTTTCCCAACATCAGGGTCTTTTCCAGGGAGTCTTCTCTTCTCAGGAGGTGGCCAAAGTATTGGAGCCTCAGCTTCAGGATCCGTCCTTCCAGTGAGCACTCAGGGCTGATTTCCTTAAGAATGTTGGCAAGGTGATGTCTCTGCTTTTTAAGATGCTGTCTAGATTTGTCCTTGCTTTTCTCCCCAAAAGCAGGCGTCTTTTAATTTCGTGGCTGCTGTCACCATCTGCAGTGATCATGGAGCCCAAGAAAGTAAAATCTCTCACAGCGAACATAACAAGTTCAAAATGAAATCTTAGTCTCAAAGTCTCTGAAAATCTTTAAATGAAGCGAGGTACCAAACTTTGAATGATGAAAGATAAGCTGTAGAGCTTTGTGTATTCAGCAAATATAATGTCCAACACTGAACAGAGATTCCGGATATTGACCGCTGTTTCGTAGATCTTCATCAGCGTGGTGGGAGAATATAGAATTGTTTCATGAACCCATCTTATTTCGAATGAATATATCTGAATGAAAATATCAAATGCTGTGGAGCAGTGCTCATGTAATAAGATTGTCTATTACCTGTGTATATGGTCATCGTGTTGCCTAAACATTGTCGACGTTCTCTTTTGCAACACAGGCTTTTGTTTGGATACTCCCAGTGGCCAGCCTGACGCCTGTGGGAAACCAGCAAGCACAAGAGCAACTCTCTCTCCCCCTGTGGTTTCCAGCAACCGGAGATGTCTGCAAACATGACATGAAGGATGGCAACATCAACTTTGCCCTGTGGGAATGCCTTGTGGAGGACTGCAGTGCCTGGAGACAGTCCTGCTTCCATAGCAGTGACCAGAGGAGGAATGACCACTGGGAGGAGCGCAAAGAGAAGAAGCGCCCTGGTACATCTCCAGCAGCACAACCAGACGCCTTCCTCTGCCCCAGCTGCAACTAAACATGTCTCTCCCATATCCGTCTCTACAGCCACAGCAGGCGATGCAACCTTTCACCAATGTGACTTCTCCCTTGAAGGAGCACTCCTCCATTGTCTCCCAGTTCAGATGGAGGCCAACTGTTCAAGTCATCATCATCATTTAATTTGTATGCCGCCTTTCCATTGTTAAAACAATGCTCAAGGCGGCTTACAGCATGACAAGATTTACATAATTACCAACATAACAAAAGTCATAAACAATAAATAAAACACATCAAAAAGCACACAATCAAATGAAAAACAATTTCCACATAAATCATAAAATCTAAAACTAAGAATACAGTGGATGCTCGGGTTGCGAACATGATCCATGCGGGAAGCACATTTGCAACCCACAGTGTTCGCAACCTGCAGTGCTGCATCTGCACACGCATGGGTGATGATTCGACGCTTCTGCCCATGCACAAAGCACGATTTAGTGCTTCTGCGCATGTGCAAGCGTCGAAACCCGGAAGTAACCCGTTCCGGTATTTCTGGGTTCGGTGCAGTGCGCAACCCGAAATCGCGCAACCCGAAGCGTATGTAACTCGAGGTATGACTGTAAAGCATTAATATCAATCAAAATTTAAAATGACATAGATTAAAAAAAAAGGCAATTTGAAAACAAGGAGAAAACAAAAACGGAGCCCTCTCTGCCCAGCAGCAGCAGCAGCAGCAGCAGCAGCAGCAGCACTCCTTTATGGAGCCTGTCAGGCCCTGCCCCAAGCCAGGTGGAGAGAATCAGGGCAAGGCCCTTCTGGCTCCCAGCAGGTCAGAAGCATCGCTGCCTCCAGCTGTGGGGCAGAGCAGAGCTATCCTGGCCAGCTGCCGTCCATAGCCGCCTCCTCCTCCATGAATTCGTCCAATCCTCTTTGAAAACCTTCCAAGTTGGTGGTCCTCACTGCCTCTTGTGGGAGGGAGTTCCATAGTTTAACTGCGTGAAGGAGGACTTCCTTGGATCTGTTCTGAATCTCCCAGGCCCTAGTCCAGCACTCTAACCACTGCACCACAACACAACTCTCAAGCTCCAGAATATGGGTGATCCCAGAATATAGAAGCAGGATAAGCACCCCAGAAAATCGGGGTGGGAAAGTGAAGACTGCTATAGGGCCATCCTGGGAGGGAATATGCCTTTTGAGTTGCAAGGGCAGCTTCTGAACGATGTTCTGCTTCCAGGCAAGCTAATTTTGGGCTTCATTGGAAGCTGTTTCCAGGCAGCCACATCTGAGCCTCTCTTTCCTGGCATGCATTACATGGGGGGAGCCTCTCAGTACCGAGCCCCCCCCCCCAATTTCAGCACCATGGCTGCCCCCGCACTGCTTCCACTTGCTCACTGGGGACTGTCAGAGGCCCTGACAAACAGCTCGGCGGCTGCTTCATAATGCCGCCAATGATGGAGTTGTGGAGGCAACGGCAGGGAGAGGAGCCAGGGGTTGGGGGCTCTTGTCATAACTTTATTTGTGGGAGACGAGAGCTTTGTCGGGGGTTTGATGGATGGGCCAGAAGCAGCCTGCGAGGCGCATCCCCTGCGTGGCTCGTCATCGGCACAGCGGAGCAACCTTGCAGCTGAAAAATGAGCTGGGGGTTGAGAGAGAAAGAGAAGACAATGGCTGCAGTTGCTGTTGCAGTTGCTGGTTTGTTTGCACAAAGGAAAGCAGCGCTGATATGGCGCCTTGCAAATCCAGCTTATCTAAATTGGGATAACATGATCCTATCTATATCTATCATCTATCTATCTAGCTATATCTATCTATCATCTATCTATCTATCTATCTATCTATCTATCATCTATCTATCTATCTATCTATCTATCTATCTATCTATCTATCTATCATCTAATATCTATCATCTAAGGTTAAAGGTAAAGGGACCCCTGACCATTAGGTCCAGTCGTGGTCGACTCTGGGGTTGCGGTGCTCATCTCACTTTATTGGCCGAGGGAGCTGGCGTACAGCTTCCAGGTCATGTGGCCAGCATGACTAAGCCGCTTCTGGCGAACCAGAGCAGCGCATGGAAACGCCGTTTACCTTCCCGCCGGAGTGGTGCCTATTTATCTACTTGCACTTTGATGTGCTTTCGAACTGCTAGGTTGGCAGGAGCAGGGACCGAGCAATGGAAGCTCACCCGTCATGGGGATTCGAACTGCCGACCTTCTGATCAGCAAGCCCTAGGCTCTGTGGTTTAACCCACAGTGCTACCCACGTCCCGTTCATCTATCATCTATCTATCATCTATCTATACCAGTGGTTACCAAACTTTTTCAGGTCAATGCCCTCTCAGTTGCACAGACTCCCACTTAGTGAGTTTCACCCCACCCTATAAAAAGAATAGTTAACAACCCACTGAGGAATAAAATGCAAAATAGCAACAATTGCACATCCAGTTAAAATGAGTTCAGTTAATTCAACAAAACTGATGGACTCGATCCAGCGATACTAGGTTTTCAAAGCCTGTTGGTCATTTACAGCTTCACCGCCCCCCCGCCCCTCCCTCTTAGCGCCCCCCCAGCCACGCAACTGCCCTCCATCGGGTGTTACCACCCAATTTGGGAACCACTGGGCTAAACCGAAACCACCTCACATCCAGCTGTAACCAAGCCAAAGTCCAAAGCATGAAGACCATAGCTGTCAAGTGTCCCTTATTTGAAGGGACAGTCCCTTATTCCAGCGCCATGTCCCGCTGCTGTCCCTTATTGATAGCTGTCCCTTAAATTATGTCCCTTAAATTTCAAAGGAAGCAGCTCCTCTCCCTCCCTCCCTGCCGGCCAGGGAGGAGGGAGGCTCCAACTGTGTTGCTTGGCTGTGTTGCTCACCCAATAAGAAGTCTAAGAACGACTGGGGGGTGGAGCTTGCATGCCTTGTGTGTGGCTAGATAATGCAAGCTGAGGAGGTTTTTGAATGCTGGACGCCATTTTGTTGCACGTGCTGCTGCAAACTTTGCAGTGCAAAGCCAGGCCAGGGAGCCATCTTAAGTTGAGGCTGCATAGGCCTTGTGGTGCATGTGATTCAGATTCTATTCAGTTGAACCTCTGGTTACAAAGTTGGTTGGACAGTGTTCTCAAAGCTACCAGCATGAGTTTGACCAGACTGCAGGAGGACAGGAAGACTGGAGTGCCTGGAACAGGTGAGGCTGCAGGTCCCTTATTTTGGCTGCTGGTCCCTTATTTTCAAATCTGTAAGTTGACAGCTATGGTTAAGACCCCAGGAGATCTCGCTTCTCCAATAGTCACAGCTTTGGTTCCAGCACAGAGCCAGCAGATCTCTGGGTCTCCAGATTCCACCTTTGCTTCCAGCCCAGCTCTCTCACACCTGTCGGGCTCTTGTTCTCCTACCTAGCAGCTAGGGGAGGGGAGGGGAGGAAAGACCCACCCTTAAGCTTGGAGGGCCCAATCTCTTAGTTGTAGCTCCTGCAGCCTTAGCTCATTATTTTGGGGTGCTGATGAGGACCCTAAAGTGGCCAGCTAAGGTCACTGCCTTTGTTATGTACTGAGTTGAATAGGATCCAGAAGGCAGCAGTCTGATTGGTCCTAGAACAATAGGGTCCAGAAGGCAGCAGTTTGATTGGTCCTAGAAAAATAGGGTCCAGAATGCAGCAGTCTGATTGGTCTTAGAACAATAGGATTCAGAATGCAGCAGTCTGATTGGTCCACAGGAGCCACCCAATCCAGCTCCAGGTGGAAGTGAATCCGCAACCTGATTGGCCTACAGGTGAATCCCGGAATTAGCCAATCACGTAGGGCCCATTGTGTAAATAATGTATATAAAGCAGACATTCTGGGGGAACTTCCATTCCTCACTACTATGAGCTGAATAAAGAGCAGGAAATCCACTCTCGACTCTGAGTATATTTCAGCCTTAGAAAGAGATTTGTCTGACCAGTGCAGCAAAGTCCTCCATTAGATTCCCACCCCCACTGGGTACGGAACCCCAAGAACTGGAAGGAGCTCAGGGCACCATTCAGACTGACCCCTCCCAAACCCCAAGCGCCTGGAAAACTTGTGCAAGATATTTTAATCTGTGTTTTCTTCTTACATGTACACTTCCCTCTGTGCTGTATCAGGCTCTATGTGTTTAAAAAATGATTTAATGAGAGAAGACATGTGGTTGCTTGGTGCCCCCTCCCATCGCCTCCTTTTTACCTGAGGCTACAGTTCCACCCTAGCAGTCAGCCAGCCTGCAACCTTCTCCCAGCCGCCCCTCCTGTTTTCTCCAGCTTCTCCTCGTCTTCGTTTGCTTTCTGTATTTGCCTTTAATTCAATATTTTGTCCCCATGCTCCATCTCCCTTTATTGGATAACACTGCTCTGTTATTGAATCCTCCCTCGCAATCGTGGGGGAGAGAATTTAGTTTCCCAGGCAGCAATAAAGCCGGATTGGAGTCTTCGGAGGCCAGGAACGGCGCTACAGTTCGGAGGTGTGTGAGAGAGGAGCCCCAGGGGCTTCTGGGAAAGCCAGACCTCTGCAAGGTCTTGTCTGTTTTTCTCAAGTTAGCAAATTGAGAAAGCAGGAAAGAGCCATCGGAGACAGCCTTCTCCAACCGCAGTGATAACTTGTTTGAGGATTCCAACCCACACCCAATTTGTTCATTGTAAAGGTAAAGGTAAAGGGACCCCTGACCATTAGGTCCAGTCGTGGCCGACTCTGGGGTTGCGGCACTCATCTCGCTTTATTGGCCGAGGGAGCCGGTGTACAGCTTCCGGGTCATGTGGCCAGCAGGACTAAGCTGCTTCTGGCGAACCAGAGCAGCACACGGAAATGCCATTTACCTTCCCACCAGAGCGGTACCTATTTATCTACTTGCACTTTGAGGTGCTTTCGAACTGCTAGGTTGTGGCAGGAGCAGGAACAGAGCAATGGGAGCTCACCCCCGCGTGGGGATTCGAACCGCCGACCTTCTGATTGGCAAGTCCTAGGCTCTGTGGTTTAACCCATAATGCCACCCGCGTCCCTTGTTCATTGTAGCCATCATCAAAAACATTTATATACCGCTTAATATGCAAAATCCCTAAGTGGTTTGCATAAAACACAGCAAGATGATTTTTTAAAAGAAAATAACATAAGCAACAATTAAAACCAAAAAGGCAAAGTAAAAACAGAGAAGCTGTCAATAAAAAAATCATTTAAATATCAATAAATAAAGCAGAACAATGTGGTGATTAGTGTATATGCAGGAGGTGTGGTGCTGTGTGTTAAAACATAGAGCCTAGGACTTGCCGATCAGAAGGTCGGTGGTTCAAATCCCCACAATGGGGTGAGCTCCCATTGCTTGGTCCCTGCTCCTGCACACCTAGCAGTTCGAATGCACGTCAAAGTGTAAGTAGATAAATAGGTACTGCTCCGGCGGGAAGGTAAACGGCGTTTCCGTGCGCTGCTCTGGTTCGCCAGAAGCGGCTTAGTCATGCTGGCCACATGACCCGGAAGCTGTACGCCGGCTCCCTCGGCCAATAAAGCGAGATGAGCACCGCAACCCCAGAGTCGTCCGCAACTGGACCAAATGGTCAGGGGTCCCTTTACATTTACCTTAGGAGGTGTCAGACTTCCCCTCATTCCTTCCATGTGCTCAACACACACAAATTCACCTCCCTCTCTGTGACTGAAGAGATCTGCAAATGCCCCCCAGAAGCCTGGCTCATTTGAAGCCTCCACCCAAAGGTCCCACTACAAATCCACCCCCAGGCTGTGCACAAATTTCAGCTTGGCAACTGCAGGAGAAACCTTGACTGTCCTTCCAAAGAGGAATGCCAGCCAGCAGACCTGCAAGGGCCCAGGTGAGGTCCTGGTGATGAGTTGCTGGGCAATGCTGTACGTTTGGGTGGCATCACTTGCCTGGTCCAGGCGGCAGATTCGAGGCTAGATTCTGTGGACGACACAGGAGGCTGCTATCTGGCACTGCCAATGATTGCCTACAAATTTAACAAATATAATACTAGAGTGATAATAACGATAAAGGACTTCAGCCTTGACGGATCCATTGTGATGGTCTCCCTTGGGAGGTGGTGCAGTCTCCTTCCTTGGAGGTTTTTGAGTGGAGGTTGGATGGCCATCTGTCATGGATGCTTTTGCTGTGATTCCTGCATTGCAGGGGGTTGGACTAGATGACCCCCGGGTCCCTTCCAGCTCTAAGATTCTATGAACTAGAGGAGCTATCGCAGAAACATCCACTCAGATGGGTCAATTGATTCTTTTGCTTGTGGTGTTACATCTGCTGGGCTTTCGGTTCTGTTTTGCAGTACAGACCTTGGTTCTCAAACGCCTTGGTACTCAAACAACTTGGAACCCAAACAGTGCAAACCCAGAACTAAGTGTTGTGGTTTGCGAACATTTTTCGGAAGCTAAACGTGCTCCGTTTTGAGTGCCACACTTCTGTTTTGAGTGTTATGCTGAGGTCTGTCTCTTTTTGCTATTTATTTTATGATTTTGTGGCTATTTTATGTTTTGTTTTTGTGACTGTGTGGAACCCAGTTCAGTTCATCTAATAATTAATTGATTGTGTGACTGCAGTACATTGCTTATTGCTTTCATTTTATGGAGCAAGGGTCTCGTTAGATAGGAAAAAATCATGTTAAAATGCTGCTTTAGGGTTGTTTTTTAAGTCTGGGACGGATTAATCTGTTTTGCATGACTTTCTATGGGAAAGCATGCCTTGGTTTTGGAACGCTTTGGTTTTGGAATGGACTTCCGGGATGGATTAATTTTGAGAACCAAGGGACCACTGTAACTCTTTCCCTTTTTACTCTTGTGCAATGCCTCTTTTACATTTCCTAGGCGGCCATTCTAAGAAAAGAGAAGAAGAGCCTGCTGGATCAGGGCCAATGGCCCATCAAGTCCAGCATCCTGTTCTCAGAAGTGAACAACCAGATAGATGCCCATTGTGGGAAACCTGCAGGCAGGATCCGAGCGCAAGAGCCCTCTTTCTTCCCGTGGTTTCCAGCAACTGGGACTTGGAAGCAATAGCAGGGTCCACTTACCTTAACTGAACAGGACACGGGTCTGAGCACATCATGCGTAGGCTTGTGCTGTCAAGTGGTTATTCTCTATTTATTTGTGTACAAATTATTGTGCCTTCTTGCTCAGCGCTAGTCATCAAGCTTCCCAGTAACTCTTCAACATTCCCAAGAATACACTGATTTCCGCAGCGTAAGTGCACTGGCGTCCCTTGGTCACAGCTGGCTCTATCTGGATGCTCAATAAAAAGGATGATGCAATAATTATGTGCCATTTATCTCTTCTTTAGAGCAGAGATTTGTGGAGTTAATTTCATCCTGACTGGTTCGTCGTCAGCTACACTGAAACGACTGGGGCGCTGGCTGAAGGCGTCTGTCAAAAAATTATATATGTTTTTAATTTCAGGCCTATCTTTCAAGAAAACTCCCACAGAGATAACTGTGCGCACTCTGCTGTTAATGATACAGGAGTTTGTTTGCTTGCTCGTTTTCCTAAAGGGGGTGGGAGAAAAGACATACTACACAATGTTTTGCAGGATTCCGTGCAATTAGCTTTCCTTTCCAATTTGTTTTTGCTTTTCACTACTTCAGAACTCCTGCAAATGAAACACATGGATCACATCTTTGGTTTAACCGAGGAGTTTTTCTCCACTTTCCTTGAGCAAGGAGGGAGTTCTCAGCGTAGCGGTTTGCAGAATCATTTTCCAGCAGAGAACACATAGCGCACTTTTGCAAGAAATAGTAGTGGGGTTTATTTGCAAATCTGGAGAAGGTGGATAGGAAAAAGTTTTTTTCCCTCTCTCATAGCATTAGAACTTGTGGACATTCAGTGAAGCTGAATGTGGGAAGAGTCAGGTTGGATAAAACAATGACTTTTTTCACGCAGCTTGTAGTTAAAACGGTGGAAATCACTAAAACGACACCTTTCTTTTTGAAAATTCAAGTAGGTAGCCATGTTGGAGCAATGACAAACCTAGACAGCTTCTTAAAAAGCAGAGGCATCACCTTGCCGACAAAGGTCCGTATAGTTAAAGCCATGGTTTTCCCAGTAGTGATGTATGGAAGTGAGAGCTGGACCATCAAGAAGGCCGATCGCCGAAGAATTGATGCTTTTGAATTCTGGTGCTGGAGGAGACTCTTGAGAGTCCCATGGACTGCAAGAAGATCAAACCTCTCCATTCTTAAGGAAACCAGCCCTGAGTGCTCCCTGGAAGGACAGACCCTGAAGCTGAGGCTCCAAGACTTTGGCCACCTCATGAGAAGAGAAGACTCCCTGGAGAAGACCCTGATGTTGGGAAAGATGGAGGAAAGATGGAGAAAAATAATGTATTTCTCTTAAATACATTATAGATTCCCCCCCTTCCTTCTTAAAGTTCTTCTCTTCCTGGTTTCCGATTTTCCCAGTCAGTTTCGCCATTTTGGCATAATCCATCATCTTCATCAGCCATTCCTCTCTGGATGGAACTTCCACACCTGGGATTTTCTACATGCAAAGTGTGCTCTGATACAAATTGAGACACAACATCTGCATATACAGAAGCTCCCCCACCCATCAAGGGAGGTATCGCCCCCACCCTATCTTTGCTGAATTTTAATGTGTAGCTTTATTATTTATAAAGTGGGTGTGTGGTTTTTATTTTTTCATAGGTGTTATGAAATATTAATGTATCATATGACACCCCCTCTTTCCCCTTCATCTCCTTCTGTTTTTGGTTCTCCCCTTTGGGTGACAAGCAGCCAACAAATTTAAGGCATGCACACATCATTTTATTCGGATGCTGCCCTTCCATAGTTAAAAACCACACCGTAGGCAGCTTACAACATGAAAAAAACACACATAATTACGCACATAACAGAAGTAGCCATAAACAACAAATAAAACACTGACAGGCACACAACAGATTTCCATATATATCATGTTGTTGTTTTTTAGTCGTTTATTCGTGTCCGACTCTTCATGACCCCCTGGACCAGAGCACGCCAGGCACTCCTGTCTTCCACTGCCTCCCGCAGTTTGGTCAAACTCATGCTGGTAGCTTCGAGAACACTGTCCCACCATCTCGTCCTCTGTCGTCCCCTTCTCCTTGTGCCCTCCATCTTTCCCAACATCAGGGTCTTTTCCAGGGAGTCTTCTCTTCTCCTGAGGTGGCCAAAGTCTTGGAGCCTCGGCTTCAGGATCTGTCCTTCCAGGGAGCCCTCAGGGCTGATTTCCTTCAGAATGGAGAGGTTGGATCTTCTTGCAGTCCATGGGACTCTCCAGAGTCTCCTCCAGCAAGGTGATGTCTCTCGGCAAGGTGATGTCTCTGCTTTTTAAGAGGCTGTCTAGCTTTGTCATTGCTTTCCTCCCAAGAAGCAGGCGTCTCTTAATCTAGATCTAAAACAATGATAGGAAAGATTAAAATCAGCAGCAGCAGCCTCCCCTCCACCCAACAAAACCGCCTAAACAAGATGCAGGATAAGAAAATAATCATAATCATAATGATGGGGAGGGGAAAAAACCTTGGGAGCCGCTGCTCTAACCGCTGGGCCACACCGCCTCCCTCGCAAGGAGGGCGGGGGAAAGGAATGCCGCGAGCAAGCGCGCCGATTCCCAGCCCGGCCGCCAGGGGCGCCAGACGCAATAGCCGCCGCCGCCGCAGCAGCTCCGCCTTCGGCCGAGCGACGCCTCCACGTGCGACGCGAGCGCGCTTTACGGCAGCCGTCGCACCCCTTCTCCCTCCCCCGCCCCTTCCGGGCGCTTTGCGGCAGCTTCGCGGCCTTTTGCGACAGTCCGGAAGAAGAAGGCGGCGGCGAGAGAAGCGCCGGTTCGCGGCGGGGAAGGGGCGCCGCCGGCATGGACGTCGGGGAGCTGCTCAGCTACCAGGTCAGCGGGGGCGAGGAGGCGCCGGAGGTGTCGCCATGGTTACCGGCCGGGGGAGGGGGCTGGGGGGGCTGCATCATGTCTTGTTGTTTCGGGGTGGGGGAGGGGCCCGTTCTTGTCACTTGTTTTTTTTTTTTTAATGATATTTATTAAAGTTTCAACAAATACAAGAGCAAAAAAAAAGCAGGAATACAAGAAAGTACAAAATACAGAAAAAAGAATAAGATTTTTAAAATATAACACAAAAAAAGAAAAATAGAGAAAAACATACAAAATACAGTTAAAAACACATTAACTTTCCATAATATACCTTCCCTAGCCTTATTTCCCCGGACCTCCTCATACCTCCCTTTTTTGTATTCCAGTTTGGTTTGTTAGTTCAGCAAATCCTTACCATTAAGCTTTTACCCATTTGTAAACCTTTTTTCATATCGCTTAAAGCATTGCAGCTGGAAACCACTTAGTTTCTACCTAACATCCTTCTAAAGTTCATTAATTTTACAATATTTCTGTAAATAGTCTTTAAATTTCTTCCAGTCTTCTCTCACCGACTCTTCTCCCTGGTCTCGGATTCTGCCAGTCATTTCTGCTAATTCCATGTAGTCCATCACCTTCATCTGCCATTCTTCCAGAGTGGGTAAATCTTGTGTCTTCCAATACTTTGCAATGAGTATTCTTGCTGCTGTTGTGGCACACATAAAAAAAGTTCTGTCCTTCTTTGGCACCAATTGGCCGACCATGCCCAGAAGAACTGGGCATCTTCTGGGCTGGTTCTTGTCACTTGTTAAATGTACAGGTAAGATCGCCTTTCGCCCGAAGATCACACAGGGCGGCTCACGACATGGAAATCATCATCTTCATCACCATCACTTTTAATTTGTGTACCTTCCAGTAGCGCCTTAGAGACCAACTCAGTTTGCTCTTGGTATGAGCTTTCGTGTGCATGCACACTTCTTCAGAGACACTGAAACAGAAGTCACCAGACCCTTATATATAGTGAGAGGGTGGGGAGGCGTCTTACTCAGAAGGGGGGTGGGAATGGGGGACTGGCTGATAGGTGTGGTAAACCTGTTGACGACTTTTAACAACTGCAATTGGTCTTACAGGAAAAAGCAAGGGGTGAGATGGCTAAAAATAGCTATATCATGTATAATGAGATAAGAATCCAATGTCTCTATTCAGACCAGGTCTCTCCATGGTTTTAAGTTTGGTAAAAGGTAAAGGGACCCCTGACCATTAGGTCCAGTCATGGCCGACTCTGGGGTTGCGGCGCTCATCTCACGTTATTGGCCGAGGGAGCCGGCATACAGCTTCCAGGTCAGGTGGCCAGCATGACGAAGCCGCTTCTGGCGAACCAGAGCAGCGCATGAAAACGTCGTTTACCTTCCCGCCGGAGCGGCACCTATTTATCTACTTGCACTTTGACGTGCTTTCGAACTGCTAGGTTGGCAGGAGCAGGGACTGAGCAACGGGAGCTCGCCCTGTCACGGGGATTCGAACCGCCAACCTTCTGATCGGCAAGTCCTAGGCTCTGTGGTTTAACCCACAGCGTACAAGTAATTAATTATTATTATTATTAGAAGTTAGAAGTCTGTGGGGTGGGGGTGTGGAACGGAGATGTCTTATCCAGCCTACTCTCTTTGTACCCATAACAGATCTTGGCAGGCAGGAAGGAGCAGGGGGATGGTATGTTGTTGTTTTTTGCAGCATGGAATAAAAGCATGATCACCAGCAAATGCCTGCACATTGGACGTAAGTGTTCATCGAGGGACCATAACTCCATGGCAGAGCACATGCTCTGAATACAGAAGCGCAGTCCCTGGCAGCAGGTGGGGTGCATAGCCAGTGACAGCAACAGCAGACAATAGTGGCCTAGTTGGACCAATAGTCTGACCTGATGTGAAGCACCACTGCAATGCCCAGTGGGAAACTCAAGCTATCCTACTTCCCCACCAATTACTCTGTAAGGTAAAGGTAAAGGGACCCCTGACTGTCAGGTCCAGTCGCGGATGACTCTGGGGTTGCGGCGCTCATCTCACTTTATTGGCCGAGGGAGCCGGCGTACAGCTTCCAGGTCATGTGGCCAGCATGACTAAGCCGCTTCTGGCGAACCAGAGCAGCGCACGGAAACGCCGTTCACCTTCCGGCCTGGAGCGGTACCTATTTATCTACTTGCACTTTTAACGTGCTTTCAAACTGCTAGGTTGGCAGGAGCAGGGACCGAGCAACGGGAGCTCACCCCGTCACGGGGATTGGAACCGCCGACCTTCTGATCGGCAAGCCCTAGGCTCAGTGGTTTAGACCACAGCGCCACCATAACAACCTAATGCAATACAAACGTGATAATGAAGCATAACTTTAAAATAAGCAACCTGCGTCAAATAAAGTAACATTCAGCAATCATTAGAATACTATAGAATAATAATATTTTGTTATAATAAAATATTTAAAACCTTTTTGAAGCATTTTCTGGCCATTGGTGTTTATTTCATAAAATTTATACACTGCTTGATTGTAAAAAAACAAACAAACTCAAAGCAGTTTTAAAATGTTGACTTAATTGTCCTCTGCTCACTGTTTTCTTGTCTCTGCATGTCGTTTGATGCAATTTTATTGTGCTGTTTTATTCTTGTACCAGTTGGGTAATTTTACAGTGTAAAGCAGTATACATTGGTACCTCGGGATGCGAGCGGGATCCATTCCGGAGCCCCGTTCGTATCCTGAATGGAACGTATGGCGCGCGGCGTGTTTTGCCGCTTCCGCGCATGCGCGTGACGTCATTTTGAGTGTCTGCACATGCGAAAGCAGCGAAACCTGGAAGTAACACGCTCCGCGGAGCGCAACCCAAAAGCGCTCGACCTGAAGCATATTGAACCCGAGGTATGACTGTATAAATCTCTTAAGAAGTAATAAACATTGGAGAAAGAGAAAGAACCTGTGGCTTGGTGGATAGAAGCACCAGCTTTGTGTGTAGAAGTTCCTAGGTTCAGGGCTCAGCATCTCCACGTTGAAAGGATCACAGATGTCATCAGGACTAGGAAGGACTCACATAAGGCCTTCGGTAGATGACAGTTTTTTCTTCCTGTCTCACCATAATGCTAGAACCAATGATGCCCTCCATCCATTGAATACCATTTGCTGGGAAGCCGTAGTTGAGGAAGTACTGTTGCCTCCAGGTGCCCCTTATGGGCTCCTCAAGTGGCTTCTGGTTGGCCACACTGTGCAGCAGGCTGGGGCTGCACTAAATAGCCTGCCTTCGTCTGATCCACCTTCAGGGCTTGCGTTCTGTGAGGAAGCCTCGTGTGGCCTCTCTGGGTTCCACTTCCAGCTTTGGGGAAGAAAACAGGGAAAGACAAGTAACTCTGGAGAAAGAGATCCCTGGGTGGCTGAAGATGGCTGGAGAAACAAAGTTTCTCTTGGGGAGCAGCCAGGTGTCTCTCTTGCACCTGGGTTGTACATGTGCTGATTGCAGGTACTTGGCTCTGCCCCCTTTCCAGTGAGTGGCTTCACCATCACACAGGTGTGCGCTTGAATTCCTATCTTGCACCAAGCTAAGCTCCCTTCAGAATTGATTTCTCTATTTTCTGAAAATTCTATTTTTGAGTTTGTTGTTTGATTTTTAATAGTTACAGTATTAAGATTTTTATCACTTCGGGAGGGGGGAGGAAGCCGTTAGGGCTGCTGTAGCTGAGAATGATGATGCCTCTAGCTAACATTTTTGGATTCTTTCTTACACTTTGTCACTTTCATGTTCTTGAAATGCGGGAGGTGGAAGGTGTGGCCTCTGTCTGGTGGTAGGCACGTAGCCTTTGGCATTCATTCTAATGCCCACCTCATAAATATCAATCACTTAAGGTGCCATGGAGCAGTGATGTGGTAGTGTGTGGTTCCCAGCATTCCTCACCACGCTGGCTGGGGCTGGTGGGAGTTGGGGGTCCAGCACCCATCTGGAAGGCCTCAGGTTCCCCTGTTGAAGCTCAGTGCTCAAATGAAGCAGAACATGCAAAAGAGAGAAGGTTGTAGCAATAGCAGGAAAACTGTAGGAGGCAGACCTGGGAGGTGCATTTGAAATAAATAGCTCCGTGACAGTTTCTAGTCATGCTTGGAGACGCATTTCTATCCATGGAAAGCTAAAAGGAGATGCAGCTTTGCTTCTATTAAACAGTTGAATAATTTCTCAAGACTGAAGGTATTTGAAATGGGTTAAATTAAAGTTGCACCTCATTTGCTTTTCCAGTTTCCATGTAACAAAAATAGGTGATTTTGAGAACCAATTTGATGCTCCATCTCGCCCCTTTCATTAAAAAAAAAGTTGTTCCTCCCTCACCTACTCCCCCCACCCCCCTGGCCTCTTCCTTTCCAAGCTTCTAGTCCTGGGTCCCTGCTAGGTGAGTTTTAGGGACTCTCCCTTCCTCTTCTCACAAGGACCACCTGCAGATCCCCTGCTGTGAAGCAGGTACACCTGGAGGGCCAGAGGTTCCCTATCCTTGTTTTGTGATGCTGCAAGGCCATAATATTTGGGAACATAATAATAATTTATTATTTATACCCCGTCCATCTGGCTGGGTTTCCCCAGCCACTCTGGGCGGCTTCCAACAGAATATTAAATTACAACAACCTATTAAACATTAAAAGCTTCCCTAAACAGGGCTGCCTTCAGCTGTCTTCTAAATGTCAGGTAGTTGTTCTTCTCTTTGACAACTGGTGGGAGGGCATTCCACAGGGCTGGTGCCACCACCAAGAAGGCCCTCTACCTGGTTCCCTGTAACTTGGCTTCTCGCAGGGAGGGAACCGCCAGAAGGCCCTCAGAGCTGAACCTCAGTGTCCGGGTAGAACGATGGGGGTGGATACGCTCCTTCAGGTATACTGGGCTGAGGCCATTTAGGGCTTTCAAGGTCAGCCCCAACACTTTGAATTGTGCTCAGAAACGTACTGGGAGCCAATGTAGGTCTTTCAAGACTGGTGTTATATGGTCTTGGTGGCCGCTCTCAGTCCCCGGTCTAGCTGCCGCATTCTGGATTAGTTGTAGTTTCCAGGTCACCTTCAAAGGTAGCCCCACATAGAGCACATTGCAGTAGTCCAAGCAGAAGATAATCAGAGCATGCACCACTCTGGCGAGGCGGTCCGCGGGCAGGGAGGGTCTCAGCCTGCGTACCAGATGGAGCTGGTAAACAGCTGCCCTGGACACAGAATTGACCTCCGCCTCCATGGACAGCTGTGAGTCCAAAATGACTCCCAGGCTACGTACCTGGTCCTTCAGGGGCACAGTTACCCCATTCAGGACCAGGGAGTCCTCCACACCTGCCTGCCTCCTATCTTCCAAAAACAGTACTTCTGTCTTGTCGGGATTCAACCTCAATCCATTAGCCGCCATCCATCCTCCAACCGCCTCCAGGCACTCACACAGGACCTTCACCGCCTTCACTGGTTCTGATTTAAAAGAGAGGTAGAGCTGGGTGTCATCTGCATACTGATGAACACCCAGCCCAAACCCCCTGATGATCTCTCCCAGCGGCTGCATGTAGATGTTGAAAAGCATGGGGGAGAGGACAGACCCCTGAGGCACCCCACAAGTGAGAGCCCAGGGGTTTGAACACTCATCCCCCACCACCACTTTCTGAACCAGCCCAGAAGGAAGGAGCGGAACCACTGTATAACAGTGCCCCCAGCTCCCAGCCCCTCAAGATGGTCCAGAAGGATGTTATGATTGAAGGTGTCAAAAGCCGCTGAGGGATCCAGCAGAACTACGAAACTCTCACCTTTGTCCCTAGTCCACAGGAGATCATCAACCAGCACAACCAATGCAGTTTCAGTCCCATGATGAGGCCTGACTCCCGACTGGAAGGGATCCAAATGGTCTGCTTCTTCCAGGCATGCCTGGAGTTGTTCAGCAACCACTCACTCAATCACCTTGCCCAAGAATGGAAGATTTGAGACTGGGCGATAGTTGGCCATATTGGTTGGGTCTAGAGATGTTTTTTTAAGAAGTCGTTTAATGACTGTCTCTTTCAGTGGATCTGGGAAGACTCCCTTGCAGAGGGAAGCATTCACCACCCCGCAGAGCCCATTGCCCAGCCCTTCCCAGCTAGCTTTTATAAGCCAGGATGGGCAAGGATCAAGGAGACGGGTGGTTGGTTTCACTCGTCCAAGCAGCCTGTCCACATCCTTGGAGGAAACAGATTGAAATTGAACAGCTGAGCCTGCAGCATTTTGTCTTTCTTGGGATGCAAGGAGTGCATCACTATCCAGAACAGGTTGGCTCCTATCCACCCACTAACAGTGCCTCAGCCTGGCTTGGATTGAGCTCCAGTTTATCAGCTCTTGCCAGACCTGTGGAGGTACAAAGCAGAAATAGTGCTGTGTGTCATCAGCATATTGATGACATTGCAAAACAAATATTCAGGTGACCCCACTTAGCCGTTTCGTATAGATGTTAAGTGGCGTGGGGAGTATGACCAGCCGCTGTAGAATTCCATATTGGAACATCCCCCACAAGCACCACTTTCATGCAAAAGCAATTAGAACCACTACAAAGTGGTCCCCCCACCCACAACCAAGGCAGCTGAGTTGATTCAGGAGTCCCAAGGCAATTTATATAAAAGAATGAAATCCATCTAATCTCTTCTAACAGAGCAATTAAATCCAGAGCAGCTGTCTGCCCTCTTTATTGTATTGGGCCCAACACTTTTCAGGCTGTGGGGAGCAGCTGCTTGTGCTGGGAAAGAGGAAGGTTTGTTACTGAATCTTAAGTTGCCTCCAGCCCCCCTTCTAAAAAATCTCTTTGCTACAGTGCCCAGGGGGCCTGGCATTTCTGCTCTGCAAGCCCTAGCAGCCCCTTGAGGAAACGTTCTTTTAGAGGTGCCCAGAAATCAACGTCTGATCCCAGTCGTTGCACCTTTGGATTCCTTGCAGTTCTGCAGAGGATGCTGAGGAATAGCTCTTGGGGCGCCTGTAGTTGCAAGGGACTCTGTCTTACGACTCTTAGATCACATGCTGTTTTGCTGAAAAGTTGCTGCCCCCCTATTGTGTAGCCCCGAGCAATTCGATCATCTCAGTGTCCAGTCTGAAATGGGAATAACACTTATGAGGTCAAACAAGTTAAGTTCATATAATTCTTCCCTTCCTTCCCCAGTTCTAAAAATACCGCACTGTTATACAGTGGTACCTCGGGTTACAGACGCTTCACGTTGTAGACACTTCAGGTTACAGACTCCGCTAACCCAGAAAAAGTACCTCGGGTTAAGAACTTTGCTTCAGGATGAGAACAGAAATTGCGTGGCAGCGGCAGGCCCCATTAGCTAAAGTGGTACCTCGGGTTAAGAACAGTTTCAGGTTAAGAACGGACCTCCAGAACGAATTAAGTACTTAACCCAAGGTACCACTGTATCTGGGATGGGGAATCTGGAGCCCTCTAGATGTTTTGGGCTTCCAAGTCCAAGCATGGCTAGCCGTCCAGGATGTTGGGAGTCCTAGTTCAGCGGCATCTAGACATCTCCCCCCCGCAAGTGTTCCACACCCCTTTGCATTATAGCCATGCCTTTATAATGATATCCTCCGTGCGTCACTTCACTACCACCCTTGACGAGGCATTCGTGAAACTCAAATCTGTATCTTAAGCACATTTCACTGAGCTCTCTTCATGTGGCAAATGGAATTTATTTCCAAGCTGTCTGCATGGGTGTTTGAAATGTGAAAACAGTTATCAGAAAGGTTGGCTGTGCATGTGATATCCTCTAGGAATGTGGCAGTGGGGTGGTGCTTTCTGTTCCCGTTAATCGATAGGGTCTTAATGACACCCTTTCTTCTGCGGCAATCCGTACTCTGCCTTCTGCTGTAGCCTTTTCAACTCTAGAGCTGATGGCATTAAGAGTGTGCAAATAGAAGCAGTTCTTATCATTCTGATACCCACAAAAATGTGAAAAGCATTTTTAAGAGCCTTTTGGGGAAATGGCTCCATTGACGGGCAGCAGGCCAACAACTGCCCCATGGTGTGATTTTTTTTGCTGGCTGGCATCCTTGGCAACCTGTTCAAGTGCTCAGGGATAGTTTTCTAGGAAGCTGTGGCCAACTGTTGATTTTCCCTCCCCTTGCCAGAATAACCCTGCAAGGGCAGCCGAATGCAGACTCGCTAAATTTGACTGATGTTTTTATAACAGTGTTCTGATCCATTTATTTGCGCAGGGCCCAGAGTTTCATGCTCCAACAAGCTTATTCTTCATCTGACAATTCAGTGGGAAGCCAAAAAGCAGTTAAAGCATTAGCCGGAGTCATTACAGAGGGACATTCTCATTTAAGGGAGGTTCAGCTAGATTGATTTCCTCAGAGTCTAGCAGTTGGAGATGTCTTGGGAGCAGCTTCTGTTGGTAACCTTGCTGTTGCTTCGGCTGCAATCACACTCGTGAAGATGCTTTATCTTCTTCACAGCAGTGGCAGCGGCTGGGAGTAGATGGGTGCGAGTCTGCTGCTTTTAGAGTATAATGGGAAGCGCTCACCCTGTGTGGTTCCTTTTGCATAGGCTTGCTGGGGCGATACCTTCTTTGCGTCAGAATCATAGAGTTGTACAGTTGGAGGAGACCCCAAAGGATTGTCTAGTCCAACCCCCTGCAATGCAGGAATCGCAGCTAAAGATTCCCTGGCAGATGGCCACCCAGCCTCTCTTTAAAAACCTTCAATGAAGTAGAGTCCACCACCTCCCAAGGGAATCCATTCCACTGTCTAACACAGTGTTTCTCAGCCTTGGGTCCCCAGATGTTGTTGGACTACAACTCCCATCATCCCTGAGCTCTGCCCTTGCTAGCTAGGGATGATGGGAGTTGTAGGCCAAAAACATCTGGGGACCCAAGGTTGAGAAAGGCTGGTCTAACAGCTCTTAACTATCATAAAATTCTTCCTAATGTTTAGTCCAGTTTCCTTTCTTATACAACTTGAATCCCATGGTTTTAGCCCTACCCTCCAAAGCAGGAGAAAACAAACTTGCTCTATCTTTCATGCGAAACATGCCCAGCTACCTCAGCCGAAAAACCCTTGCACCTTCCTGATGTTCTGGACTGCAGCTCCCACCAGCTCCAGCATCATGTAGCCACACTGGCTGGGACCGATGGGAGTGTTAGTTCAAAACATCTGGGTGGCACCAGGTAGGCAAAGGATGCTTTAGGCCAGGGGTCAGCAAACTTTTTCAGCAGGGGGCCGGTCCACTGTCCCTCAGACCTTGTGGGGGGCCAAACTATATTTTGAAGATAAAAAAATGAATGAATTCCTGTGCCCCACAAATAACCCAGAGATGCATTTTAAATAAAAGGACACATTCCACTCATGTAAAAACACGCTGATTCCCAGACCATCCACGGGCCGGATTTAGAAGGCGATTGGGCCGGATCCGGCCCCCGGGCCTTAGTTTGCCTACCCATGCCTTAGGGTTCCCCTCTAGGAACTGCAAGGACACTTCTCAATTCCTGTCAGCTTCACTTCTGAGTATACTTTGGATTTCCTGGAAACATTTCTGAATTGCCTTTCTCTGGCTGATCTTTGCCACAATCCCTTCTCCCTCTGTACAGTGTTTGGATCTTCACAGGTTCTTGATATAATTCCCTCTCCCCACCATCTCCGCGCCCCCAACCTGACTCCTGTACATTCCACACATTGTACAAATTCTTCATCTTGCTTCTAATCCCAAGTGAAAACATTCATTTTTCTCCTGTCGTTGTTTCTCCAGTTTTCATGGGTTTCGTTATTATTTATTACCCTCTTATTTAATTCTAAGTATTTTTGATGCAATTTGCATGTGGCACAGAAGACATTAGAAAACGTAATGCTGCGCTGTATTTCATCGAGCTCTGCTTGTTTCAACAGCTCGTCTGGAAAAGAAGATTGATTTTGCTCATATTTTTTCTTCCCGGTTTTAGAAATGAAAGGCTCCCGCAGTGAAAGGAAAGGGGGGCCGGCATCTATTCAGGCATATTTCAAATCCCTGCAACATTCCCCCCCTTCTTCTTCTCCCCCCACCCCAAGCTTCACATTTCCCAGTGAGATGAGGCTTTTGCAAGCAAGGTTGGGGGAAATAAACATTCATTTCCTTATTTGTTTGCCTGTTTTCAAGGCATAGTCTGGGTATTACTTAGGAGTCAGCCTCTGCCCGTTTTTCCTCTCCCTTCTGCTTCTCAGACCCCCTCAGGCGTTGGCCTGCGCTGCGCTTGGGTGACCCGCCTGCCGCTTTCAATAAAATGGCCCCATCACATCAGAACGCTGTCATTCATTCATCCCCCGGGGAGTTGTGTGAGGCTTGGTTTACTTGCCTGTTGTCTGGTGATATCCCTTCTGGGGATGCATCCTGTTCACTCTCACTTGGTGCTGGTGCCACGCATGACCTGTGGGGATTACGGAGGCTGAGTCTGTGAGCAGGGAGGCTTGCGGCCACCTTCTTCCTACCAGACTCACAATATATTCGATGATTACAGGGAGACGTGAAAACACCCCTGAAGGAAGAAGGTCTAAGGCAGAGGGTCTCAAAAGGGTGTGGCAGCAGAGGGTAGCAAGCGTGGCAGGAAGATGCAAGGACAATCAAATAAACATTCACACAGTTCAGTGTAGTATAGTACAGTATCGTATTAAAATATTATCATTATTGTTATTTTGTAGAATATAGATAGGTGCCTTTTCAAAATGAGAAAAAGAGCATCAAGTGATACCAAGCACAATCCTAGTTGTGTTTTTCAATGCATTTCTTGCCAATAAAAAAATTCGGTGTGGCGCGAGCAAGTTTTTGTTCTGAAAGTGTGGCCCAGAAGAAAAAAGTTTGAGGACAACTGGTCTAAGGTTTGAATTCTCCCCTTTCTTGTAAGATCTGCGATTATTTATTTATTTATTTAGTGGAACACATGTTTTTGAAGTGGGGTGCAATAGAAAGCAGGGTTTTTACGTGTGCGTGCTCTTTGGGTGCTGATGCTGCTTGTCTTGCATTTGGATGGCCAGGCCCCCTGGAGGGCTGAGTCCCGTAGATCAGCTTGAGCCCAGGCCTCCAAGCGGGATGCCTCAGCACCGCCTCCATGGACTTCCTTCGGCCTTGCATTCATTCCTCCTCCGATGCCATTGAAATAGTTCTTTGAAAACAAAGACTCTGGGCTATCTGTGTTGAGGCAATTGTTGAACGCATTATCTTAAAGTGGCAGTTAACGGCGTGCATGCCCTTGTTTCCTCTGTTCTTCCGCGCTTGAGGCAATGTTGGGCTGCGTTGAGTGTGCTTACGATCTTTATTCCACGGAGTCAAGGGAAAAGATGGTGATTTGTTTGCACCCTCTGGACCGGAGGACAGAATGCTGTGTCTGCACCGCTGTCAGTGAGCTATTCTTTGGCACCAGGTGTGGGTCAGGGGAGGAGCCCTGCGTGGTTTTGCTGACATTGCCAGCAGCCCGATTAAATGGAAGCCAGCTTTGTATTGCTGTGTTCCCAGTCTGAGGCCAGTTAATTCTGGTGCAGAGGCTTGGAGAGTTTGCTTCCAGGTGTAATGTGTTTGCTCCAGGCAAGGCTCTTGGTCCCGACACGGAAATGGATTGGTGGTTGTGCAAAAGTACCATTTGGACAGCTCCCTTGGCCCTTCGTGATTGCGTTGCCGAGGTCCTTAGGAACACGGCTCCCCCCTTTTCTGAGCCAGCTCGACTAATTGCTTTCCCATTTTGATTGTCCTGGATTTCTCTTCTCTAAACATTTAATCTATGCTGTGCTCCATCAAATAGCGGCTCTGCCTTCGTGCCAGGTTTGGCTTGGGCGACGCTGGGCACCGTGCCTCTTAACTCGGCACCAAACATTTGGTCAGGGGAGGGAGGGAAGGATGCCCCCGCCTGCAACAATTGCACTGAGTACAGCACCTGTCGGTTTGCAAAGAGCTCAGGAACCCATAAACTTTTACACAGCGCAGCAAAACAGTTGCAGATGGCCTAAACTGATGATTAAATATTGCTGCTGTTTTGCCCAGAAAGGCTGTGCCCATACCCCATGTGTCTGGTTTCTGATTACTTCGGGTAATTAAGGGGTCGCAGCCAAGTCCAGCTATTTCCAAGGGTTCCTCTTCCAATCCATCTCGGGAGAGCAGAGGGGAAAGCAATTGTCACGATTGCCAAAAGCTGATTTGTGCTGCTGCAGTCAGTCAATTCCCAGTTGCCACTTTTGGGCCTCAGAACAGAATGCCTGCGTGATGCTTGAGGACAGCTGAGAGAGGCAAGACGAGGATGGATCGTGGGCTCTGCCTGCTGCTGCCGCCGGCGGTGCAAAAGCGATTGAGATTGCTCTGGTAGGCAACAGGCTATAAATCTGCCTGTAGCAAGCCCACTAGATGCTAGGGGCAGCCAGTTTGACAAGACGCAGCCTTCTTGCAAGCCCCTTCCCTCACAGCCTTCCCATGTTTCCCACAGTTGAGAGGCCATTTTCTAGTGGGATTCCTTTGGAGAATCCTGCCCTGGCTCACTCCTCAAAGAGCCACCCAGGAGATGAGGAGAGGGGCCTGGGCAGTAGAAAGCTCAGCCACTTGCTTTGCCTGAAGTTGCAAAGTTCTAAAACATGCCAGAACTGATTTTTTATTCAGTTTTCATTCCCTCGAATAGCAGACTTTGTGTTCATGTGTTGATGGACTTGGAGGCCCAGTGGAACCACAGGGGAAAAATAGGGAGATTTCAGAATGGTAGGGTGAACCCCAGGGGATGCAGAGATATAAACAAGGGCACCCCCACAAAGAACAAAATGTTGACCTATAAAGCCTTAACGGACTGCAGTACCTCAAGGAACCCCCCCCCCATTTACCCCAACCCTTTGATCCTCATCTGGGGCCCTTCCTTGTGTTCTTCCTCCATGAGAGGTCTGGACGACGGGTGACATGAGGATGGGCCTTGTCAGTAGTGGCTCCCCACTGGTGGGATGCTCTTTCCAGGGAGGCTTACCTGGTGCCTTCACTGCATATTGTTAGGTGCCAGGAAAAAACGTTCCTCTTCTAGACCCTTGACCAATGAAACAATCTATAGCCTTTTAAATGTATCCGTGGGAGGGGGGTTGTTGTCACGTTATGCATTTTGTGTTTTGTACTGTAAACTTGCCACCTTGCAATCTTTGGATGAAGGGTGTGTGTGTGTGTGTAACTGTATACATTTAATGAATAGGAATCATAAATAAAAAATCCCATGGGGGTGCTGAGCATGCTCAGTGGTCTCCAGAAGCCACAGAGCATTGAGTGCTGGCTAGAAGATAAAAATGGACGACTGGGGACGGGTGTGAACTAACCAGCTCGAGACCCTGACAGAGTTACAGCCGGGAGTGTCCTGCAGGATTATTAGCCACAATATTTTGTTGCAGTTCCTACATTAGTATGTCAGGAATCCATAGATCTGCTCTGTATTTTAATTTTCTATTGTCTGTATTCTTCCTGGCAGCAGTGGTCTAGGTCGTTTCCTAAACACCAACATTTTTTTTTAACATTTCCATCAGCTGTGGGCTCTCATGAACGGTTCTAGTCTGTGGATTATATAGCGACTCTGAGAAACGTTCAGCTTAGTTGAGGCTCACCCTCCTAACCTGTAAAAGGGCCACCCGCAAGTGTGTGTTTTTGCCCCCACTGGAAATGAGCGGTGCTGGAATAGGATCCGGTGGCTCTTGCAGCCGAAGGCATTTCTTGAGAGGGCTGCTGTCAAAAGCTCTCTTTTTGCTGTCTTGGCAAATAAAAGAAGAATGGTGCACACATACTCTCACACACCCCTTCAGCAAAATGCCAGGCAGGGAAATCTTGGGAGTCGCCTGGTTCTTTAATCTGTTTCACATTCCGCAAAGTGGATGCTTGTCTGCTTCCTCATGTCTCCGGAGGCAACAGGAAAAGCTGTCTTGACAGACTTTGATGTGGAGTGTCTGATCTGCAGGAATTCTGGTGTTGCTCCTCTCCAACTCTGCCAGTCTGCTTATTGTCTCCATTATGGCCCAGATGGCCAAAGCAGAACTTCCAAGCAGTGCTGGGTGTACCAAAGGTGGCTGCTCCTGCTTCTCTGTGGCCTGGGGGGGGGGCAGTTTGCTCCCTCTGCACCTGCATTTGCTCCCTTGTTATGCCTCCTTGTGTTGCTTTCCAAAACGGAACAAATGGGAAGATGGTGTAAGGAGGGACCACTTTTTTCAGGTGACCGTCTCGCCTTCTCCGGTAGCTCCAAGGTTTGTCGGAAAGTTTGGGGTTGCTAACTGGCGGAAATGACTGGCAGAATCCGAGACCAGAGAGAAGAGTCGGTGAAAGAAGACTGGAAGAAATTTAAAGACTATTTACAGAAATATTGTAAAATTAAGGAATTTTAGATGGATGTTGGATAGAAACTAAGAGGTTTTTAGCTGTAATGCTTTAAGAGATATGAAAAAAGGTTTGCAACTGGGTAATTTCAATGGTAAGGATTTGCTGAACTAACAAATTGAACTGGAATACAAAAAAGGGAGGTATGAGGAGGTCCGGGGAAATAAGTATAGGGAAGATAGGTTATGGAAAATTAATGTTTTTTTAACTGTTTTATTTGGTATGTTTCTTTTTATTCTTCACTTTTTTGGTTATATTTTAAAAAACTTTATTCTTTTTTTTTCTGTATTCTGTATTTTTTGTAACTTTAATAAATATCATTTTTTTAAAAAAAGAAGAAAGTTTGGGGTTGCTGTGCTTGCTGGAAGACAGTGGAACAGTTACGCTGTAAACGCAGTGTGCCAAAGTGGAGAACCCTCATTGCGAAATACCCTGGCCAGCATCCTGGCGGAGCTGCGTCTTGGACCAGCTGCCATTTCCAATCTGCCCCACATAAAGGGCATTGTAATGCTTCATCCAGTGTACAACTAGCACATGGGCAGGCAAGGTCACATCAGTCTCAATAAACCTACCATTAAAATTATGGACTGGTCATTTCCTCATTAGAGGGCAAATGGGCAAAGTTAGCAGGGGATCAAATACTCCCCTCCCCCACTGTATTATCTTGAATTGTTCTTATGGGGCAGTGGGGAGCCATGCAGGCCCCGGGGAACTTTGAGGCTTTTGGCCCACTCTCTTTGCGCCAGCCTGCCCCCATTATGGAGAATGGGCAGGTTCATCCCTTCGGAGTTTATGGCGGTGAGAATCCTAGTCTCTCCATGCAGACAGAGCTGTATGCATGCAATTTCTTTTCTCTGTGCTCACTTGTTACCTAGTATGAAATGTACCCTTTAGAAATGCCCATGAATTTTCCTCTGCAAGGCAGCTTAATTTCCTAAAACGAAAGGGTGTGGGGGGGAAGTGTTTAGCTCTTGCTCTACCTGACACTGCTTATTGCTTTTGAGATGCACTAGAGAAAAGCAGGATTGAAGGCAGGCTGGCTTAACACAGGTGTTAGAAAAAAGATTAAGAGGTTGGAAAGATATCGCTGGAGATTTGAGGCTCGCTTCCTGAAGTCTCTCTAAATTGACAGCTAATAGGTAGTTCTTCTTGATGGCTCTTTCCAGCTATATTCAACCGGCAGAGATCCACGCACAAAGGGAGCCCTTTCACTTCCAAAGATTCATTTCACATTTCTTTTAACAAATGATTTCTGAGCTCCACGGTAACAAGGTTATTTTGCTTTTGCAGCATGCAAAGCAGGCACTTTGCTTTTATTAAGCAGGCTTTATTAATTCATTTCCAGATTCTTCTCCCCCTCCCCTTCTCTCCCCCCCCCCCCGGCTTCTTATTCTCCATTTCCAATCACACCAAGTTGCTGATGAAGAGTTGCCAGTCGCTAGAGCTAAGCTCCTCAATTCGCTCTTCCACTGGAAGGAGCCAGGGAAGGCGGCCTTCTCCGAAAAGAACTGATTCGGGGAGCCAGTGCTGCTGTCAACAGGCCCTTGCAGCTACAGCAGATCAGCCAGAGAAGCATTTGCGAGGCTTCCAAAGAGCTTGCTTTTTCAAAGAGCCATTGAAATGCCACAATATGTATAGATATATTCTGTGTTGATGCTGTGGCTAGGAGAGCACAACCCTTTCCTGGGGACCCGCTCCCCAGCTGAAAAATTGGGTGGATGTCCCAGGCCCTCACAAAATTGCCCGTCTCTAATAGCATGCTGGGTGCTTTAAAAGTTTATTAATTAGAAATGTATGGAACTTCTTGCAGGGGGCGAAGAACAATCTGTTAAATGGGTTTCCAGAAGAACCTCAGCCTGATGGTCAGGATGAAAGCACTCTTCCTTCTCTTTTCAAGGATATGAAAAGGAGGATCCCAAAGTCTGCCCCCCCCCCCCGCCCCAATGATCTCTCATAGCAACCAGCCGGGTGCTTTTGGGAGGCCAGGGGGGATGGGCAGGACAGAGAAATAGCATCTTTCCCCTCTTGTTTCTCCCCAACATTCCCTGGCATTCAGAGCTGTATTGCCCTTGAATATGGAAGGTTTGTTCTTTGAGACAGTATTGGTGACCTGATCACTCATCTCCCTGTTGCAGTATTGATGGCTGTTTTACTTGGACATGGTTTGGCTTCCTGTTGGTGATCATTTGATACTTCCTTGACCTGGTGCCGTCCAGAACTTTCAGATTGCAACTTCCATCACTGCCGCCCACATCACTCCCAACCGGCACTGCTGTACGATGCTGAGTCTGATGGTAGTTGTAGGTCAAAACATCTGGGGGGCACCAGGTTGGGGAAGGTTGTCGTAGAGTTCTTTGAAGTGGAAGACTCCTCCCATGCGCCTTGGGATCTGCGCATCATAGTTTTTGTCTAGGAATCCAGTGACATTCGGGTGCCAGTGGGTTGGCAGCATTAATAATTACACTCGAGGCACTTTCATAATTTATCCTAATGACTCCGTTACTGCATATTAGAGGAGATTTCTCCCCCCGCCTTCCCCAGTTGAGGTCGAAGCAGATCGTAACTGCCGATAATGACATCGATTGCAGGCTCGGAGGAAATGGAGTTGGCTTTGTAGTGGAGTTTTAATTTAGCAATTGTTCTGGTGATGTAGCCCTCTTCTATGGTACATTACTTTGCGTCCAACCAAACGGTGTGCTCCCCTAGCCCCTCATTACGGCTGCAGTCTCATTGCTTTTTAATTAAAAAAAAAATGGAGGGAGAAAAACAAGAACCGGCAGCCTTAGATTGCACGCTGCCTTGATAGGCAGAGTCGAAAGCAAACGCTTGTAGCCATTTCAGAACTTTCAACTTGCAATTTCAAGCTGGGTACGAGAGCCATTCCTTCTCAAGGAAGCCGAGCTTAGCGGGGCATCTTTCCTGCCAGAATGTTTTTTCGCCCCTTAAGTGGAGCTGAGTGAGGGGGGAATTACATGTTGCTTCCATTAAGTGCTTATTTCCAGACTTCTGTTTGCCCAAGTAAAGTGCATGCAGGGAAAGAGGGGCATTTAACTGGCAGCAGGAGCTGCTTGCTTGACCTTTCCTACACCTTCCTATTTTTGCTGCTAAGCCCCTCCTCCCGCCCACAAGACCTTTTGCTCTCCAGCTGGACCCTTCCCCTCTTTTTCTCATTCCGAGGCAAATGCCAGGTTTGCTTTGTAACGCTAGACTAATGTGCACCTCCAGTCTTGGCACACCTCCTTTTGGGGCACCGTAAACTGAACCTCGTCTGTTTTCCTTGTAGGCCAAGAGCGTCTCTCATCACAAAGGCAGTGCTGGGTCGCAAACAGTGCTTCCCCACAGCACTTCCAAACAGCTGTGGTTTCTGGGACTGAATGTGGGGTGTTTTCCCCCCTTCAGCTGCAATGTAATGTGCCTTGATCTGCTCCGCTTCATGCCAATCCCTGCCACTGAAAGGGTCTAGTGCAGGGGTCAGCAAACCTTTTCAGCAGGGGGCCGGTCCACTGTCCCTCAGACCTTGTGGGGGGCCAGACTATATTCTGGAGGAAAAAAATATATTAACGAATTCCTATGCCCCACAAATGACCCAGAAATGCATTTTAAATAAAAGCACACATTCTAGTCATGTAAAAACACGCTGATTCCTGGACCATCCGTGGGCTAGATTTAGAAGGCGATTGGGCTTGATCCGGTGCCCGGGCCTTAGTTTGCCTATTTGTTATTGGTATGAGCTTTCGTGTGCATGCAGGTATCTGAAGAAGTGTGCATGCAAATGAAAGCTCATACCAATAACAAACTTAGTTGCTCTCCAAGGTGCTACTGGAAGGAATTTTTTTATTTTGTTTCAACTACGGCAGACCAACACGGCTACCTACCTGTAACTGCCTTTCCATAGTTAAACCACACTCGATGTGAAAAAAGTACATAATTACAAAAATATAACGAAAGTAATCATAAGCAGTAAATGAAATGTCTCAATAAGCGCTCAGTAAAAAGACAAAATCTCCATATGTCATGTTAAGGCCTTACAATAGAGATGCAAGAAATCAGTACCAATAGCAGCAAAAGGTGAGCACCTCCAAAATGAATTCTTGACTCCAGCCAAAAACCCCTGAAGGAAACCCCACCCCAAGAGTCTCTGGGCACCGTGAGCCAGGAGGTCCTGTGAGACGCACAGCAAACGTGGTTTCTGGCCTGTTCAGCAGCTTCATCCTTTGTAGCTGGATTGCCCAGACATCTCGACTTGCCCTACATCCCGATGGAGGATTCTGAACAAGTGGGGGGGGGGAGCTTTGTGTCTCCGTTCCACTTGATTCCCCAATCCCAGCAATTCCCACCTCTACCTGTATGGTAGGATTGGAGCTGCAGCTGGTGCTTTTGTTGGTTACTTTTTAAATTACCGCTACAAATGTTCACATACATTTATAAAATTGATTGTGATGACATTGCAGCAATGTATAAATACATTTAAACGTTAAGTAAACATTAAGAAATCTGGGTGCCTGCTTACTAGAGGGAGGATCTCTTGTATGTATCTGGACTTTATAAAGCGTGCCAATGTGTCGAGAGCAACCCTTAAAAGAAATAACCATTTATTTTTATTACTTTTGCCTGTGTGAGGGAAAGGGATGGAAGTGGGTTCTCTTGGATCATTATATATATATTTTTCCCCTGTCCGCAGCCAAACAGAGGGACAAAACGGCCTCGTGAAGATGAGGAAGATGATCTCAAAGTGCGGCACAAGCAGGGCGGTGCGCGGGAGCGTGGTCGTCACCGGGAAGAGGAGGCACCTGTGATGGAGGAGACGGAGGACGAGAGGAAGAAGGTCCTTCATATCATTGAGAAGGGCGAGGAGGAAGAGGAAGAGGTACTTTTCTCATGAGGAGGCTGTGCTGCCCCTCTGCCCCTCTTTCTCTGGAAAGCAAAGGCACGTGAATTCAGTGTACAATGGTTTGTGGTCTGCAACATGGGAAGAATTTCCCTGATAGCTGGACAGGATTGTTTTGTAGAATTACAGAACTGTAGAGTTGGAAGGAACCCCAATGCAGGAATTTGTGCCCTTCAGTTTTCGGCTTAGTAAATACCCACTTTTTTTGCGGATGCTGAATTTCCTCTACGGTTGAACAGCGTTTTGTGCTTATGTGGAGGAGATAAGATTTGAGTTGCACCCCTTCCTTCTGGACCCACAAGTGTACTTCTTCCTCTCCTCTTCTCCCCCCGCCCCCCACAGCAGGAGCAAGATATTCCATGGGGCTTGGGAGCTGATTCCACTCTATTTGTGTAGCAGTTAACAATCCTGGGGGATCTAAACACTCATGGAGGGCTGCCCTTTCTGTTGAAGGTTTGGCGGGGGACAGAACGAGGCTTGGGGGTTGAGGAGAGACATTTAGCAAGCTTGCTTCTGTGTAAGGGTCGTAAAGGGAGGTGGGGAGACTGCACAACTTAGAACCAGTTCACAGCTGCTGGGTTGTGAGAGCCGAGGAAATCATGCAGTCTCGTACAATGAGTTAATTTGTGTGTTTGGCCAGGAGGAACCTCTGGATGAAAGTTCCGTGAAGAAGATGATCCTCACTTTTGAGAAGAGGTCTTACAAGAACCAGGAACTTCGGATCAAGTTCCCTGATAACCCAGAGAAGTAAGTCTTGGAATGATTTGGCTTTTTTTTTTTTTTTGCTTCGTCCAACATACTCAGGTTACTAACTCGAGTTCCCTGTTAACAAAAGGTCCGGCTGAGAGAGACTTCAGCTGGTGGATAAATCTTTGTTGTTTTTTAATGCAGAGAAACCTATTTTGCAGAATGAGAGCCGGGCACTCACAGGCTTTTAACTGAGACCTCTTTATACTTTGGAAATAAGCCTTCAAAGTCAGGCAGCTCCTTGGTTCAGAAACAAAGCTCTCAGCAATTTCTCGCGGATCCAGTGGCTTGTGAATTCGATAGGTCAGCTTCTGTTCTTGCACATGATCTGGCAAGCTGTTATTCAGTGCAAATCTGTACAGCAAGGCTCTGCCCTGCTGTCGCTTGGTGTCAAGAAAACAGACCTGACCAGAGGGATGTGCTTTGCTTTACATTCTCATCATGCCAGAGATAGCTCAGAAACAGCGTTTGAAAGTAGCAGGAGGGGCTTCACTGAAGCTCAAGTAGCATTTAAGAAAGCTATATAAGGCAGAAAGTGGCATGAGCTAGTACAGAAACCGGCTGAGCATCGGGGCAAAACATTATGGCTTCATTTTGAAGCATTGGTAGTTAGACAGATGGCTGTACAACCTCTGCTTAAAAACCTCCAAGGAAGGAGAACCCACCACATTCTGAGGGAGTACGTTCCACTGTTGGAACAGCTCTTACCATCAGGAATTTCTTCCTAAGGTTTAGTCGGAATCTCCTTTCCTGTATGGATTGGGTACCAAAAACAAGCTTGCTCCTTATTCCTCCTTGAACGCTTTTGAGCTCATGCTTGCTTACAGCTCAGTTTTCTCTCTGTCCACCTCCTCTCAGTCAATTATTCTTTTATTTCCCCTTTAAAGAATTCATGTAGGGTTTCTGAGCGTTCAAAGATCTCTGCCTACTCAATATCTTCTTGTAATCCTAAAACAACCTTAAATGGCAGGTCAGTTATTATCACCCCCATATTACAGATGGGGAAACTGAGGCTGCAAGAGCTGTTTCCCCAAGGCCACCTACCTAGTGACATAGCAGAGGTGAGATTTGAATCTGGGATTTCCTGCTTTGCAGCTCGGTCTCTTACCCCTTAGATGCCCCAGCATCTCCTGTGCTCCAGGGTCCGTGTCTTTTTGCATCCCGCATCTCCTCTCTAGCCTCTGACAAGCCTGCTACGCTCCTCGTAAGCTCAGCCTAGGATGACTTTTGTTGTCTGCCAGGTGCAGGCCTGCCTGCTCACCTGTACCAGGTTCCCATCATTTTTTAAGAATGTACTCAGGACTTGCCAGGTCGCCTGAATGGCACTTCCAGCTGCAGCTGGCTGTTGGTTCATGAAAGCCATTGGACGCTGCACCCAGGGAGCTTTGGGGTGAAGGGAGGAGGAGCTCTCCATTCTGTGGCAGGAATGGGTTTTGCCACTCTGCTGCAGACCTTTCTGAGTGGCAGTTTCTTACGGACCACGAACCGTTTCCCCTTCTTCGGGGCTCTTGCATTGATAGCTCTTCCTTCCCGCAGCTGCTGTCACCGTTCATCAGCCCTGCCGGTTATCTTGGCTGTCTGCTACCCTGCTTAGCCTCTGCTGGCACTTGCTCTTTCTCAGTTCCAGAGCCCAGTGAGAATCCAGATCTCTCGCGGCCCATCAGGCCGTGTTTGTGTCCCCTGAGAGCATCAGGCGGGTGTGCTGAGGCTGAGCTGCAGCTCCCTGCTTTGGCTGTTCCTCCCAGCTGGTGAATTGCAAGCAGTCGATCCATGCCGGATCCCCCAGGGCACCCTGAGCCTTTCTGGAGGGCAGAGTTTCCTTCAAGTGTGGAGAAAAAGCTGCTTAGCAGAACGCCTTGGACGGAATTGATGGGGACCCAGTGGGCGAGTTAAAGGCAGTGTGGAAAAACAAAACGAAACCCCCCTTTGCTCCGTGGGCAGAATCACAATATTGTATCTGGTTCAAATTTAGTCTCTGCCAGCGGTGTGCTTGCAAGTCTTATTTGCTGAATTTCAAACAGGACTTTTTGTTTGGCAAGTATAATGGCACCAAAGCACACAGGGAAGATTGATGGTGTTTTTTAAAAAAATGTTGTTAAAATACTACATGGAAAAATAATCACATTTTAACTGGACCCTATACAAGGCAGTCAGTGTCCCCCAAATAGCAGGCTTGGACTTCGCAGTCCTGTCTGGTAGAAGGCAGTTCTGAAGACATGCAGTGAGAGGAGGGTCCTTTCTCTTGTTTGTGCACAAACATCTCCTGCGGATCAATATCATAATAGCCCAAAGCGTTGGACCTGCCGGCTTCCACACAAAAGAGCTGGGCTGAGCCATTCGGATTTCCAGTTCCCAACCCCATGGTATAAACTGGATGCATTTGGAATTTGTATAATTAATTTACATCTGAAGCGACTCTCTTAGGAATGCCCAGGATGAGCTGAATATGCGCCATCATTTTTGGTGGGTGTTTTTACAGCTCTAAGTATGCAGTCTTGTGAAAGAACAACATAACGTTTTTTCTGGGTCCCGGCAAAATGAAAACCCAGCAAAATCTTCCTCCAAACTCTGCTTTGCTTTTTGCAATATTGAAATGGCCTTTGAGAAGTTCTGCGCCCTGTCTCCTTTGCTTTCCAATTGAAGTTAATAGAACGTGCACTGCATGTAACTTACTGATCAGTCGGCAGCAGCAGCAGCAGCAGCAGTGCTCTCTATTCAGTGCCTTGGCACTTGGTGCCCTGATATGGGCAGTTATGCTGATGTGCGCAGTTTTGGCTGATCAGGTCTTCGCCACAGTCCTGTAGCTTTCAATTTCACAAAATGCCTGGATCCTTCTTGCATGCTTTCTCTTCTAAATGACAGAGTTATAAATTAAATTTTGGGGATTGCTGGAACACAGAAGAGCCCACAAGGTAGTCTGGTGGCTGTGTGGGTGGATGGGGGTGGAGTGGGGGGAGGATTCTAGGGTCTGCATAAACAGGATCTGCTGGGTTTGGGATTTGGGGAGTGTCTTTGGCCTTGATAGGAAGGGAACTCCTGCAGGCGAGATGGTGGCCGTGTGGGCACCTGACAGACATCTGGCTCCACTTGTCACTGCCTCGGTGAGAGCAGCATTCAGCTGCTTACAGTCTAGAATGTAAGTCTGAGCAGCGTTAGGTCTAGAGAAATGAGGGAAGGCAAGGGTCAGGAAAATGGGTGAAGGTTGAGAGGGAGATAAGGAAAGCAAAGAAGCTTCGGAAGAACATGGAAGAGAAAAGCACCAGCAAAACCCGTTATCAATGTGGCCAAGTTCTAATGTGCAAGGGTATGGTCTGACCACAAAACCAGTAAGAGCCAGTTAAGGAGTAACCTAACAGCTAAATGCTAGAGTGAAAAAACAGTTCCAAATAAGGTACAAGGAGGGTTCTGATATGTACAGTAATAAAAACACCGGGTTGAGTAAGTGTTTCTAAGGATTGTGGTTGGCTGAGCGATGGGGCAATGGGCCTGGCAGAAGGTGTTTGAGGAGAAGATGAAACAGCCAAGGGGACACACATCTTGCCTATATAGTTTGCATTCTAATGGAGAGCTCTCTTTGGATTCTGCCCTGTAATGTATTCCTGAAGAAAGTCTGAGCAGTTGGGAACTTGGTGTGCATCTCTGTACATGAGCCCCCAAAGGGAATTCGCCCCACGTTGGCTAGTCCAGGGCTGCAGAATTCTGCCTATTTATTAAGCATGTATTAAGCCGTAGGGAGGGACGCGGGTGCCGCTGTGGGTAAAACCTCAGCGCCTAGGACTTGCCGATCGCATGGTCGGCGGTTCGAATCCCCGCGGCGGAGTGAGCTCCCATCGTTCGGTCCCAGCTCCTGCCCACCTAGCAGTTCGAAAGCACCCTTAAGTGCAAGTAGATAAATAGGGACCGCTTTATAGTGGGAAGGTAAACGGCGTTTCCGTGTGCTGCTCTGGTGCCGGTTCGCCAGAGCAGCTTCGTCACGCTGGCCACGTGACCCGGAAGTGTCTGCGGACAGCGCTGGCTCCCGGCCTCTAGAGTGAGATGAGCGCACAACCCTAGAGTCTGTCAAGACTGGCCCATACGGGCAGGGGTACCTTTACCTTTACCTTATTAAGCCGTAGGGGAAGAGGTGCATCGAAGGATGCTGGACTAGACTCACAACAGGTCGGCCTTCCCTCATCCCCTTCCTGTTTCCTTCTTTTCTTTGGGGTTTCCTTTGGGCAGTGAGAGGGCAGCAGCCATATCTGCCCCAGGGGGCACTTAGCTGGCCGGTGGGCCATGGACCTTTGCTGGCCCCGCTGAACTTTGCCCTGCTTCCTCCTGCAGGTTCATGGAGTCCGAGCTGGATCTCAACGACATCATCCAGGAGATGCACGTCATCGCGACCATGCCGGACCTGTACCATCTGCTGGTGGAGCTCAACGCTGTGCACTCCCTCCTCGGGCTGCTTGGCCACGACAACACCGATATCCTTTCTGGGGTGGATGAGCCAGGCTCTGCTGTCAGTGTCCCCCCCTCCCCCCGTAGTTCTGGTTTCCTGCCGCTGCCCCCTCTCTGTGTATCACTCACAGCGCAATTGGGATTCTCGTGAGAGTCTGAAGCCAGGCATGCATGCTTAGAGCAGCATGCTGTGGCATTGTCCCTCGGCTTCAAAGCCAGCGGGGGGACCTTGGGCTAGAGGGGGCGTGAGCTGTGCTGATAGGATTGATGTTGCAGAGGTCAGTCTTGGCAGGGGAGGAACCCAGTCTGGGAAAAGCAGCAGAAGAAAAAGCAGACCACGTCTTGGGAGCAGGTGAGACTGGGAATAGTAATTCAAGGCTGCAGAGAGCACAGTGTTTCTCAGAAGGTGCAGACACATGCTGACAGCTGCTAGGAGCCACAGGTGAGAGTTGAGTGCAGGATGGGGACCAAAGGTGGACAAAGGACCCCAGAAGGAGCACAGCATGTTCTTCATCAGAAGTACTACCCCCTTTCCCCCCACATCCCACACCAAATGAAACTATGACTGTCTTAGAGCTTGGTCGGCTAGGCACAGAAGTGCCATGGCAAAAGGACTGCAAATGAGCAGGCAGGCTAAACACACACACACACACACACACACACACACACACACGACTTGTTTATAAGAATTTTCCAAAGTTCTGAGTTCTGAGTCATTTAAGGATGACCCTGTTGCAGTGGGAATGTTTAATCGCAAGTTGGGCAGTGTGTGTCCAAAAGGTGCAAACCAGATTCCTCCATGAAAATGAACGTGGCTTTTGTGGAAAGCTTTTCCCGTGAGCTGCAGCTTCCCAACCTGTGACTGTTCCTTTTCTCCTGGGTTTAGCGGGATTCTGTATTAGGCTTTTTGCTGCTTGCTCGCCTCTGCAGAGAACAACGTTCTGCAGATCAAACCCCGCTGCTCATCTTCTCCCTGGTCTGGAGTGGAAAAATTGTGAAGTCAATTGTCTTTGGTCCCGCTGGCTAGAGTGGTGAGTGGGCCAGTCACAGGAGACGGGGCATTTTTGGTGGTGGTGCCTGTGCTCACAGAACTCCCCCCCCCCCCCGGTTGCTTAACAATAACCTCAAACAACCCTGCAGGAGAAACCTGTAGATAAAGGCTAGATACATCTTTATTTGTCCAGATATACGGTTTGGAGAAAAAGCTTTTTTGGTGGTCCTGGAGATAATTGTGTCAGCTGCACTCTGTTAAGACTTGTGGGTTTGTGGTTTTAATTGTGTCTTACTGTTGTGCTGCTTCACTTGATTCAATTTACGTTAGCCACCCTGTGCTCCAGTTGCAGGAAGAGCAGGTTACCAGAACAATGAATGAGTATTAAAGCCCAGCGAGTGCAGCAAAGCAGGAAGCGCCTGCTGTGCCTAGCCATCTCTGTCACCTTAGTTCGTGGCAGTGCAAAGCTTTGGCTGGAGACGAGGTTTGCGGGCAGCTTTGAGAGTGGCATTTTGTACCCAAAGGTCAGCATGGATTTGTCATTCTCGGGGAAAAACACAAACAGTGGGGGGTTTGGCTGGGACTTAGTGGTCTTGCTTGCGGTGACCTTTAAGAGGAAGGAATGCAGAGTGTTGTATCTCTCCAGCCCTGAGAAGCTAATGCCTGGGAGTGACGGCCACTGCTGACGACTTGTCAGAATATCCATCGCTCAGCCCTGCATTGAGCAAAGCGGGGTCATCCTGTATCTGTCATTTAGATTGGGGGCAGAGGCCCGGCTGGTGACCTGCAGCCCCCCTGGGGAAGGCGCAGTTGCCAAGAGCTGCTGGAGCTCCTCTGAAATGTTGGAAGGCAAAGCAGTAGAGAGCAAACCGAATCCTTAGACTTGAAACGCTGCGTTTTAGCAGAAGTGAGAATGCAAGGATCATTTGAAGTGAAGTACCTGGGCAAATGCGGCTTTGTGTAAAGTGAGACCAGAGAGATGTTTTGAAGGCTCCCCCCCCCCCGCCCCTCCCCGAAAGGAGTGCTAAACTGAGCTGGCTCTTCACACTTGATTTAAGGTTGGTGCTTTGGCAGGAGGAGGACGGAGAGGCGAGGTGGGTAAAATCCCCAGCGATAAAATTAACTTGTGGACAAGGCAGCTCCTCTGCTGAACCAGAGCCAAGGATGCGAGGAAGCGGTAATGCTCAGGTGGTGGCTTAAATTAGCAAAGGCTGAGAGCCGCCTGGGAAGAGAAGCTGCTTCCTTCTCCAGACCTCTTCAGCCCAGCTGGCAACATCTGATTCTGAAAAAAAGCTGCCTCTTAATGGAGAGGGATTGCAGACTTGAAACAGGCCTTGTGTGAGCTTGAACTTTTATTTTGCAGCGATGGCAACTGGAACGCAGAAGAGAGCACACACTCTCTCTCTCTCTCTCTCTGTGTGTGTGTGTGTGTGTGTAGCCAAGCTGAGGCTTGAGGGCATGGCTGACAGAGACAAATCCTGCTTTCCTTATCCCCTCCTTTTCTCCCCCTTTGGCCTTTCCAAGATGAATTAATGGCACAGGGACTTCAGCATCTTCTTGATTCCCTACCTGCAGAGCTGTGCACAAAGATATTTATCCTGCTGCATCCCTCAAGGGCCGCAGTTTACAATGATAAGTTAAGCCCCCACCCTGATAAATCTTGACACTAAGCCGCACTCTCTGATCCACCCAGATAAGGACTGCAAGCTAAATATCCCTTCTCCCATTGTACTTGCCCCCATTCACTAGAAAGCCAGCTTTCAGATGCTTGTCTTAACAAAAGTGAGGGAGGTGTGCAAGGTGGAAGAGAGTTCATTACATGATGGAACAAGTTTCAGGATACACACACGAGCCCATGACTTGCCTGCTTGGTATGCTGTTGATTTGTTCAATAGAACCCTCCTGTTGATCCCAGTGGGACCTTTGAGTGGGCTGGGAGGCTGCTGGCGGAGCCATCACTCCAGCATATAATATATTTTATTTGTTTGTTGCATTTCTATCACACCTTTTGTCTTGGAGTTTCTACCTCCCCCTGCCCCAGAAAGCACAGCCAGGGTGTTCTCTGAACTGTGGAGCCCTCTCCTCACAGATTTGCTTCTGACACCTAATTGATTTAACTGATTTACACTGTACTTTTAAATAGTTGTAGCCCTGTCTGGGACCCCATTGTAGAGGGCCAACAACAACATATCTAAATGAACAACAGCTACAACTCCTCTTTCCTGGTGGGCCAGAGAAAGTTTTCAACATTTATGAAGTAGGCTTTGTGGGCTCGACATTCAGCAGGGCCTTTTCTTTCTGCTGTAAGCAGCTTCACTCTTCTGTGGAGAAGCGACAACTCTGATGCTGCGCAGTGTTGGGGAGCCTTGGAGTCCAACTATGCATTCCAGAAGGAGGGAAAGGAGGAGCACGAGATGAAGGCAGTGAGCTTTCTCTGCTGCCCTAGGAAGTTACTTCAGGAGGCCTCTATGTAGGACACCTCAAAATGTGGGTTGCCTTTTGTGATGTGCAGAGAATAGGTCAGGACTGATCATCGCGTATCGGAGAATAGTCAAGTAGGCCTAACGAGCGGGAATGTTTCTGACGGAGCTGCACTGCGGTTTAAAGGATCTATCTGTTACATAAGCCCTCAGTTACAGGTTTGGGAACAAGAAACCAGAAGTTTGGAAACCAGAAGTTTTTGGTGGCAGCAGCATCCTGGCCCAGTTGAGCATGGCAGCCTCATTAGGAGTCTGTTTGCTTTCAAGTTCGCAGTGGCAGCATGACATCCACAGATTGGAATTTAGCAGTGCGCAGTTTTCTGTGGACCTGCCCACAAAGTCTTTGAAATTATTCCCAAGTAAGATAGCAAAAAACAGGGAAACAGGGATGGGTTGACCCCAGAAGCTGTGAATTTTGCAGGATGCCTTGGCTGTCAGATCACCTCCCTTCCTTGTCAATAAAATTAGGGCTGCTGTCCATACTAAATTCTATAGTTCTACTCTGCCTGTGTGACATGACCTGCAGCCATGCCCAAATGGTCTAGCTTGCTGTCAGCTAATTCAAACATGGCTCCTGGTACCTCGGTCCCCTGCTGCTCCATGGACAGGTGTTGAAGATAAATGGGGCTATCAAGTCTAGGGCAGGTCGTAGCCCCAGGAGCCGCCAAGTGGTGTTGGGTAGAGCCATAGATGTCATGGGCCTTGCAGAGACTCTGGGCTGTCTCCTGAGAAAAGGGGGAGTCAAAGAAATTAGAGGGCCAGGTAGGATTGCAGATAAACTCTAGCCACAAACAAAATGTTCAGCCACTGCTTCCAAGCCACAGCTAAAAAGATTAATATAAATTGGCTAACAATCACTTTCAAATGCAGTTACTGCAGGCAGCACCTGGCACTCCCAGGCTCCCCAGCACCACTTCCTAGCCAGGTGTCACCCTTGACAGCACTTCTTTCATCATCGCCAGAACCTTTGATTTGTATGCCGCTTTTCCATCGTTGAAACCTTGTTTGAGGCAGCTTACAACATGAAAAGATTTGCCTAATTACAAAAATATAACAAAAGTAATCACAGGCAATGAAGAAAAAGCATGTCAAAACATACACCACCAAATAAAGCAATTGCCATGTTGGTTACTGACTAACTTAAGTACTGGAATCTCGTTTTGCAAGGGATCCGGTTGTTGTGGTTGCAGTGTCTGTGTGTGCACAGCGGAAAAGGGGTGTCTTCATTGCTGCTGCAAGCGGCCTTGCCTACTTGGAAAACCTGGCGTTCCTTAACGTTCTGCACATGTGTCTATAGCTGTGGTGGATCTTCTGCAGGAGCTTACAGACATCGACACCCTTCACGAAAGTGAGGAAGGAGCTGAGGTCCTCATAGACGCGCTGGTGAGTAGCCCCTTCTGGCCAGACCACCTGCCTGGCTGAGAGCCCCCTGTGGTTGGCTCTTGGCTTGCATTTCCTTGTAACGCCAAGCCAGGATTTTCTTACCATGGCCATACACAGCCATCTGTTTGGTTGCGACTATTGAGAGATGAACAGTGCTTTCAAAGGCAAGCACTCAGCTTGAAAGAAGAGGGTCAGGGTGCATTGCCATTTGATGTTCTCGTGAGAGCATGCCAAAAGCCTCGCAGGGTGAGGCCAAGAACCCACCTAGTCCAGCATCCTGGCCTCTCAGCCGACAGCTGGACCTGGTGGGCCCTGAGTGCAACACCCCTCTCCTCCCTCGTGATCCCAAGCAACCTGGAAGGGAGCACAGCGTCTGAATACGCTCTGAACAGCGGGCGGAGAAGCTCAACCATTGTGTCTAGCAGCCAGGGATACGCTTACCCTCTTTGAAAAATGGTTTCTCCACGGGAAATCCAGGGACAGAAAGGACTAAATGGGAATATGAATGAGAGGAGAGAATATCCTTAGTTAGAGACAGCCATGCTTCTGAATACCACTTACTGGAAACCACAGAAGGGAGAGGGCTGCTCTTGTTCTCAATTCCTGCTTGTGGGTTTCCCTTTGGGGCATCTGGCTGGCCCCTGTGAGAACAGGATGCTGGGCTAGGTGGTCCATTGGCCTCATCCAGAAGGCGCTTCTGATGTTCTGACGTTCCCTTCTTCCTCCTAAACTTCCGTTTCTTCCCTGCTGAGCTCCCCTTCCACCTCTCTCTTCCAGCCCCTCTTGTTTCGCAGCAAGCGATGGTAGGCAAAGCGGCTGACATAATTGAAGGGCGCTCCTCCACTGTGGGAAATGCATCCATCCCCTAATCAGAAGCTCGCCTTTCCCAGGTGCTTTTCCTGGGGAGAATTCTTGAGTTTTTGCTGGCCAGAACTGCCGAGCTGAGCGGGCTGTATGGGGCTGTGCTAGAAGGGATGCCAGGCCAGCTGTCAGCGCTAGTGCGAACATCTCAATGTGAGCCTTTCCACCCTCCGTTTTGAGGGGAAGGGGTTGCTGCACTCGTGAAACACCTGGGCTGCTCTGCGGCCTTTTGGCTGCTCTGCGGGGGTGGAGAGGGCAGGGAGCTGTCAGTTTGGAAGAGCAGAGCAGCGGCTGCAAACTTCTCCCCCACAATCTCTCCTGCCTCTCCGTTTGTGATGTTACCTTCCAGAGGTTAATTACCGTTGTCCCAAATGAGTTCTTCTGGCTGGCCTCTGAGCTTTTTTAATTACCGGCTCTTCGTTACAAGAGCCGGCCGAATAAATGAGATGGCGAGGCTGGGTGGGGGTAGGGGGGGAGACCAGAAGTAGGTGCCGAGGCTGTGTTCTGAATCTGTTGCGCAGAGAAGCAATAAACCTGGACAAAAGCTCCTTTTGTGCCTGCTCCTTTCTTCCAAGCTTGCTGACAATAGCCAGGTTTCGAGAGTGCTTTATTGTCTACCTTGAGCGAAATGGGTCACGGTTGACTTCTGAATGACTCCCCTTTATTTTACGGGAATAATTACTTTCTGGACATTCGAGCCAAGGTCACTGGGTTGCCCGCTAACGTGATTTCACACCCCACGAGTGTTGTTGTGTTCTGACATCAAATTGTGAGGGTGCTCTGGTCGGTGGAACTGGATAGGGTATCTTAACGGACCATCTAGTCAGATCTGCTGGAAGGGCAGGAGTTGGTCATGCTCAGCTCTGTCCACATGGTTAGATTCCAGGGGATGCTTTCTTGAACAATTCTTGTGCCAGCAAATCTTCAGGATGGAGCATCAAGGAAACTCATTACTTACTGCATTTATTTATTGAATTTATACCCCACCTTTTCCTCCAAGGAGCTCAAGGGGGTGGACATGGTTCTCCCACCCTTCATTTAATCCCCACAACAACCCTGTGAGGTAGGTTAGACTGAGAGGCAGCGACTGGGCCAAGGTCACACCCAGGGAGCTTCATGGATGAGTGGGGATTTGAGCCCTGGTATCTGTCAGGAGTGCGTGCAGGAGCCAGGCCCTGGGACCAGTAGGGCTTTGCAGGACTGGGGCCTTCCTAAGTTTGTTCTGAAGAGCAAGGCACAGCCGCACAGGTGAGGCCGCTTGGTAACATGGTGGCAAGAGCCGGGAAGGGATATAAGGTCCGCATTTCCCTTTGGCTCTTTGCCACAGCAACATGCTTCCTACCTTGCTGCGTTTGGCTTCTTGCTTCCTGATCCTTGAACCATGGCTTCTTGACTCCTTGCTTCTCGACCCTCGGACCCTTGACTTCGTGACTCCCTGCTTCCTGACCCTCTGACCCCTGGCTTCTGGACTCTCGTTCCTGCTCTCACCCCGCCATCTTGCCCCCAGTCCCGACGTCCTCAGCTGGGACTTCAATCGCCCGTAGACCGGACCTTGACAGTCTCCCAGGTCTTAGTCTGACACGAACCCCCACACCATTACTGACTCTCCTTGCTTCAAGTCCATCCTGTGGACTCCTACCCACCCAAGAACTCAGGGTCCTATGGATCATCCTTGCGGAGCCTAAACACATTGTGTTTAGGTTTTCCCACCCTAATGTTCACCTGCAGGGCTGTCAGTGGCTCCTAGCCACAGTGGCTCTGCTATTCCTCCACAGCTGGAGGCAGCAGAGCTTCTCAGTACCAGTTGTTGGAACTGCAGGAGGGGAGAGGGTTCTTGCGCTTGAATCCCGCTTGTGGGTTTCCCACTGGGGCATCTGGTCGGCCCCTGTGAGAGCAGGATGCTGGGTAGATGGGCCCCCTTTGGTCTACCCCAGCCGGCTCTTCTTACATTCTTAAATCCAGTAAAGAATAGAAATAAACAATGAGAACCAGCTCAGTGAAATCGGCTGCAGCATAATAGCAGATGTCTTGGCTTGCGAAATTGTGCTCAGAGTGAATGTTGTTCGTGTCCAAAGATAATTTTAATCAGATAAAGTTGCCTTCAGCTGCATTCGTTGTGTAGGCTACATCATAAAAGGCAGGGAGTGATTGCTTGGTGTGTGTTCCCCTCCCTCCCCCTTTTGAAAAGGCGGCATTTCTTCCCCAAGGCTTTCATTATGCGTAATTGCTGGCCCTTGGATTCTGCCCCAGCCCCTCAGCAGGCGAGCAGGACTGGAATCCTGCTCCATCCGCAACTGGCAATTGCTTTCAAGGTTGACAGGCAGCTGATGCCCAGTTGGGCTGTTCGCTTGGCACTTTGGAATTCGGGGAGATTATAAGTCAATCAAGGCATGATTTAGGGAATAGCAGACTTGTGACAAGGTTCACATTCTTCAGGTGTTTTTCGGTTGTGTCTGACGTAGGAAAGTTGTCCAATTAATTACGGGGGAAACACTGCAGTGGAGTTTAAGGGGGGGAGCTTTGAGAGCCAGCTTGTTCCATTATCAGAGCGCATCTCACTGCAGTGCTGGTTGTAGTTATAATTATTATTATGTTTTGACTTCTGATTTTCCACCAACTCCTCATTTTGCACTGATTTCTGCCACCCCCACTCCCTTAGGAACCTCTCTCCTAACCTTTATGTCTCCCTCTTTTGTGGCTCAGGTTGATGGGCAGGTGGTTGCCTTGCTGGTCCAGAATCTGGAGCGCTTGGATGAAAGTGTCAAGGAGGAGGCAGATGGTGTCCATAACACTCTGGGTAAGGAGGGCTTGACGGGCATCCTCTCATCGTGGACCCAGTCGGCAAGGACACAGATGTGTGTCACTGTTTTATAACGTTCATAGAGCTCCATGTGGTGGATCTCATTTGAGAGCAGATGTACCTGCTGATGTTGGGGTCTGGGAGCAGGTCTTAGAGTGCAGCCAGGCCTTTAAAATGTCGGCTGTGCTATCTCTTAGCAGTATATTTGAAGGCAATCAGCTGACTAATAACTCCATCGCTCACCTTGTTCCATAGTGAGGGCTTCCACGTAACTTTAGGAATTTAGGGACATACCTTCAGCCATCCATTATTGAGTGGAAATAATGAGTTGAGGTGTATCTGCGACTACCCTGCTTTCCTTCATACTGATGTTTCCCTCGCAGCCGGGTGCTGGAATCAGATGACCATCTAACCACCCTGTTTCCTTGGAGCAATCTCTTAAATCAGCTCCACCACAATATAATGGCCAGCAGCCCCTCTGAATCTGTCATCTTCCACTCAGTTTTAAAAAAAGGTTGATATTTTGCTGACTAGATATACCTGTAGAGGAGATAAGAGGGAAGGAAAATGCCTGGAGACTTGGTGCTGCAGTCTGGGAATCTGAAATTCCTTCTGGGTGCAGTAGCTATTGAGGTGTAGATGTGGATAGATGAAAATGGAGTTTTGCAGCTGGGGGAGTGGCGGCGGATGCAGGAACTTGAGGTTCTCTCTCTCTGTGTGTATGGAGAGTTCTTTACTTTATTTGGATGCTGGAAAAGGAAGTTGCTTCTCCCCATAAACAGAGCAAGCAGCAGCCAAGAAATGCCTTTTCCAGACACAGAATCGCGCTTCCTGGGCGACATTGCAAAGAATGACCCTGAAGTAATGGTCCTTGTGTCAGAGCTGGTTGGTTTGTCAACAGAGAAAAAAATGCCACAAAAACAAAAGACCCTCTGCTGTGTAAGGCTTTTTACCATTTCAAGAAGAGCAGCTGGTGGTTTAGGGTTTTTTTGGGGGGAGGGGGAGGGTGTGTGTGTTCATAATTATGAATTCTGGTTTAAGCCTGGATATTTATTTCCTTTTTAATTTTTGTTGATTTATTAACTACCCCAAAAGTGCAATCTTAACGAGATGAAACCCCTCCCCACACCAAGAATCAAAAGTTTAAACCATAAAGTGTCCCAGCTCCGGAGGCAAATAGTTCAAATATAAAGAGTAACTCCAAAGAGGGATAGTAAAGTATTAATGCATACAGAGATTCCCTTAACAAATAATAAAGATTTATAAAATATGAAAGTGTTCTTCATCTGTGAGTTCCATCCTAATCGAGAATAAAGTTTCTATATGGTATTAAATGAGCCAGAAATTTGCATGTACTGTGACAGCACTGAGTCACCATTTGCCTTAATATCTGTAAAAGAAATAAAACCGTGCCGTATCTTTCTTTTTCTTACCTGTCCCTTCCCCGCCCTTCCTTCCAAAGCTATCATTGAGAACATGGCAGAGTTCCGGCCAGAGATGTGCTCAGACGCTGCCCAGCAGGGCCTCATGCAGTGGCTCCTCAAGAGGCTGAAGGCAAGTCACCCAGGCCTCTCCTGATTCATGTGCCAGACACTGATTTTAGCTCCTCTTGTCCTCCCTTTTTATTGCTCCCCCTGGTTAGCTCTCAGTCAGTGGTGCAAGGAGGGAGCTGCAGCCCAAGACAGGTGTTTCCTTGCCAGCTCTTATCCCACCTTCTTTAAATGACTTCGGATCTCCAGGGCCGGATGAGCTGCACCGAAGGGTACTAAAGGAGCTTGCAGATTTATTCTCAGAGTCAATGATCTTTGAGAATTCTTGGAGAACAGGCGGAGTCCCTGCAGACTGGAGGCAGGCAAATGTTGTCCCCATCTTTACAGAGGGGGAAAGACTTGGGTACCATCGACTGACCGGTCAGCTTCACATTGATACCATGAGAGGTCCTAGAACTTAGATGTATTCCGAAGCAGTGGTGCCTCCAACTGTGGAGGACAGAGCAGAGCCATCGTGGCTAGGAGCCATCGGCAGCCCTCTCTGATTCCATGAACTTGTCCAATCCTCTTTGAAAGCCACCCGGGTTGGTTGCCATCCCTGCCTCCAGTGGCAAGGAGTTCCATAGTTTAACTCTGCGCTGTGTGAAGAAGTGCTTTCTTTTAGGATGAGGAGGCAAATGAAGGCAGTGTGCCCCTAGTCTGCGCTATCCCTTGTCCTTCATGCCTTTCCTTTCAGATAATCTGGCTGAACCAGGAATGCTCAAGGGCCCAGTTTTTTGTTTGAGCAGAGCCATTGTCCTTCCATGTTCTCCTGCTCTCTGGCTGCCACAAGTCCCCTTGCGCACTCCTGTAAGGAATATACCGCCTGCTGCAGAAACCCATAAATGTTCCTCTTGTGACCCTATGCACTTGTTAGCAGAAGCAATTTGTAATTTGCTGGTTGCAGGTGATAACAGAACTTACGTTTTCTGCTCTCTCTCCTCCCCCCCCCCCAAGCCACTATTCTAATTTTATTCTACTCAAGTCTGTCTTGAGCATAAAACTGGTCTCTGCTTTGTAATTATCCTGCTAACTCAATGTCTTAGAAACTGGGGCATCTAGGAATAGCAATGCAGCTCCTCCATTTCGAGGCACCACCGTCGCCTCGCCACCTTTAAAATTCCCAGTCCTCGGTGCAGGATCCACACCTTTCCCCTCTTACTTCCCACACTGGAGGGTTCCGCTGGGTTTGATGAAATGTGACCAGGTGGCAGAGACATCCCAGTATAGCGGAGGGTCATTAATGGGGAGCTTGCCTGTTCGTGGGGCAGTGATCTGATGAACTTCCCAGGGTTCTCCTCCCTGCTTGGAGAAAGGGAGAGTAAGAGGCGCCATGATAGAATTGGATAAAATCATGCATGGCATGGAGAAAGGTTTCCCTCCCTCTCCCATGATACAAGAACTCATGGATGTCCAGTGAAGCTGAATTTTGGAAGGTTCAGGACAGACAAAAGAAAGCCCTCCTTCACACAGCCCATAGTTAAGCGGTGGAACTCTCTGCCACTGGAGGCAGCCATGGCGACCAACCTGGAAGGATTTAAAAGAGGATTAGACAAATTCACAGAGGAAATTCCTGGAAGCCACAGGAAGGCTGAGTGCTCTCCTGCTCGGATCCTGCTCGCTGGTTTCCCCCAGTTGGCCTCCATGAGAGAGCAGGGTGCTGGGCCTGATCTAGCAGATGCTCTCCTGACGCTCTCACCTGACGGGCTTCTCTGCTCTGACTCTTCCGACAGGCAAAGATGCCCTTTGACGCCAACAAGCTCTACTGCAGCGAGGTCCTGGCCATCCTTCTCCAGAATAAGGACGGTGAGAGAGCTGACCTGGGCGGATTGGTATTCTGCTGGGCTGTGCCTCTGGCTTGTTTCAGATCATGACAGCTTCCGCACTCGCTCACTCCCTCTGTTTCCCTCCCCATCGGTGCCTCGCGCCTCCTGCCTTTGGCTTCCCCTTCCTTCTGCTCACTCTCTGTCTCCTTCCCTCCTCTTTCTCTCCGCAGCTTCTGTACTCTGTCAAGCCATATTGATTTTGTTTGCTGATATATCGGTGTTAGATGGCTGTAAAATCTGACAGTTGGCTTCATTCTCCCCCCTCCCTCTCTTCCTGTAGACAACAGGGAATTGCTCGGGGAACTGGATGGAATCGATGTGCTGCTTCAGCAGTTATCTGTGAGTAATTCGCTGCCATCTTCCCTGCCATTGGGAGCCCCAGAGCCAGGCTTTTAGAACCGGGGAGGAAGGGCAGGAGCAGAGAGCAGGTCCCAGCAGTGGCAACGGCAGGTGCTTCACAGCATCTATGCGCTTTGAGGCGCATGCCTGCCATCCTGAGAGGGGGCACGGCCCCATTTGCTTGCTGCCAGCTTGGATGACTTTAAAAGAACCATTGTAGAGTTGGAAGGGGTCTAGTCCAACCTCTTGGGGCATTCATGGAGAATTTGGTCACCAGGGGCTCCTTGTTGTTACTTGCTTTATTTATTTCATTGCATTTATAAAGGTAAAGGGACCCCTGACCATTAGGTCCAGTTGTGGCCGACTCTGGGGTTGCGGCGCTCATCTAGCTTTACTGGCTGAGGGAGCCGGCGTACAGCTTCTGGGTCATGTAGCCAGCATGACTTAGCCACTTCTGGCGCACACATGCAGCTGATATTTATGAGGTTTTTTTGGGGGGTGTTGCTTTTCGGGGAGGGACGAGACAGACAGTAAAGCCTTCCGGCTTCCTCCCCACGCAGGTGTTCAAGCGCCACAACCCCGGTGCGGCAGAAGAGCAGGAGATGATGGAGAACCTCTTTGACTCCCTTTGCTCCTCGCTGATGCTGAGCTCCAACCGGGACCGTTTCCTGAAAGGGGAGGGGCTGCAGCTGATGAACCTCATGCTCAGGTGAAAACCGGCAGACGTAAGACATGGTGCATGGCCGCTTGTTGCAATGAGCCCTTCCTCCCCACAATTCCTCCCCCCCCCCCCAATATATCCAGGAGTTGGGTATTAGTACTAGTATTGTATTCATTTCGATCCCTTCTTTTTCCCTGACCAGGGACTCAAGGCTGCTCACAGCTAAAACAGAAACAGATAAAAACATAGTGGGCAGAAAACAATAATTTAAAAACAATTAAACATTAACAGTATGTACCTGTGTATGTATGCCCTATTAGAATATACAGACCATTACAATAAAAACAGCAAAGGACCAGGCCTTTTGTTAAAAACAGTCAGTTCCCCAAAGCCTGTTGGAACAAGAAAGCCTTCAGCTCCCAGCAAAAGGACTACCTTCTCTAGGCAGGGAGTTCCAAAGTTTCCTGATAGCAGCCACCACCGAGAAGGCCCCCTTCCCCATCCCCACCAGGTGTGCCTGTGAAGGTGGCAGGGCTGAGAGAAGGGCCTCTGCCAAAGATCTCAAAACCCGAGCAGGTTCATACGGAATAATACGGTTCTTCAGATGGACCTAAGCCATATAGGGCTTTATAGGTCAGAACCAGCACTTTGAATTGTGCTGGAAACTGACCGATAGCTGGTGGAGCTGTTGTGACAAGGAGGATATCTTGAAAAGAGGATTAGACAGCTGCATGGAGGAGAGGGCGATGGAGAGGCCGACTAGCCAGGATGGGATGCTTGATGATTCTGAATACCAGCTGCCAGAAGCCACAGGAAGGGAGAGTTGCTTTGGAGCTCCAATCCTACTTGTGCATTTCGCATTGGGGCGTCTGGTTGTCCACTGTGAGGACAGGATGCTGGACTAGGTGGGCCATTGGCCTCATCCAGCAGATGTTCTTCTTAAGTACTAGACTGAAGGCCTGTATGGCACCCCGAGGTGTTGATGGTGGTCACTGAAGGCTGCAGGCCCATTTGGAGACGCCTCCCTCTGCCGCCAGCTCCTGCTCTCCCAGAGATGTTTTCATATACAGCAGCAAAGGCATCTGTGCAAACGGCTTGTGCTTTGGGGCGGGGTGTGTGTGTACTGGACTGAAGGCACCCCACATGTGCCTGTATTCGGAGCCTTACGGTGTCTGTGAGGGAGGTGGGTCTGAATGGCAGCCCACTTCCTCTCGGCGTACACAAGACACACACTTCTCACGTTAGACTTCTTTGCCTTTTGCATGTCCAAAATTCACAGCTGGAATCAAAGTGCTGCCAACCAGGCTTTGTGCTGGAGGCTTTTGCTGGCCGCTCAATCATTGTTTCTTGCCAGTCCCACAAGTGGCTATGGACAGACATTCTGTGGAGGTAGATAAAAAGCTCTGCCTCCCTTTTTCTCCCCGCTCCCCCCTTCTGTTAACCCTGCTAAGAGTGAGCTTTTTTAATGAAACAGCTTCCGGACCCTCCTCCCTTTTTTTCGTTCCCCCTTGCGTGCCCGAGTCCCAGCCTCGATGCCTTCCTTGCCCCCTCTGGCATCTAGCTCTCCTTGCCCATCCCCAAACCGCGCCCTGCCCAGGGCTTCCTGCCTGCCCACCCGCTCGCTCGCTTTCCCTGGGTGGGCTGAGCGGCGCAGAGAGGCGGCTGGCAAGTGCTGGCTGGCAAGAAATGATCTATTCCTGCAGACTAAGGCTGGTAATGTGCAACGGCAGCAGCAGCAGGGAACTGAATAAATAACCAGGAACGTGGATTATTATTCAGACCGGAGTGCTGAGTTTTCTTAAGGCTAATTAAAGCAAAGCTGCAAAGCTCTGAAACCGTGAACAAGAGGGAGGCTTCTCTCTTCTCTCTCTCTCTCTCTCCCCCCCCCCCCGCCTCCTGGATTTCCCGTCCTTTTCTCCTCTGAACGCTAAGCTTGCACGGCTAGCCTTGCAGAACTAATCACCTGGAGTCCTTGAGCCATATGGGTGGGACCTTGCATTTTAATTTTTAATTTTTTTTAATGGCTTCCCTTCCTTTTTGGGTGGAGTGGGGAGGGGGCTGTGCTGTTCACCACCCTTCTCTTCCCTGGTACTAGCTGGCAAATAACAACAAGGAGAAAATGTCTCCCTGGACGCAGCTGCATTTAAAAGGAGCTCTGAAGGGCAAAGCGTAAATAAACCAGCAGCCCCATCTGTTGCTGCTGCTGCTGTAGCACCTCTGCCTCCACCATAGAATGGGGTGGGACGTCTCTTTCCCTGATAAGGATGGCTAGGCATGGGGGGGTCGTGCACAAGCCAGAATGTGCAGCCATTTCCCATTGCTGTATTCGTGAGCCTTCAGATGGCACAGCATCACGGCCTCCAAATACTAAAGGCCAGGGCACAGCCAACATGGTGCCTCCATATGCTGTAAATTGCAGCTGCATCATACTTGGCCGTTGGCTGGGACTGACTGCAGTTGTAGCCCACAGAAACTGGACCAGATTAATGCAGTGTGGCGTACTTGGGGTTGCCCTTGAAGACGACTCTTGAAACTTCCAGCTGGTCCAAGATGCAGCCATCCGATTCTTGGCTGGGTTGCCTTCAGAACCCCTGTAGCTGCGGTTCTGAGACATTGGCATTGGCTGCCAGTTTGTTGCCCCGTTCACTTCAAGGCACTCACTCTAGTGTTCAAAGCCCTAAGGGGCTAGGCCCCAGGTACCCTAGAGACCGCCTCCTTCCCTGCAAACCCTCTCGGGTGTTGAGATCAGCAGAGAGAGCCCCATTGTTAGTTCCAGCTCCCTCAGAAGTTTGGGGAGGGGTTAGTCTGGAAAGGCATTCTCTGTGGCAGTCCCTAAATTGTGGCGCTCCATTCCCACAGAGGTGCATCTGGCTTCTTCACTCTACAGCTTTTGGTGACTGCTGAAGATGCACCTCTACTTGTGCCTTGGACACCTGAGATGCGTGTTTTCAGGACCTACTCTTTTCCTGTAATCTGTTTCATTTTAAATCTGAATTTTAAATGGTTGTGACCTGTCCTGGACCTGGTGATGAAGGGCAGATCATCATCATCATGGTATAACTTGACCCAACCTCGCCTCCTCCTCAAACTCCACTAGCTTCAATGAGAGGCTTTGCCACTGGCTAGAGGCGGACCTGGTGCAGCAAGATGTGAGAATCTGGACTTTAAATCTTCCATGTTCTAGAGGGGAAGGAATTAAACTCCAGCATATGCCCTTCCCTTCATGCCGGAGGAATGGTCCGTAGGTTAGTGGTGAAATGCATGCTTGGCACACAGAAGGGCTCAGGTTAAATCACTGGCGTCTCCAGCGGAAAGCATCTTTGGCCGCTGGTCATGGGCAGGAACCATTTCTAGATGGCCTAGGAGAGCTCCTCTCGCTTGCAGAAGACAGCTTGATGAGTCTGACTCTGCACAAGAACATAAGAGCCCTGCTGGATCAGGCTGGGGCATCCTGTTCCCACAGTGGCTAATTCACAGGCAGGATTTGAGCACAAGAACACCCCCCTCAAAGTGGTTTCCAGCAACTGGTATTGCTGGAATACCAGTTCCACTGGTTTTACTAACATCTAGAGTGCACTGAGGTTGCTTGTTTCAGTGGCAAGAAAGCAATGTTTTCTGGAGTGAATGTGGATCATGTGAACTGAAGGGGGCCGGGGCAGTTAGGAGTGCCTCATCCGTATGGAGATGGGGCACGTTCTCTCCGTGAAGGGCAAGGGGAGGCCGCTGGAAGGAGCTGCATCATTTTTGGTCCAAATTTGAAGAGTCTGCATGGGTGGCATTCCTGTTTGCTTATTCAGCAAGGGACGTGGGGAGGGCTTTTGCCCTCGGACCACCTTCCTGTAAATTGAATGTGTCCCACGCGAGGAGGAGAGAAGGCCAGGCCAGGGAGGAGGCGAGATTGCTTGCTTGCATGTGTGCACTCCGTTCCATCAGTGGGGAGCGTATTTGCCTTGGCTGCAAATGAGCAAATGCAGTTTGCAAGTTGGTGGCCTCCAACTGGAGGTTTAGAAATGTCACATCCAATTAAGGTCTCTCCCCAAGCACAATTCAATTTCTTTCTCCAGATTGGGAGCTGCCTGAGGCTTCCAGGAGAGAAAGTGAGGTGTCCTTCTGAGGCTTGCAGAGAGAGAGAGAGAGAGAGAGAATCGCATTGTCAAGTGCCTTGGGAGCATTGGCACGAGACTTATTACACCCCTTCTTGTGTGGAGGAGAAACCCTCCTTCTCTCAAGCAGCTGCCTGGGAAGGCCTCACCCTGTATTTATAGCAAGCAGGGAATGAGCTTGTCTTGACTTTTAAGTGCCAGGAAACACATAGGGGAAATGGAGACACATATTGAGTGTGGGGGAGAAGGTTCGTAAAGCTTTTCTCGGCGGGGTGGGGTGGGGAGGCTCTCTTGCAAAGCCATTTGTGGTGGCTTCCCTTGACCACCTTTGCTGGCTGCAAGAGGGCTGTGGGCCCAGTCAGGAATAACGCATGAAAGTCAGGAGTGCGTTTGCATGCAGAACGCACTGCAGCAGCCCCTGCAAAAATATTTCATTACGTCTCTTGTTTTCATGTCACATCAGCTCCTTGGAAACCCGAAAATTAATGTGTATCTACTGAAATTTCCTTTCAGCACAGCCTCACGCTGTGTTTATCTAGCAGAATCAGAGCCTCGCGCCACTGTTTCCTAATGCGCACCCTTCTGCAAACATCCTGCGATAACAGTCCTTCGGTGAAGTGACTTTGGCTTCTGGTACCCTGCTTTGGGGGAGTTTCTTGGGGCCTTTTGTCTTCCTTCCTGACAGGGACAAGGAAGGGAGTTGCCCGATGGACAGGGTTTGGCAGCAGTGCTTCTGAAGACCAGTTGCTGGAGGCCACAGGAGGGGAAAGGGCTGCTCTTGTGGTCGAATCCTGCTTGTGGGTTTCCCATAATGGGCATCTGGTTGGCCACTTGGAGGCTGGATGGCAGAGGCCACTGGCTTGACTTAGTAAGCTCTTCATATGTTCTTGGTCATTTGGCACCAATGCCCTGTGGGTGCTTCTGAAGTCATTCTTCCATAGATTGCCAGGATTTCAAGGTATCTGGGGAGGGAAGGAGGGGTTGGACCCAGCAGCTGCCGTTCTCCCGTCTCTAATTCTGGAGGTTAGACTGCCACACAGGGGCTGCCCTTGACTCCTAACAGCTTCAGAGCATGTAGCACACAGTCCACCAAGAGTGGTTTCTGGATGCTTTTTGAAGCGCTCTTTGGACGGCCTCCTTCCTGGAACCCTCCACCACCATTGCCATCCCTGTGGCTGTCCTCTTCTCCATCCTGGAGGCTGATCTGCTTTCACTCTCCTGTCTGCTTGCACAACTTGTGACTCACCAAGCCAAAGGCAGCCCACTAGCTGCGCTTGGAGACCTGCTGGGTGCTTAATATATCACCATTTCTTTCAGTTTTGGACATGTAGCAAAGCCAGGAGGTTTTCTGAGCCTTTTCATGAGTTGTGCTTGGCCTGGTGGGTTTCCAGTGCCAGGAAGTTGTCAGTGCAATGAGTTTGTTCCTGGTCTTTTTAAGGTCCAGGTCAGTCGCTCCTTTGGTGAGGCTCTCAGGCTGTGGTTTCTGAATTAGTTCTCACCCAAGAGAGATTTCAATAAGCCCAAGATGAGACTAAGATAAACTGCTTGCCCTCTAGTAGAATAAATATTTCAAATAAAATCAACCTGAGACAGTCCAGTCAAACAGCTATTGATCTCTACAAGCCTGAACTTAAACCCAATGAATATTCCAGAGATCAGCTCACTGCAACCTACCTAAATGCTGATCAATATGCAATTACTTCCCCTGAAAAAGGAGTCCTGAAGTTCTCCAGCCGAACCTGAACTTTATTTTTTAGCCTTTTATTATTGCCGCTTGCAAGGTGAAGGAGAGCTGGAAGTGGCAAGGGCAGGAGAGGGAGGAGGAGGTGAGCGGATTACTTTCCACAGCAGGCTCCTTCCTGTAAGTGCTCTGTGCTGCCCTGCTGAGCACTCAAAAGGGTAGCCTGTGAAATGGGTTCGTCTTACAGTGACGTTCTATCCAAGCATCAGCTCACTTGGCCTGCTCCACCGTACAAAGTTCGGATTTCTTGGGTAGCTTTCTGTATTGCTTTACATTGTGCACCCCTTTGAGACATCTTGTGAAAAGGGGTGTAGAAATATTCTTAATAGATGAATCAGGGCAGGCTTCTAATAAAGCAGCTGGCAATATGGTTGCACATTTAAGTTGCAATAATTTACCTCTCGGAGTTAAGATCTCAGAAGTGGCTTCACCTACATTGAAGAATTTTTGTTGGGATAAAATGGAGTCATGGAGTGTGATGTGTGATCCTTCTCTAGGGTGCAATTGTGATTGGTTGGTTGGTTGGTTGGTTGCTTGGATGGATGGCCGTCTGCCAGGGATTCTTTAGCTATGATTTCTGCGTTGCGGTGGGTTGGACTAGATGACCCTTGGGTCCCTTCCAACTCTACAGTCATATGATTCCGCAGACCTGCAGTCTAACACATACTCTTTGTGCCATCATATTTTGCATTTCCCAGCCCCTCTTTTGCATCATTTGCATCCCTGGCTGTGAAACACGTGGCAGAAAGGCACTCTGGGCATGGGCAAGTTGGACAGCGCATTATGGAAGGGCAGTGGTGGTGGAATTAATCCTAAAGACACTGCTCTTTGCCGCTGCCGTGTGTGCAATCTTAATCCTGCTCCTCTTCCTCCTTATGCCTTCTTGGCTTCCCTGGAGGCTTCCCTACACAGCACAGGGCAAACAGGATGTCTGACGTCTGCCTCTGCCTTTGGCAACGCAGCCCTGTGTTCTGGGATCAAGGAGGCAAGGAATTGACCCTCCTTGGCTGGGCCCAGCGTGAGGCTGTGCTGGCCTTTTTAGCGTCGTGTTGGAAGGAGTTGGCTTCGACTTACAAGAAGCTGCCAAGATTTGTTCATCCTCTTTCTTCCCTTCCTCTCATCTGCTCATGTTCCAATTCAAGCATCTTGGTGGCTGTTCTTCTCTTTTGGTTTTGCTTTAGGATTTTTGTTTCTCCAAATCGGACGCCCGCCCCCGAACAAATTGGGAGTTATGCTTTGCTGAATGGAGCTGTGTCGGCAATCAAACGCCCGCTTCCTTGCATTCTCTTTGTTGGCATGAATTTCAAACATACGTCCGCAGTGGTATTTTGCAGCAGCATTTTGCGAAGTGCCTGTTTCATTCCCTGCTGCTGGCAACAGCCATGGAAAAAGGCAGAAAATCCTGGCTGATTTGCTTACTGGTGTTCTGCATTCACAGGCCAAAATGAGGGCTGAGTTCCAGCTTTGCTCTTGAACACAGGGAAGAAAAACACACATACACCTAAAATAATTAAGTTGGTTGCTGGTAAACTATTGTGGATTGCTGGGTTCTGTGGGTGTGAGAGGATGGCGTCCTATAAAGGGCCACTTCACATATTGCATGCTTTAAGCGTACGTTTGAAACGAAAATGTGAAACGGAATTGAGCAGGTGTAAGAGCCTGAATGTGGCTTCTTCCTTTCCTCTATTCCCCATTTCTGCTTCCTTGCACACACATGTAGCTGCCATACAAGAAATATGAAACATTATTAGCGGATCAATATGGCTATGAGTAGGGAGTGCTTCCCCCCCTTGACATATCCATTGCGCCTCATCCCTCTTGCTAGTTACAGCTGTAAGAGGGGAGACCCAGTCCCCATGTACGAAAGGTCAATAAAACAACAAGAACACCTTGTGCGAAATAAATTTGCACTCATGTTTCAAGTTTGAGAATTAGACTGTAATCGTGGCTGACTTCCATCCTCCCCCGTACTGGGGATACAGCTTACAGGAATCTCTCTTGCCTTCAGAAAGGGAGGTCGTGTGCAATTGACAATCCAGGTTCTCTCGAAAGGTTAGCCTAGCCTTCCCTGACCTTGTGCCTTCCAGATTCCGGCTAGGGCTGATGGGAGTTGTAGACCAAGCCATCTGGATCGGGTAGCAGGTTGAGGAAAGCTGGAGTAGTGTACGAAATCGAGCTTTGGAATTTAAAGGGTTCCAACTCAGGCACTGAGATGGTTGGGGGCTGTTCTGGTTTTCCATATACACAGTTGTACTTGGAACTGGGAGACATGGGTCCCGTCTCCATCATGTGGTTGTTGTGCAGGCTTGGTCTAGTCACTCTCTCTGCTTCTGTTTCCACATCTGTGAAATGGGTAGAGCATTGATCCGCCCTATGGTTGCAAGCACAATGAAGACTGTAAAGCACTAAGTAATAATAATAATTTATTATTTATACCCCGCCCATCTGGCTGGGTTTCTCCAGCCACTCTGGGCGGCTTCCAACAGAATATTAAAATACAGTGGTCTGTTAAACATTAAAAGCTTCCTTAAACAGGGCTGCATTCAGATGTCTTCTTAAAGTCTGGTAGTTGTTTTACTCTTTGACACCTGGTGGGAGGCGTTCCACAGGGCGGGTGCCACTACTGAGAAGGCCCTCTGCCTGGTTCCCTGTAACTTGGCTTCTTGCAGCGAGGGAACCGCCAGAAGGCCCTCGGAGCTGGACCTCAGTGTCCAGGCTGAATGATGGGGGTGGAGACAACTCCTTCAGGTATACTGGACCGAGACCGTTTAGGGCTTTAAAGGTCAGCACCAACACTTCGAATTGTGCTCAGAAACGTACTGGGAGCCAGTGTAGGTCTTTCAAGACCAGTGTTACATGGTCTCGGCGGCTGCTCCCAGTTGCCAGTCTAGCTGCCGCATTCTGGATTAGTTGTAGTTTCCGGGTCACCTTCAAAGGTAGCCCCACATAGAGCGCATGGCAGTAGTCCAAGCGGCAGATAACCAGAGCATGCACCACTCTGACAAGACCGTCTGGGGCAGGTAGGGTCTCATCCTGTGTACCAGATGGAGCTGGTAGACAGCTGCCCTGGACACAGAATTGACCTGCGCCTCCATGGACAGCTGTGAGTCCCAAATGACTCCCAGGCTGCGCACCTGGTCCTACAGGGGCACAGTTACCCCATTCAGGACCAGGGAGTCCCCCACACCTGCCTGCCTCCTGTCTGCCCAAAACAGTACTTCTGTCTTGTCAGGGTTCAATCTCAATCTGTTAGCCGCTATCCATCCTCCAAATTGAAAGTGCCAAATGATGATCAGTAGTGTTTTTAAACAGAGGTTGGGTGGCCATCTGTCAGGGATTCTTCAGCTGTGATTCCTGCATTGCAGGGGGTTGAACTTGCTTGCTCTTGGACAAAAATACCGAAATGGTGACAAAACTGATTATTAAGATAGAACCAGTGACAAAGGAAACAGAAGCGGTGGAGGTCTTGATGCAAGGGCTGGAGGAAATTTTTTAGAAAATTGTATATTGTGATTGATATGAAGAAATACCAGGAGACACTAAGGGCATATATGGATGGCATGGGAGGTGGGCAGGAAATATTTGGGAATGCCTTGGTGGCTGAAATGAGGCAGAAATTACAGCCTCTGAGACTAAGAGGAGACTGTGAGGAAGGTGAGCAGGATTTTAAATCAGACTTAACTGATAGTCACCTTCCAGTGAAATTTAAATATGCCAAAGTTAGGAAAAAGATTGGGAAACGATTATTATATATGTGCAAAATAAATTAATTGATACACTGACAGGCTCAGATTACACACTTGCAATCAGCAAAATTTGGATAAAATTAGAAGAAGAAGAATTGACGAAGTACAGTGGTACCTCGGGTTACATACGCTTCAGGTTACATACGCTTCAGGTTACAGACTCCACGAACCCAGAAATAATACCTCGGGTTAAGAACTTTGCTTCAGGATGAGAACAGAAATCGTGCTCCGGCAGCGCGGTGGCAGCAGGAGGCCCCATTAGCTAAAGAGGTGCTTCAGGTTAAGAACAGTTTCAGGTTAAGAATGGACCTCCAGAACGAATTAAGTACTTAACCTGAGGTACCACTGTATGCGTAAGGAAATGCAGAAGAATTTTGTTAGAATCAGAAGAAGAACTGATGAAGTATGTGTATGAAAATGCAGAATTTTGTTAATATAAGGAACCAGAAGAGAGAATGGAGAGAAGTCATGAGGTCTAAAGAACATCAAAGATAAGGTTTTGAAATGTTTTTGGGGATGGGGGGCATTTTTGTTTTTGTTTTTTGTGGTTAATTGTGGAAATTAACTTGAAAAAAACCAATAAAATTATTTACCCAAAAAAAGAACTTGATTGATCTTGGGGCTCCCTTCCGACTTGCAGATTTCTGATTCTAACTGTGTGAAAGGCTTTTAACTGGATTGGTTTCTTGCCTACTGAGGTGCAAGCAAGTTTCTCATTCATTGGTGCTTACTTATGCGGTGGACCTAAAAGAGCAAGTGTGCCCTTTTGCAGTTGGTGCAAGAGGAAAGGAGGCAGAGAAGTTCGCTGTGTCTCAATGGCCAACCCAAAGTAGAGAGTGCTCCGATCCTCTCTTTTCTGCGGACTAAGACTGAACTTTGCTGCTTGTTCATCATTGTGTGCAGCCTCATCCTACTGGCGGAGGAAAACCTTCCGTATCTTGTGGCAAAGTGCATTGCCCAGTTCACTGACAAAAGTCCTTCTGCTTCTACAGAGAGAAGAAAATCTCCCGGAGCAGTGCCCTGAAGGTTTTGGACCACGCCATGATTGGGCCCGAGGGAGCAGACAACTGCCACAAGTTTGTTGACATCCTCGGCCTTCGGACCATCTTTCCGCTCTTCATGAAGTCCCCCAAGAAAATAAAGAAGGTTGGGACCTCCGAGAAGGAGCACGAAGGTAGGATTTAATCCCACACAGGCTGCCTTGCTGACCATGAACCCTTCGCCAGCCTCATAGTTTGCAGTGCAGCCTCAATAGACTTGCGCAGCCAGGAAGCGCTTGTAAGGCTGAGTCGCTTGCCAGCGTCTCCTCCTCTCTGGCTGCTACCAGCATGGCGGTTAATTAGCTCCTGCATATGTGCATGTGAGCCTGCCGTTTGAAGCTGTCTCTTTGATGCCAGGCTCTTTTGAAAAGAGTAATGAGCCAACTGCAAATGTCACCTCCAAAGCCGTGTTTTTTCCTGGCTCCGCGCACTGAAGTGTGACGTGAACATCAGGCGTCGCAGGCACAAACTGCTTGTGACTCTCCTGTGTTCCCCCTCCACCCCTTTCTCGGTTTCCTTCCACCACCCAGCCGCTCGCTCCCTGGAGGAGATCCAGAATCCCCACCAACCTGATCTGCCGCTGGTCTCGGCGTTGTCGCTGCCGCTAGGGCCAAGGGGTGGAGATGCTGGCAGGAAAGGCTGACCCTCCTGTGGCAGGCAGTGGCGAATGAAAATGACTCACCACTGAGTAGTGAGGATTATCTATTAAACACACACACACACCAGGTAGACAGTATTATTTGTTGCACTGAAAAAACAAGTGCTGCGAAAACCACAGCGGAATGCACATTCCAAATGGAGAGATGGGGTGTCTTGTCCCCACCCTCCTTACTTCTCCAGAGCAGAACATAAGTGGAGAGACGTGTGTTTTTTTCTGCCTGCTGGAAAAGGAGAGGGCAGAAGCCTGTGCTGTGCTGTTGAGAAGATTGCACTTGGGGGCGAGGGGCGGCGGGTGTGGGTGTGACTGGTTCAGCGAGCAGCTGTTTCCCTGCTGAAAAATGTGCCAGTGGGTGAGCTGGTAACAGAACATTTGCTTTAGAGCACCAGCATTAGGAACGCGATAACGTTATATTAATGAAGGCAATGGGTTGGCAAGACACGTTTTCACAGGGCTTGTAATAGCTGCCCAGTTGAGCTCCTGCGCCTAGGATTCTCCGCTGGGAACGGGTGCAGAGAGGACTCAAGGCAGAGCACCAGGAGGCTTTGGAAAGCTGCCATCATGGATGGTACCTTTGGGGTGGGAAGGGGAGGGAGGCCTGCTTTCCACACAGAGGCAGCCAATTCTGTATGGCAAAGTGGAGTTTTCACTTCCTTCTGAGATGGGGTGGGATAGAACCACGGGAGACTTGGCAGGGGTACAGCTTTCCTTGCACCCAGCATGCAGTTCACCACCCTGGTTGGTGAAAGAGGGCGTCCAATGGGTGAAAGTTGTTACAGGGGAGAATGGGTTGGTTTTGTTTCCCAGTCCCTGCCTGTCTCTTAAGGTTCCCAGGAATAATAATAATAAGAAGAAGAAGAAGAAGAAGAAGCAGGGCAGGATTCACAGAAATCAGGAGTGGACTTGATAGACTTAAAATAGTAGATTTTTTTTAATTTACTTTTTGGTGGGTTCAATTTTCTTTGTTTTGCATCGCTGGGCAGGTGAGTTGTTGAGATTGTAGCAATTCCAGTTAATAGAGATGTTTAACCGGCCTCCCTAGAGCTTGGCTGGCCATTACACTGATGGAGGAGTGTGTGTCTGTGTACGTGTGTGTTTGTGTGTGGTGCAGCAGTTTCACATCCTTCCCAAGCCATGCTAGATTTCTCCTTGTGCTCAGACAACCCAGCAGGGCTATAGGCACAGATGGCCTGAGAGTGTCTCTAGGTCTAGTCATTTCTGAATCTGAATCCTGTGCCCCACACGAGCCACTGCTGGGCCATCGTTTTCTTTTCTTTTTTTAAAATGATATTTATTGAGAATTTTAAAGTTACAAAGAAAAAAGAAGGAAAAATAAGAAAAAGAGAAAAAGAAAGAAAAGAATAGATAAAAGTAACAATTAAACAATACAAATCAATAAAAACCAAAATCAAAAAGAAAAAACAAAACACACAATGCAACACAATTAAAAAACTAAAATATACAACAAATTTAAAAACAAATCCAATATTCCCAAATCCTTAACTTTCATTAACTTATTTCATCGACCTCCTCACACCTCCCTTTTTTGTATTCTAGTTGTTAATTATCTCAGCAAATCCTTTCCATCTTTCACAATATTCTGTCATTAAATTACCTTGATCTATTTTAACCTTATCTTACCATAAAAAACCTTAAAACTTAAAACTTAAATCTTATTTATACCGAATTCTTTTAACCATAACATATTCTTACATAATTCTTTTTAACATTTCTGCTAAAGCCAATTAATTTCATTCCAACATTTTTCTGATACTCATTAATTTTGCAATACTTTTCTAAATAAATTTTTAAAACTTTCTTCCAATCTTCATCCATCGTCTCTTCTCCTGGTCTCGGGTTTTGTCAGTCCTTTCTATCCCATCCATCTAGTCCATCAACCTGGTGACCTTATATCCGAGGCTCTTAAGTCTTTTCCATGTCCCTTCCGCAGGTCTTCTTCATGTTTATACCTGTACTTTACTTTGTCTTCTGCTCCTTTCACTCTGGGAGACTCCAACTTGACAATATTTTTGTCCCTTCTCGACAAGTCAGCCCCTTTTCCATAGTCAACACTGAAATCCATGTGGTATTTAAAGGCATGTTTCAAGGCCCCTCCAAAATTAGGGGCCCCCACAACTCCGAGCTCCCCCCGGCCTAAAGCCAGACTTGAAAAATCAAAACATCTCTGCATAGGGGGGTCCATCCAGCCCCCCATCTCCAAACCAAGCAGAACTCCGTCTCTCCAAATCTGACTTTTTCCAGGTTCATTCATCAAATCCAACGACTCATGTTCCTGCTGGGCCACAGCTCCCTCCATCTCTGCCACCCGAGGTCCAGCAACAGCCTCCTCCCTCATCTCATCTGTCAAAGCACATTCCTGGGTTAATTCCTGAGTGGGTTCTATATAGGTACCCACTGCCTGTCCAAAATTTCCTATCGCAACTGTCATCAAATCCATTTTCTCATGTAACTGTTCCAATAAAGCACTTGTCTTGCAAAAGGCAAGCACCAGAGGCTCTGAGCACATTCTTGTTCTAGGTCGAAGTCTGGTCCCACGATCTTAATCTTTTACAGCTGCAAAACTCCCCAGTTCGACTTTAATAACAGTTTCACAAGCTCCCTCTAGGGGAAACAATTTCTATTTGTATCCATCTTTTTTCCCTTTTTTTTTTAAAGGCAGATTTAGCAACAAAGTTTTCCTTTTTCGGATATTTTGTCAATATTTTGTTCCTTTTAAAAGCGAAAGGGAACAATGGAATCAATATGTTTCTGTTCTTTTAACTATCTGTCAAAGACGTTTGTCCATAGTCAATGAGCTTCTCCAAAACGTCTGTCTTGACACCCCGCTCCCAGGTTCAAGACGGTGGAAAATTACCTTTCTTTACTCTCTCTTCTGCAGGTTTAAACAGTCTAAAAAAAGTTTCCCCCTCTTCTCCTGCTTCCAAGGGGGGTTCAGTAATTTTAAATGATGAAAATTTAGTCCTTTACAAACGACTTTCTGAACTCTAGCTTGCCGTGTCTTTGCTTCAATCTATCTACAAAAGCGGAAGGCGGACTTCCTGTTTAGACCTTCCCGCTTTCGGTGCCTAATTAAGAAATTTCACAGTCCAATTTTCCGTTCTACTCACGGGCAGTTGTTTGAAATCCAATTGTCCACAGGAAAAAGTCAGCGCTCTCTGGCAACAGCAATGCGGCTTCACTCCGTGAAAGAAGCAGTCGATTCAAAGCACTGCGCCACTCACCCCACATCGCTCCGGATCCCCAAAACCGGGTTTCCCCGTGAGTGGAGGGGGTGCAAAGGTGCCAGCCGAATCCCACGTCCACAGGCTTCTCCCGCCTGTGGTTTTTGATGGGTCTCCACCTCGCCGTGGCGGTTCAGACCCTGTTTTCCACGGAGCGGGTTCCTCCCGATCGGAGGAAGTCCGCCATTGCCAGAGGCGCCAACCCGGAAGTCTCTGGTGGGCCATCGTTTTCACCTGGGCCCTATATTTACAGCTGGACCATCTTCAACTCAGTTGATGTAAGCAATGGATGCAGAGCTTGCCCCCTGCTTTGTATGCGATCCTGTAGTGTCCACAAACTATTTCAGTCTTTAAAAGTTTCAGTGGCACCTCGGGTTACGTACCGTCCTCCTTACAAACGCTTCGGGTAATGAGCTCCGCTATCCTGGAAGTAGATGCTGCTGGTTATGAACTTTGCCCCAGGATGCAAGTTGAAGTCGCGCGGTGGCAGCAGCGGAAGGCCCCATTAGTGCAAGCGCACCTCATGTTAAGAACAGTTTCGGGTTAAGAACGGACCTCCGGAACGAATTAAGTACGTAACGGGAGGTAACACTGTATAGAACTAACGCTGGATGTTTGGGGGTCAGCGCAGCATAGTAGTTGAGAAAGAGCAATCTATCAGAACAGTGCCCATTTTGGGAAGGCAAAACTCTGAATTCTCTGGAGCTGTTAACCCCGGTTGATAGATGCGACCCCCTTGTACACTGTAACAGTGAATGGAACGGCCCTAGTGAAATCGGGGGGGGGGGCATGAAAAGGAAGGCTAATTGGGCTACAGTACTAGCATATTTACAAGCTCAAACCAGCTGGCCATCAAGCCCAATGTTATCCTGCCTCCAACAGATGTCACTCAGAGAGCCCTCCGTGCTGATTAGAGACCTCTGGGCTCAGTTTGTCCCTTGGCGTGTCCATCAACTTAACCGCTTTGGTCTGCTCTCATCTGTCCTCGTCAGAGTTACTGTATGGCGCAGCCCACAAAATCTCCCTCCCTCACAGACCCCCATACCCTCCCGGGCAGCATCTTCAAAAGACCAGCTGCAGGATTCTTGCATACAAGATCTCATGTCACTGTCTCCTCCACTCCCAAAGATCCACCAGGACCTTCCTCTTGCATTCTTGACGGTATATGCTTGCAAAGGCAGGTGTCCTGGTTTACCCAGGGATTCCTGCTGGGCTGCATGCTATAATGAACCTCATGGGTGTTAGGAAACACCCAAAATTCAGAGGACGTTGCTAAAGAACAGAATGCAGCACCTTTTCCCTCTTCTAGCAGCGGCCTCTTCATTGCCTCCTTCCTCCTATGTCGTCTTTCTGTTCTTCTCGTACAGAATTTAAGATCTTAAGTCACCCTGAGTCATGCTCAAACTGTGCTTTTGGCACCACCCTGGTCTGAAAAGTTGGTAAACAGGTGGTTACTGAGAAAAGACATGGTACAGCTATGCTAAAGGGTACTCAGAGTCAGTACTTGCTCTTATTGTTGAAGCCTTAGTCTTGGAAAGGAATTGGTCTGCGTTGGTGGTCCTTGATGAATGAATGGCAGCTCGATAGGATTTTGTGTCTATAAAATCAGCTAGCAACACCGCCCGCTTTTAAGGCCATTATTATGAAGATTTCTCACCTGCCCTTCACCCTAAGGCCTGAGAGCAGATAGCAGCAATTTTTTAAAAATGCCGTATTAAAAACAGTTCAAAACTAATTACAATCACAAGAATAGGCTGGCTCCTAAAAACACAAATCCTCGGCTGTTGGAGGCCATTGTAAAGAGGTCATCCTCAGCATCTGCCGGGAATTTATATGATGTGGGGTGGGTGCTCTGGTCTTTCAGGTATTTGGAGCCTGAGATGTTTAGGGCTTTAAACCCCAACGTGGGCATCTTGAATCTGGCATTGCTCCTTATCGCAGTTCCTCTTCGCAGTCAGCTTTTCCTGCTTAATCAGAGCCTTTGGGATAGCACCTGCGTGCAACACCTAGCTGGACCCCGAGAGGTGCAAAATCTTCCATGTGTTAGGCACCTGTTTGTGGGTATACGTGCCACCTACCCTTCTGAGCCAGAAATCTCCAAAGAGGATTTTTTTTCCTGCCAGACTATAAAGCCTTAAACACTCAATGCCATTTAAATTAAAGAATGGCATTAAGCTGTTCACTAACAGGCACTTTGTGTTAAACAAGGATTAAAATGTGTGTCTTGATGGTTTTTGGTGGTGTTTACAAAATCTCACCACTGAGCTTGGATCTACTTCGCTTCGAAATTCCTCCAGCATCCCTGCCGGCTCTAAACACCTCTCCCCACCCCTCCACGGGCCCAGTGTTCATCCAGCCCCTGTGCCCACATCCTCCACGCTTAGGGACCTGCGCGGTGTGATTCTGCAAAATGCAGAATTTGAAAGCGGACCCAGAAATCGGCACCCGAAAGAAAACTCTGCTTCAGAACAGCCGCTTGATGTTTTTGAAAGCCTGTTCCCAGGAGCTGCGGCAAAGTGCAGGCAGAGAATACCTTGCAGAAATCAGAGCGTGATGGGGAAGAGGGGGCAGGTGAGGAAAGGAAAAAAGAAGAAATGAGGTAGGTCAGCTGAGCAGCAAGATCTGGCATCAGCGGGGGGAGGGATGTCTCTTCCATGCTGCTCAGAGCTATTCTCCCTACCCTTGGACCAGTCGAAGCAGAAACTATTCTTTCAAACGAACAAAAAATATACACCTGCTTTTGCTTCAAGGCGCGTGCTTTCTGCAGGTTACAGAAAGCTGGCTTTTCTTGGTGCGTAATTTGAGCGCTGCAAGGGATGTTGACCAGGCCAGGCCTTTAGTCCAGCTAAGCCTATTAGTGTCTGTTCTCACCACCAGCAGCTCTCCAGGATCTCAGGCTCAGAGGGGCTTGGCTGTCCCTGCTTACTGGAGATGCTTGAGGTTCTGGACTTAAGACAGTAAGGCAAGACCTTCAGCCATCGACCTCTGGCCCTTGCATGCTTCCTTAAAATACATTTCAGCGTGGAGCAAGAACGTAAGAAGTGCCTCCTGGCTCAAGCCAATGGCCCATCTAGTCCAGCATCTTGTTCTCACAGTGGCTGACCAGATGCCTCAATGGGAAACCAGCAAGCAAGAACCTCCTGCGGTTTCCATCAGCTAGGATTCAGAAGCATTGCTGGCTCCAGCTGGGGAGGCAGAGCAGAGCCATCAGGGTTAGGAGCCACCCATAGCCCTCTCCTCCCCCATGAACTTGTCTCATCCTCTTTTAAAGCCATCCATAGTTTTATCTATGCAATGTGTGAAGAAGGACCTTCATTTCTCAGTCCTGAATCTTCCAACATTCAGCTTCTTTGGATGCCCACGAGTTAGGAGAGGGAGAGAAAATATTTTCCCTATCCAGTTTCTCCATGCTGTGCAATAATGTCACCTTTCCTCTAAACTGAAAAATCGCAAACGTTGCAGCCTTTCTCCACCCCCTTGATCATTTTGGTTTCTCTTTTCTGAACCTTTCCCAAACTCTGCCTCTCCTTTCTACTGCTTTCTGCATCTGACTTTGCTTCAGAGATGGCTTCTGGTTCTTTCCCTCCTTTTTAACCTTCTGCTCAGATTCGGGTCTCACTTTCTCAAGGGCCGGGATTTGGAGTTTGGGAAGTACCTGAAATGCCAGACCGTAGCAGAAGTGCTTGTGTCTCAAAGAGCATTTCCTCAAGCTTGCCTTGGATAGCAGCGATGCACCTTGAGTCTTGTTCAGGTTCAGTGTCCGGCTGAGCCCAAGCACTGGAGGGAAAGAGCGGCCAGTTATTGAAGATGGCCCACCAGCTCCAGCCTTTTTCAGTGCACCAACTGTCACCTGCATGAGTTGGATTGGAAGCAGGTCCAAGAGCCTGTAGTGGAAAGAAATGGCTTGTGTAAGGTCGGTGGAAGAAGGGCAGCAGTTCTGGGGTTGAACACTTGCAGAGAATGATGAACTAATGGAGAACAGTGTGTGTGTGTGTGAGAGAGAGAGAGGGGGGGGAGCAATTGCAATTCTATACCCTGGTGGGATTTCACAAAGTCATCATCAACCATGGTGATTTCCATTAGGCTCTTGGAAACTGTAATATTTGCTGCTGCAAACTTCATAAAAATAGCGCCACTGGGAACTGAAGTCTGGAACTAGCTTTACTTTCTTATTAGCAGTGTTTGTGTTTGTTTCTGAGGTAATAAGTGCAGCACCGAGATCAGACTCTGTAAGTCTCCCTATATCTGTGTTGCTATGCAAGCATGATATTACCATCCATACATTAAAATCAGCATCTGGGAGACCGAGGTTCAAATCCCCACTCACCCGCTGGGGTGCCTTGGACCAGTCACTGCCGCTCAGCATAACCTACCTCGCAGGATTGTTGTGGGGATTAAGTAAAGAGGGGAACTGCTGTTCGCAACGTTGAGCTTAGGTGGAAAGGTGGGGTGTCAAGGCAATACATAATTTGAGTGTGGAAATGTTTCTGTTTGAGGCAGTTGTTTCTGTGTGGGTTAGTGCTTTGGGGTTTGCATTTGGGTCTGTACAGAGTATTGAACTTCGAAAGTTCATGTCCTTGGCAGAAGGGCTACAAAACACAGTGGGTAGACTCCATTGGGTGTTTGTGTGTATGTGTGGAGAGAGCTAATTGCAATCCCTGGCCCCTCCAGCTGAAAGGATCCAATTCAGCCAGGACTGAACAAGACCATGTAGAACCACTTCCATTTAGAAAAGGCAGGAGAGGAATAGACGGGAAGAATCGTCCGGTTCCTGGAGTAGCTCCTTCAGCTTCACCTCCATTGTTTTCGGGCCTAGGGAGGTGATTATCATCTCTCATGAGTGTCTCTTTCCCCCAAATGAAAAACAATAGCCTCCCTTTGCAGAGATGTGAGGTTGCAAACATCCAACTATGCAGCGGCCTTGAGGTCTAAAGGCACATCCTCATGAAAGGCTAATGCAGAAGCAAACTTGGAACTTCTTTTGTCCATGGTCTTGAGATCCTGAAACAGACACTTCTTATCTCTGCTTAGGAGAACAGGTAGCTGCCGTGTTGCAGGTCAGACTATTTCTCCATCCATTCCTGCCTTGTCTACTCTGGCCAGCAGCAGCTGCTCTTGCCGGTGGTCTCTCTGCCTTTCTTTCCCATCACCTGTTTTCCAATTCTTTTAACTGCAGACACTGCCAGGAAATGAACCTGGAACCTTCTGCATGCAAAGCGCTGTCACTAGGCTGTGGCTCCTCCCTTGCAAAATTCTTGATCTTTGCACTCCACATTCTTATCCAGCGCCATCCCCCCAACTCTTTGCCTGCCCTTCCCTTGTGCAGGAGACCTTCCTGGCAGCTGGTGCCCAGAGCAGATACCTGGGCGGGGCGGGGCTTGCCTGGGGCGGGAAGGAGGACACGTCCTTGGGCCGAAGCGGCAGCCAGCCAGACGTTTTGCAAGCCCTGCGTGTGGCACACGTCTCCTTGTCCGCCTTTATGGCCCATTAACTCAGAAGTCTAATTACGCCAGCTGAGATGACAACCTTCCTGAAACGCTTTGCCAGTGAAAAATGTGTTGGTTGCATCTGCTTGTGACGCACACGCTCCCAGGGCAAATTTCCCCAGAAGGGAGGGGGCACCTTAAGTGCTAAGCGGAGGACGATGTCTTACAAAAGCAGGTCTGCTGGCAGCAGCTCACAAGGGGGCGCTTTCCTGGATGTTGCTGCAGATAATTAGCTGTTCCCGTGATGACCCCTTGGTTCTTTCTCTGAGTCAGATCCAATGCGCGCAGAGGAGCACACCTGTCCAGCAGGTGGATCAAATCCAAACATGGTTTGCCTGTCAAGGTAATAGAACTGTAGAGCTGGAAGGAACCCCAAGGGTCATCTAGTCCAACCCCCTGAAACACAGGAACCACTGCAAAAGACTCCGTGACAGATGGCCACCCGACCTCTGTTTAAAAAAACCCATATGAAGAAGAGCTTGCCAACTTCTCCGTTCCACAGTCAAAGGCTCTTACTGTCAGAAAGCTCTCCTTGGTGTTTAATTGGAATCTCCTTTTTTTGTAACTTGAAGCCATTGGTCCAGATCCCACCCTGTGGAGCAACAGAAGACACTCTTGCTCCACAGATGACCCCTGGAGCCCCCAACAACCCTACCATTCTGTGACAGCCCAAGGGCAGAGAGATGGTGTTGCCCTTAAGGGATGGGGCGTCTTTTTCACCTGCCCGGAGTTTTATGAAGGCAGTACAGCTCCCACGGCAGATGTCTCCATGGGCAGAGAGGAGCCCCACTTGGAAGGCAGGGTGGCAGTGCCTTTTCCTCCCTATCCTGGAGCTCCCACAAGGGGTGCCCACCCTGGCATCACACTCGACAAGATGGAACGCAACTGAGCCCTCCTCCACTTCATGTCGGATTATGTGTAGAATAACATTGATCCTCTTAGCCAAAGCTCTTCCCCCAACTGCCGGCATGTATTATTTCATCAAGGTGGCTTGGGCAGCTTTCCTTTTGTTACAGAATTCCATGGGCCCTCATTAAAGTATATTACAGGGGAGAAATTTTAAAGCTATTTATCTCTGGGAAGTTTATGGTGCGGTATCAATGCCTCACAATGGAACAATTTCTGCAGAACTCTTAATTCTCCTGTTTGCCACCATACCACTTAGATTTTTAATACTTTAATGAGAAATACTTTTCTGTAAGTAGCAGTGCATAGTTAAAACTGTGGAACTCCCTCCCACAGGAAGCAGTGAGGGCCACCAACCTAGAAGGCTTTTAAAGAGGATTAGACAAATTCTTGCAGGAGAGGGCTGTTAATGTCTCCTAGCTACAATGGCTATGCTGTGACTCCACTGTCAGAGGCAGTGATGCTAAAACCCTACTTGAGGGTTTCCCATATAGGCATCTGGTTGGCCACTGTGAGAACAGGATCCTGGCCTAGAAGAGCCATTGGCCTGATCCAGCAGATGCTCTTTGCATGTTCTTTGCAAGTTCTTCTGGAGAGGTTTTGTGAAGAAAGGGGATGACTGACACCTCGAGGCTCCTAGTCCCCGCAGGCCGTTCTGGGATAGGCCGAAAGTGTTCAAGGTTTTTACCAAGTCCTGTTTCTTCTATAGATTTTTTCAAAAAAATTCCACGATACGTTATCAAAGGCCTTCTCCGCATCTATTATGACCTAGTTGAGATTCCTGCATTGCAGGGGGTTGGGCTAGATGACCCTCGGGGTCCCTTGGTCTCTGATTCAGGAGGCCTGAGCTAGGTCTTTTGACACCCAGAACCGACTCGGCTGCCTCTTTTCCAGCCTCCGGGTTACAAGTGAGCACACCGGCATGGGAAGGATCTCTGCTAGGACCCCCCCCCCACCTGCTCCATCCAGACAAAGCAGCCAATTTTTCCTCCTATAAATTTTTAATTATTGCTCTTATCTGCTCCTGCGATAACGCTGCAGCTTGGAGAGCCTGCCTGTTGTTTATGCCCCCTTCTGATCTTGTATGTACAAACAAAACTTCTTTTGATAGGAGAGATTATTTGCTTGCCTTTGCTGCCTCAGCCCGGAGGCCGCAGCATGCGCCCTAATCTCCTGGCTGCGCGGCAGAGATAGGGAGTATAAATTTAATCGAGGTGAACTTGGGAGTGTTTGAAGATTGCAACAAAGCCTCATGAATCCTGCCACCTTTTGCACTCCCGATGAGCTGGATTTCTGTACCCAGAACCTCCGAGGTTATGGAGGGCAGCAAAGATTGGCAGCCGACAAAATCTAGAATTTAATTGCTATTCATGAGGTCCGCAGGTGGCACTAAAATCTTGATAACGAAGTGGCTTGGAGCTGCAGCTGCCCGAGCCTTTTCAAGTGTCAAAAAGAGAGAGCTTCTTTTTCCCTTTGCCTGTCCCTGTAGAGACTGCCGTATAGTTTTGAGGGTAGTCATGTATCTGGAAACACATCGAGGAGAACCAATGATGCCTTCCACTGTCTCCTTGTGTCGTGACAACATTCATGTTGGCAGAAAATGTGTTTGACTCTGTTAACTTTGCTCAGTTGAGGGCAGCAGGGGGAATCTGCCTACCGGGTGCAGGTGAGCTATGGGTCAAATCAAACTTTGGTCAAGAGAGGCTGGGTCATGGTTTTAGCAGGCCTGAAATACCTTCATTTCCCTGGAAATACTGTCTTTTCTAGGTGAGAAGATGCTGCAAGCAGTGGACAATCTAGCAAATGTTTTCACAGGGGTGGGCAGATTGCAGATGTCGGCTAAAGTTACTATTTTGTCTAGTGGTCTCCCCAAAACAGGTTGCTCTAAAACACTGCGTTTGTACTTGCGCCTTCCAGTAAGTGTAGACCTAGGCTATGACCCTAAATGGTCAGCCTCATTTTTGTGTTCTTTGCCAAGGCGGTTGCAAACTGCTTCTGATCTCTACTGACCTTGCCCTCAGTGCGAAACATGCCTTGCCCTGTTTCAGGTGCTCTTCTTAGCGCCATTTTCCTCCACTTCCTCTGCCTCAGGTGAGGCTCTCACTGCCATTCAACCCAGTCAGTGTCACTGCTTTGGGTGATTTTTCTGGCAACGCCACCTGGCCTGAGCACAGTCACTTGTTAACAGAATCACACATGGGCAGCAAAGGCAAGCTGGGCCAAGAGGAGAGGAAGAAGAAGAAGAAGAGGAAGAGTTTGGATTTGATATCCCACTTTATCACTACCCTAAGGAGTCTCAAAGCGGCTAACATTCTCCTTTCCCTTCCTCCCCCACAACAAACACCCTGTGAGGTGAGTGGGGCTGAGAGACTTCAGAGAAGTGTGACTGGCCCAAAGTCACCCAGCAGCTGCATGTGGAGGAGCGGGGAAGCGAACCCGGTTCCCCAGATTACGAGTCCACCGTTCTTAACCACCACACCACACTGGCTCTCAAGAGGGAGGAAGAGGAGGAGGAAAATCACACCAAGGCGAAACAGACGCTGCCACCAGAACAGAAACCCAACCAATAGCCTCAGCTCAATGTGATCATTTAGTGACGAAGATATCTCTTGGCTCCATATACTTTTGAAGTGCCCATCACAATCAGAGAGCCTCTGTCGCGGCTCTCTGCAGCCTGTATCACACGATACAGGTATGCTCACCTGGGAGCCAAGATCTACTGGCAGAGCAGCAAATCCAGGTTTGCCCTGTATCATACATTAAAAGCAGCCTTTGGCGTTAATGAAACCCGTTAGCCACCCCCCACAACACGTTACCCAGAGGGAGGAGGGGGCCGCACAGGGAATTGCTTCCAGTGATGTCACATTAATGACTGAAATTAGTGTCGACCAAAAAGTTTAATTCTGCCCGGCGCTGGGGCTGTTTGTTTTGGGATTAGCTGCTTGTTGTAATCTTCTTGATTAAGGATTATGATCCCTTTAGAAGCATAAGCCAGGCAAGCCTCCCAGGAGCCGACGGAGCACCGCGCACAATGTGCATTGCGGCGCCGCGCTTGGAGGGAGTGACCTTTCCCAGGAAGGCAGCTAATCCAGACAGCTCAGCAGACGTTTTGTGGCTGAGGGTAGCGGCCCTTGCTCTTGGCTCCATTGGCACAGGGCACAGCTGGCCTCTGAAAGGAAGCGTGCCACCTGGAGGCATTGGTGGGCACTTCCTCCTCAGCAGTGGGAGAGGCAAACTGCGCCCAGAGGGCCAACCAAAGCCAGCTTCTTCAGCATCTGAAGCTCTTCTCTCTTCCAGCGGGGACTAGAAAAATGCTTGACAAACCAGTGGCTGCGGGAGCCTCTCCTGAAGCCAAGTGATGCACTGTATTTCGTATACAGGCTGCAGATGTCTTCATGCCTTCGATGGTCAACTGCTTGGAGAGAGAGCCCTTTGTTGGTGCTAAGAGCCAAGGCCAATGTTGGGAGCCGAGGCTCTTGCTCCTTCCCTTTCCCATTGATGGGAGATGTCTGCCCCTGCAAAGAGCACACCTGTGCTCAGATCTTAGGCCCGGCATCTTGCGTGAACTCCCGCCTACATCTTGTGGCTCTGAGGAAATAGTTGCACCTGAGATTTTTTTTTCTTTTTAAATTTTATTAAAGATTTTCTTGTTTTACAGAAGTACGTGTAATGTCTCTCGTATTTTTTCCATGTAACATTTTTACAAATCAGTTTCATTTGTTGAGACATTGGGGGGGGGAAAGGTGTGGAGGGGTGGAGGGGGGAAGAGGGGGGGGTCGGGTGGCAATGTTTCTAATTTGCTTAATGTATGTAGGGTTTCATGTCAGCATTGCTCGTGCAGGTTCTCGGCTGTTCATTTGTGTTTCTTTGGTGTTGAGAGAGGTTGGGGTTGGCCTATGGTGTGGTTGTTTGTTTGTGATTGGCTGTGGTGATCTTTGTTTTCGTGTGTGAGTGGGGTGGGTGGATGTTTTGGATCAGGTTATTCATATTGATTTGTATTCTGTTGGTGGGTTATTGTCATTGTCATTGTCTTGTTGGGCTGTGTATGTGATAAAGGGGAGCCATACCGGGGTAAGGGCGTCTTCTTCTATTTGCCCCCGTGTCAGTTTCAATTTATTGGTTAATTTTTCTTGTAAGGCTGTTTCCCATACTATTTGGTACCATTGGTCCATGCTTACTCCTGACAGGTCTCTCCAGTGTCTGGTTATGGTGTTTCTGGCTGCTGAAAGTAGGTGGGTTATGAGTTCTTTGTGGTGTAAATTGGCATTGTTGTCTTGGAAGATGTTTAGTAGGGCCAATTCTGGGGTGGTGTCTAATACTTGCTTAGTTATTTTACATATTTCTTGTATGGCTGTTGTCCAGAATAGTTGGATTTTGGGGCACTCCCACCACATGTGGAGGTATGGTTGCACCTGAGATTTGTGGATCGGCAACAGATACACAAGAATGTTCAGAGTTGTGCATGTGGCAAGAGGCAGCCCCATCCCGAGTTGAGGCCTCCTTCTTGGAGCAAGTGACTTCCATCGCCTGTCAAGAGGAAGCCTTTGGCTCTTGATGGGGATGAGACTCTCTTTCCTTGGAGGTTTTTTCAGCAGAGGTTGGATGGCCACCTAGTTGAGATTCCTGCATTGCAGGGGATTGGACTACGTGAACCTCGGCGTCTCTTCCAACTCTACAGTTCTATGATTCTATGAAACAGCACTTTCATTCTCACAGGTGGTGGGGTTTGAAGGCTGGTTCACTCAGAATTTGCAATCACAGGTAAAATGAAGAGTTGACAAGCACTCCAGTGCATGCAAAAAGATATTTCAGGCACCCACCTGGGCCATTCATAGAGCTCTTTGTGTGGTATCTGTAGAACAGATGAAAGAGGAGCTAGTGAAAAAAACCCTTTTTGAGCTTTCCAGTGGCCATGGATCGCTTTTCATCTCACTTCATGCACGGATATGCTTGGGGGACGTGGAAACACATTCCAAGTTGATATGCCTCCAGTTCTGGGTGCTACAATTTTAGAAGGATGTTGACAAGCTGGAACTATGTGCAGAGGAGGGCAACCAAGATGATCAGTGGCCTGGAAACCAAGCCTTATGAGAAAAAGTTGAGGGAATTAGGTATGTTTAACCTGGAGAAAAGAAGACTGAGAGGTGATAGCCATCTTCAAATATCTGAAGGGCTGTCCCCTGGAAGAGCGAGCAGACTTGTTTTCTGCTACTCCAGAGGACAATAAAGGAAATTCCAATTAAACAATAGGATGCTCTTTCTCATAGTAGGAGCTATTTGAAAGTGGAATGGACCACCTTAGAAGATGGTGGACTCTCCTTCCTTGGAGGTTTTTAAACAGGTTGGGTGGCTAGATGTCATGGATTTGTTGGTTGTAATGCCTGTATTGCCAGGGCGGGAGGACTAGATGGCCCTTGTGGTCCCTTCCAACTCTACAATTCATTGGTTCTCTGCATGTGGAGGGATTTGTCCCAGGATAATTGGTGGCACAAACTGGTCCTGCTCCTGAATCCTCCTTTCTCAGCTAGCTTCAGAGCCTGGCCGTGCCAGATGTCCTTGGGCCACAAAGCTGCGGTGCTTCTGAGCTTCAGTCAGCTGCCTGTTTAACTTTCCCTGTGACAAGCTAAGCTGACATCCAGCGTCAAATGTGTAAATCGCCTCGCCACCAAAACATGCATCTCACTTGCAGCATCACGAAAGTAATGAATCAAAGTGTCAAGTAGCTTGAAGAAAATGAATTTGTTAATTGCCTGCATACTCAGACTCGGGGTAATATAAAAGGGAAGACTTGGAAACGCTCAAGTAGGAGGCAAACTGTGACCTCATTGCTGTTACTGAGCCCTGGCAGGAGGAGGGAAGTGGAGGCGGCTGTGTGATCAGAATAATAAAATCACCACCTCGGAAGAGGCTTGGGTGCCCCTCCAAGCAGCCAGCGCAAGATTGCAGGATATGGAATTGTTCTGGGTCTGAGCAGCGCCCATAACAAGCCAGCCGCTGGGCATAAACAAAGCTGACCATTCTGGTGCTAGTTTTTCATGCATCACAAAGTTAGACTGTGGAACTCGCTGCCACAGGAGGCAGTGGTGCCAATCAACCTAGACTGCTTTAAAAGGGGATTAAACAAATTCATGGAAGAGAGGACTATTGGTGGCTCCTAGCCAGGATGACTCTACTCTGTCTCCACAGTTGGAGACAGCAGAGCTTCTGAATCCCAGTTCCTGAAAACCACAGGAGGGGGAGAGTTGCTCTTGTGCTTGGATCCTGGTTATGGGTTTCCCATAATGGGCGTCTGGGCAGCTATTGTGAGAAAAGGATGCTGCACTGGGTGGGCCACTGGCCTGATCCAGAAGGCTGTGTTTATTCCAGGAAGTGAGAAAGCATGGAAAGGCAGGATATAAAGGTAACAAATACATTTCTCAGCAAGCAAGCTGTGGTGGAACACCTCGATATCCGCTTCTTTCACCCCACGGATATTGGGTGTGTCTCCTGTCTTCGCAGGTGTGGGAGTCAGATCCATGGGTGAATGGTTTGTGCTCTGGGAGTTGGCACCATGTTGGAGTTGCCCACAGGCTTTCTCAAATGCACATTTCCAAGCTAGGCTGAAGAGCTCACTGGTCCATCAGCGGGTCAGACCCCCTTTCTGCATCTGCCTCCTTCTCTGTATCCCACCGAGATGTCTTCGGACAATTGAGGGGGTTCCCTTCCATACACAAAATTTGCAAAGTCACACAGCAAGGCATTCCTGGCGGCTGCTCCCTAGTTTCCACATTCCTTGCCTGCACAGCCTGAAATGGTTCCCTAAGCAGATGCAAAATATTGCTTATTTGGGCCAGCATTTGGGGCTGGAGACAAGCCTGTTTTGGGCAGACACTGCATTTATTACACGCTCCGAGGTGTTGCCTGCCCTGAGCCTTTGGGGAAATATGGAAGGATCTCTTTCAAATAAGTGCATCAGCTGAATCCCAAAGACTCCCTGGCAGGTTTTCAGACAGGGGTGGATCTTATCAGGGAGCCAGATCCTAAATCCACAGTTGCGTTTCATGTGGTCCTTTGGAAACAGTCTTGCTTGTGCCTCAGCTGGAGCTTCTGTGCCAGCCTGGGGGCGGAAAGCACAGCTGAGCTCTGCTGCAGCCCTTGTTTGTTTCAGCGACTCTTACATGGAAGCTCTTTCCCCTCCCACACTGCACCATGGTTAATTGACAGTGCAAATATTTTCAGTCTCTTCAGCTTCATAATACCTTAACAAGATCCCTTTAGCACATCTACGGCTGTTGACAATGCTCTGAGAACCAAGAGAGGGGCTTTGTTTTGTTTTGTTTTTTGCACACAGAGGCAATGTGCAACATGTCTCAAGGCTGCCATCACACCAGCTCCCTCTCAGTCCAGCACGGCTCCACATTCTAGGCTGTTGCCAGGATGCTGTGTTTCCTTACAGTCACAAAAGTCTCTGTTTGTGTACACACACACGCCTGCCTATGGTTTTTGAGTCTTGCAGTGTCATTATCCTCTTGGAATCTGGTAACTTCTTCAGAGAGAGAAGCACTCCTGAAGTCCACCCCAGTAGTGAAAACCGCAATCAGGGCCTTGAAATGCTTTTAAGGCGTTATCATCCGAGGAAGATATTCCAGACAGGACCTTATCTGGAAGCCTGTCTGTTGTCAGCTGCTTGAAGCATTCTTCGCTATAATAATTATTTTTGTGCGGTATGGTTCTTTGTGAACCTTGCTGAAATGTGCACTTTGCAGTTGTAATGATACTTTTATTGAAAACTATGGCCTCATTATCAATATATTGCTGCAGCCACGTGCGCCTTGCAGCACTTTTATAGAACTGTGCCCTTGCTTGTGATCTTGTAAAAGAGTCAGCATGCCAGGTTTCTGTGGCCAAGCCCAAGGAGCAGCCACACCGGAGGGCGGGACACTTGACAGCCTCAAATTCAGTTAGGACCACCATGACTTTGCTTGCCCCAGAGATCATCCTCACCTGTAGGCGATGAGTGGCGACTTTGCCTGTTTTGCATTGTAAGTCATCCCGTACTTCCTTTGCGCCTGCGTCGCAGGGGGTTGGACTAGATGACCGTTGGGTTCCCTTCCAACTTCACAATTCTGTGATTCCTTCAGTACCTCACAAAGGCATCTGTTGAGAGTGTTGATATTGTGCAAATGCATTTTAAAAGTAGCTGATTGTTTGAAACGGTGCGAAATGCAGTGGTTTGAGTGCCCACTGGGGTAGGATACCCCCAACATGCCACCCCACTGTGGAAAGAATTGCCCTGGCTTCCAGTTAGCTACTGGGCCAAGTTCAAGGTAGCAACGTTGGTGTACAGAGTCCTATACATCTTGGGACCAGGATACCTGGTCTCACACCCCTTGTGTACCCAGTAGATCACTGTGCTCTGCAGATATCTTTTCAGGAGGTTCATTCCCCACAAAATAGGGACCAGGTCTTCAATGCTGGGGTAGAATCATAGAATCATAGAGTTGGAAGAGACCACAAGGGCCATTGAGTCCAACCCCCTGCCAAGCAGGAAACCTTCTGCCTTTGGAATGCCCTCCCCTTAAATATCAGGCAGACACTGCCACTGCTGTCTTTATAGCTAAATATAAAGAAGGCGGATGTTCTTGCTGGCCTGGCTTTGATTTCCAACACCTGGGGTGAAGTGCGGGCTGCAGCGAGCTTTTCCTTTAAGGGAGCATTCCATGCCCTTGTCAAAAGCTGCTCTCATCTCTGTGTCTACATGGTAAAGCCAGTGATCTGACCATCGCTTTTCAAGACAGACTCATGCCTGTGGCACGGAGGGAGCCTCTGCCTGTTGTGGAGGTGGGGGTGGCTTGGGACAGCAGGCCAGGGCAGGGGGACAGTCTCTGGTTCTGGTGAATGCAAAGCACCTTTGTGGGGGGCTCCTTCCATTCTAGCAGCTCAGCTGTGGATCCAGGAAGCACTTTGCCCAAAAGAGGCAGCCTGAGCCTCTTTGCGTGGGGGGACAATGACAGGCGGTGAGGAGCAGTTCTCTGGATCCTCTTGCGAACACCTTGTTCCATCCTGGCAAACGCAGCAAACGGACAAAGCCGATTGGCATGGAGGGCACGAAGCCCAGCTCCTCTCCTCCCTTTCTGCTCCTCATCAGAAATCAAGCCAGGATCTGGAGAGGGTCTTCAGGCGGCTCCTGCGGCTTCACTCCACTCCCCTTCCTGAGCTTGTTAGCGAGGAAACTGTCCTCCCAGCTCCCTCCACCCTCTATCTTGCTGCGTTTTATCTTGGATCTGCTCTAAGAAGTCCACAACACCCTCCCTTTGCGAGGATCCGCAGCGCTTTGTGTGTTGCCGTGTTGGTTTTTCCGAGGGGGCTGTGTGTTTTCTTCCGAGCCGGCATCAGTATTCTGCCCGAGTGTGCACAGGCTTCCACTCGGCCTGCTGCCTTTCGCCTCCCCTGCTGGGCAGATGTCCATTATAAGGCAGTGCAAAAGGGGGTGGGAAGGAGGGGGAAAACAACAACAACAAAGGCAGAACAACGCTGCCGGGTTGAGGCACGGTTTGACGGGACCTCCTGCAGCTGCCAGCACGCCAGCCACGGAATAGACTCATCTGCATTCCGCCGCTCAGCCGCCAAAGTCAAGATCAATCTCATTAGGATGTTTTCGACACTCCCTGCATCCCAAAGTCTCTCCCCACCCCAGCCCCGTCCGCTTGCCCAGGGGTGGATGGCTGGGAACTGGCATGAGCACAATCTCCACGGGGTAGAGCGGGGCAAGACTTCCAGCAAATTGGTTCAAATGGCAAAGCAGGGCAGCTGGCTTCCTGGCGCCTGATCCGCAGTTGCAGAACATCCCTCTTATCTGCGGAGAACGGTGGTCGTTGGGGAGATAGTGCCTGCGTTGTGCTGCGCATTTTGCTCATGGGGCTGTGGATCTGCGTGGGGTTTGGTTTCGTTCTTTAATTGGGGGAAGGGGCAGAGCACGTGTTTGGAGTGCAGAAGGTCCCGGGTTCAATCCCAGGCAGCATCTCCAGGTAGGGCTGCAAAACACTGCCTGCCTGGCAACCCTCGAGATCTGCTGCCAGTCAGAGTAGAAGCCGCACAGAGCTAGGTGGAGCCCAGTGGTCTGGCACAGGTGGACCCTGCCGAAAGGGCGGACCCAGGCTGAAGACAGAGATCAGGGCTCCATGGGGAATTATCAACTGCCTTTCTGTTAAGCGGCGGCCTATGGCAGCCCACTTAGCTGGCTCAGAACTCCTGTCTCCTCCGTCCCACCCTGGGACTTTTGAGGCTGGGAAAGTTAACTTTGTTGTTTGTGTCGCTGCCGCTGTCTGGGAGCTTCCTTTGCAAAACTGCAGGCTCTCAATTGCGATGCCTGGAGTGTCGCCCCAAGGCCTGTCAGCAGTCTGCAGAATGCTGAAACTGGCCCCGCAGCGGGGGGGGGGATCAAATGCGATCTGCTGCAGGCGCCTCGCTTTGTACTGAGCTCAAAGTGTGCGCTGGCGCCTTCGGCCCCTCTCGGATCCGGCTGAGAGCTGAGCCTGGTGCTTCGTGCTCTTGTTTTGAGTGTGCTGAGTTTAGTGACGGTACCAAAACAGCAGGTACCAAAATGGCAGGAGCACCCCTCTGGTTGTGCCCCTTTCCCCTGCGGCTGGCGCTGCTAACACAAAGCCAACCAAATGCGCAGCAGATTGGCCAGGCACGGAGCAAGGAGAGAGAGCTGTGGCTCCATTTCCCCCTTTCTCCCTCCCCACAGATGCTGCGAAAACAGCAGGATCTCAGGTTTGGCTAGGAGGGAACCTTGCTTAGGGAAGGTGGGCCAATTCTTGAGCCATGTCAGCTCCCGGCATTTGGTCCTGCCTCAGCAATTCACCCAAGCTGCTTTTTCCTAGGCTGTTGGTGTCTGTGCTTTAAAAAGAAAGTGCAAAATTCCCTTTTGCTGTTGTCTTTCAAGGGGAAAGGGGATTATCTTCAGTTTTTGGGCATGAACCAAAGTCACGTTGGCAATGCACCCTTGCATCTCTCCACATAAAGGCAAGAACTCCCAGGACTGGTATTCTTTGCAAATAGCCTTGCCTGGGGTTCTGAATTTCTCTCCCCACACTCCTTTAGAGCAGAAGGTTCTGCTTTGACAGAGAGACTGTGTGTGTGTGTGTGTGTGTGTGTGTGTGTGCGCGCGCATGTGTTACAGTGTGGTTGCTTGCCACTGTACGCTTTGCTCAAACAGGTTGTGCGTTGGTGTCTCTCCAGCTCACCTCCATCTTGCTCCGTCGGAGTAATGGAGCCACTGAGCCGGGCTGCCCACCAGATAACAGGTTTATCGCCTCTCCTGTTCCTGCTGTCAGCTCCTCTCTCCCCTCCACCAATCTCCTTGGTGCATGAAAAATTGACACCCCCTCAAGTTGAAATCTGTTGCTGAAGGAGGAACATTTATTAGCGGATTAGAAAACCTGTTCACCCGGCAGGCTCTCCTTTTGCTTGTTACCCTGCGCTGCCCAGGTGCAGAGTGTGGGATCCCCCGGCACGAGAAAGGGGCTCCTCTGTCACTTGGGATCCCGCATGCCTGTTGCAGAGCCCTTCTCGCGAAAGGCCGAGACACTGGTTTATTGAAAGCCCCTTGCAAAGAGGTGCCTGTCGCTCCTATTCCATGAGCAATTGATCGCGGCTTCTCTCAGGCCCCCGGGCTAAGGCAGAGCTGTGGAAACTCATGTTAATCTGTCTTGACAGCAATGAGGAGATGATCCCTCTTCTCCGTACATTGCATTTTCCTCTCTGAAAAATAACAGATTCTGACACCCCTCTCCTCCGGCAAGCCAATAGAGGCAAATTTTATGGCCCCCCTTGCCTCATCAATCTTAATCGGCGGGATTAAAGCAAAGGTGGCGTGGAGAGGCTGGAATTGCATTTGCTCTGAAATGCCTGCAAGGCGAGGCCGGCTCTGAGCGCAGGAGGGAGCAGCCGCACCTGCCTTGGCAAGAGGATTTGCGCTTGGGCTCCCTCGGTGCAAAAGTGGACAGCTCTGCTTCTCTTTTACAGCGAAGACAGACACAAGGTGTTCACAGCAGTGAGAGTTCAGTGCTCCTTTTTAGGGTCTAGCAAACCAATCCGCAGGCTCGGAACAGTAGCCGACTGGGCCCTTGTCATGCAAAACCTGGAACAATTTTGCACCCTGGTGTTGCTGGTTATGTTGACTCTGTTCGGTGCCTGCTAAACCCAGCCTGGTGCCTTTAGACCACGGCTGCCTGTCATTGCCAACAGCAGTGCTGTCTGGGGATGTGAGCAGGCACCCCAGGAGGGCACCAGGTTGGCAGAGGCCGCTGTTGTTGCCATATAAGCAACCGCTAGCCGTAGCTACTGGCCCCACCGCTTTCACCTGAACCCAAGGAAGCAAAGTGTTGTTGGAAGATTCAGGGCAGATTAAAGAAAGGACTTCTTCACACAGCGCATGGTTAACCTGTGGAACTCCGACCTGCAGGAGGCAGTGATGGCTAGCAGCCTGCCTGGCTTTAAAAGAGGATTAGGCAAATTCATGGAGGAGGAGAGGCGGCTATCGGGGGCTATCGGGGACTGTGCTCTGCTTTCAGGGTCAGAGGCAGCAATGCTTCTGAATACCACTTGCAGGAGACCACAGGAGGGCAGGGAACTCATGTGCTCGAATCCTGCTTGCTGGTTTCCCACAAGGGGCATCTGGCTGGCCACTGGGAGAGCAGGATGGCCGCCTGATCCAGCAGGGCTCTTCTTCCATTTCTAAATTCCCATTTCGCTGAAGGATGCCTTCGCCTTGGGCCCTTCAGGATCAGGCCTGTGAAGGTGCAGGATGGAGATTTGGAGTGGAACTGTTGGTCTTGGTGCCAGCAAGAGCCCAGCGGAGGCAGCAGCAGAAGCAGAAGAATAGTAGTTTCCTTTGGGGGCTTCTGCTCTCCCTCTTTTCCCAAGACTTGTGCTATCTTGAACTTGACCCGTCAGCAAAATCTGAGAGACTGCAAAGCAGGCAAGAGAAAGCTCATTATTTTGGGCAGCCTTTGTGCGTGTTTGGCACAATGGCCTTTCTGTGAATAGATGCAAGCCTAGTTGCAGAATCCGCTCCCGCTGCAGCTAAATCAGGCTCCGCGGTCAGGGGTCGTTTGTTCCTGTCATGTCCCAATTGCCATCCCTTCAATGGGAACTTGTTCAGGAGAAGGGGCAAGCCTCTCTCGAGTTGCTTCTCTTCGTACTGCACTGCAGGGTGTTGGACTAGATGACTTCTGGGGGTCCCTTTCAACTCTATGATTCCGTCACACTCAGCTGCGCAGGAAGCTGCTGACTCCTCTGCCCCTTGGCAAAGGGATTGGAGGGGGCAGCCTTAGCTACCCGACCTGAGTGTGTGCATCTCTTTCTCTTCCCCCAGAGCACATCTGCTCCATCTTGGCTTCCCTCCTGAGGAATCTGAGGGGACAGCAGAGAACTCGGCTGCTCAACAAGTTCACGGAGAACGACAGCGAGAAGGTGAGAGAGACCGGGGGGGCAGTGTTGGGGAGCTGGGAACAGGAGAGGGGTTCAGAGCCTGGTGGGGGCGGGAGAAATTGGGCACTGTCTCAGTGATGCTGTCCAAATGGTATCCAGGATGGTGAGAGGCAGTGTGGTGGAGTGGTCAGAGTGTTGGACTACCAGGACGTGGGAGACCTGGGTTCAAATCCCCCACTCAGCCAGAAAAAGCTCACCAGGTGAGCGGGCAAACACTGCCTCTCAGGCTGGGATTAAATGTGGGGACCCCCTTGCATGCCACCTTTAGTTCAACCAGTTATCTTTTTTCCTGCCCCCACAAGTTCTACTAGTGAACATTTGGCACCATGTTCCACCTGTCATGGATGCTTGAGTTGTGATCCCTGCATTGCAGGGGGGTTGGACTAGATGACCCCTGGGGGACCCTTCCAGCTGCTCAGTTCTGTGATTCTATGACAATCCTCCAAAGGAGTTCCCTTGCGCAAGACCCACCGTGCTGTTGCCCCTTTCCTATTTCAGTGGGGCTTGTGCCCCGTGGTGCAATACTGCTGCCCACATCCTGCCAACCTCTCCGCCGGCTTCATAGCAGGGTCGTGGCTTCATAGCTCTCCCTCACAGCCAGGTGTGTGCTGCGTGGGTGTCCCGTGGCATGAAATCAGTGGTACCTCTGGTTGCGAACGGGACCTGTTCCGGAAGCTCGTTCGCAACATGAAAAGAGCATAACCCGCAGCGGCGCTTCCGCGCACGCGCAGGTTGCGATTCGCCGCTTCTGCGCATGACGTCATTTTGCGCTTCTGCGCATGTGCAAGCAGCGAAACCAGGAAGTAACCCTTTCCAGTACTTCCGGATCTCTGCAGGACGTAACCTGAAAGAACATAACATGAAGTGGACATAACATGAGATATGACTGTACAGTGGTACCTCGGGTTACATACACTTCAGTTTACATACGCTTCAGGTTACAAAGTGGTGCTTCAGGTTAAGAACAGTTTCAGGTTAAGAACAGATCTCCGGAATGAATTAAGTACTTAACCCGAGGTACCACTGTAGTGGCATAGGCTTCCTGCAGGGACCCTTCTTGAGACCACCAACCCTTCTGAGCGCAGCCCTGCCCCAGCTGCATGGATAGGGTGGGCCGGAGTCCTTCACCCCCGGTTTCTCCGGGGAAACCTGCAGTTTCAACCACCAGCATTTCAAGCTAAGGAAATGGTTAGTGCTCTCAGTGCTCCTGAAAATTAATATTGGCTCTGAGGACCTGTATCTTCTTTGGAAATCAATTAGTGGAGCGGAGAGGGAACCAGGGATGTCCCGCTGGAGGGGAGGGCCTGTGCAAGCCTGCACTTCTGGTGGGACTTGCCAAGTGGGTCCCCAGGGGCTGCTGTTGGTTTTGTTCTGCAAAGAGCAGCCGCTAATGCATCCTGAGAGCTTCAAACGTCTGCCGTTGGAATAAAATCTGCCGTCTCCGCACGCACCCACCCTGAAATATATGTGGGAGAGCAGGTCTGGCAACGGCTGCTGGCCAAGATAGCTGTCAACGAGGGGCAGAGGCAGGGAGGTTGCTCCCGTGCCCTCCTTGTGGGTTTCCTGGCAGCACCTGCCTGGGAGCCTAGTGCTGATTTCTCCCCTTTTGGCCTTGGAAATCTTGCCTCTCGGGAGACGTGGATGCAGCTGCTTTGGCAAGATGGAGAATGGTGTAAAGGGAGCCCCTAGGTCAGGCCAGCTTGGAGGAACAGTGATCAAGGAGGCGGGAAGGGAATTGGGTTCTGAGGGGGAAGGTAAGCAGAATTGGTGCCATTTTAGAGCATCTGGGGTGCCGTGCATTCTGTGAGCAGGGAATCAGCAGGACCTTGCAGGCTGTTTGCTTTCCAGTGCCCCATTCAGTACAGATGTGGCACCCCGGCTTTAGAAGCCCAACTTGTTCAGTTCAGAGGTGCCTCGCTGTCCGTGGGCCCTTCGTCTTGCTGGGGTACGTGAAGGAGTGTCTCCACCCCCATCGTTCTGCCTGGATACTGAGATCCAGCTCTGAGGGCCTTCTGGCGGTTCCCTCACTGCGAGAAGCAAAGCCACAGGGAACCAGGCAGAGGGCCTTCTCGGTGGTGGCACCCACCCTGTGGAACACCCTCCCTTCAGATGTCAAAGAGATAAACAACTACCTGACATTTGGAAGACATCTGAAGGCAGCCCTGTTCAGGGAAGTTTTTAATGTGTGACATTTTAATGTGTTTTTCATCTTTGTTGGAAGCCGCCCAGAGTGGCTGGGGAAACCCAGCCAGATGGGCGGGATACAAATAATAAATTATTATTATTATTATTATTATTATTATTATTATTATTAGATGGCTGTGTGATGAGTTCAAACCTTTCCCACTCTTCTTCTCTCCCCCCCGCCCCCCGGCAGGTTGACAGACTGATGGAGTTATATTTCAAGTACCTGGATGCAATGCAAGCAGCTGATAAGAAGATTGAAGGAGAAAAGCATGTAGGTGTCATCACCCCCACCCCACCCCCTCCTGTCAGTTCATTATGAGATGGTGCCTGCAAGTTCCCTGAAATGCTAAAAGCTCCCCCTATGAACCAACCCAGACCCTGCAGCCGTTATCCGAGGCCCTTCTTTGTGTGCCCCCTCTGTGAGCGATCCAGAGGACGAGAACAGGGCCTTTTCTGCATTGGCTTCCCCTTTGTGGAACGCTCTCCCACGGAGGCTTGCTGGGCGCCATCATTACATTATCTTTGGGCACTAGCTTAAACTTTGCTCTGTAACCAGGCCTTCAGCCTTTAACTATCAGTGGCCTTTTAGAAGTGGGTGGGATTTTTTAATGTAAACACACACACACACACCCCATTTGATGCATATGTCAGGTTTTCCTTTTACCTCTTTGTGCTTTTAGTGCATTGAGTTGCTTCGGGCAAGGTAAAGTGACTAACACATTTAATTAATATTATTAATAATAAATAATAGTATTAATAATTTTTAGGTTCTTAAAGAGACAGCTGCGGTTTGCTCAAGGGCTCGCTTGCTTCCTGCCCCACTGCCTGCGAGCTCACCAAAAGCGTCCTCCAGACACGAAGGCCTGCAGCCCAGCTTAAGCAAGGGAGCATGTGTGTGTTGTTCTCCATTCAGTTAAGCACTGGAGAATAATTTGCAAAAAACCTGCAGTTATAGGGTGGTTTATAAATTCAATTAATACAGTAGACCCTCGGGTTACGTTACTCTCGAGTAACATAAACTTCAGGTTGCGAACGCAGCAAACCTGGAATTCTTTTTCTGAGTTTCGCCGCTGCGCATGCACAGAAGCGGCGCCTCTGGGTACGAATTTTTCGGGGGGTGCTTGGACCCCAGGAACGAATTTAATTCGTATCCAGAGGGTCCACTGTAGTAATAAGAATAGTAATAACAATACCTACCACGAATTTGGTTTTTAAAGTTTTTTTAAAATATTTTATCGAAGTCTGTCAAATCCATTCAAAAAGAATAGCAAAAAAGCAGCACAGTGTATCCAAGAGTGGCTTTATATTTGGTTGGTAGAGGACTTAGGGAAGCCAGATTCCACATTGTCCCGTGGAGAAGGCAGCCGTCCCTGTGCATTGGAGCCCTGAAACGCCGCAGAGTCACCGAGAGGGAGCAGGTGTCCCTCCAGGCAGGACACTGCAAGAACCCCAAGGAATGCTGCCGCTCAGAAAATCTCAATGTGTCGGGTTGTGGTGAACAAGTCTTCCCCAGTCCATTTCATGTTTTATTTGAGAAAAAGGTGGCAAGCCACCACAGCTCTTTAACTCCCTCAGAGACGAGGTGCAATTATAGAGCCTCAGCGGTGATCTCTGCAGAAAGGGAGGCAAAGGCAGGTGATGACTTAATGCATTTCTTCTTAGTTCTGCGAGGAAATTATGCTCAGCAGGTTTATTCAATAAAAGCGCTCTCGCCGGATACTTTGCGCCATAACGACTTACAAATTAGATGCTAATTGTGCCACTGTTAAGTCATTCCATCCTTGAACGGGAGAATCGGCTTCCGTGGGCTTTGATAGCCTAAATGGGGTTTTGGAATTAACCTGGCATTTGAGTGGGGCAGCAAATGGCTTGAATTTCACAGAAGTGCCTTGCGAGAGGGTGATCATGAAAGGGGTTAATGCGGAGCGTGAGGAACAGCAGCGTTTGCCGGAGGCTCCGCAGCCCAGCTGAACTTCCTCAGCTGCTCAGACCTTCCTCACCTGGGCTCTGAGCTGAAGCCCCTTACATCCATTGCCGGCTGAGAGCACAGCTGCTCATCCTAAAAGCCCCGTGATGTCTCATCCCAAACAGAGTGAAAGAACTTGCAAGGCCTGCACCTATTTTATATGGGACGGCTCAGCTCACAGGGAACGCTTTGCTAGATTGGCCACGGGCCTGACCCTGCAGGCTCTCCTTATGTTCTTCTGCAAATGTGACTAGCAACAAGCAACGTTGTCCCTCCCATTAGCCAACACCGACTCCTCCTGCAGGGCTTCTACATTTGTGTGTGTTTTGCATTGCTTATCATTTTGCCCTGCAAGTGTCGGGTCTCACATCTGGTGCCAAACTTGCAGCTCTCCCTCACACTTCAGCCTCTAAAGGAAGTTTTGAGCCTTCCTTCTTGAGGCTGCAGCTGATACATAAATGCCCCTTCAGTGCCAACTCTGAAAGCTGGAGAGAGAAATCAGGCCTTCGGTGTTTTCTCCTCCCTTGGTTTGAGCTCCCCTTTATGGGGCTGGGGTGAGTGTGGGGGTGGGTGTGTGGGTGTGTGCCGGCCTTCAAGGATCAGTCCTCCTCCCTCCCCGCCTGGCATAGATTTGGGTTGGCCCCCTTGGCCTCTTCCCCTCTGCCAGCAGCCCCAGCTGGGGGAAGCAGGAAGATCTTGCCTCTGCCAGCCTCCTTTATCAGCCTTTGCTCATCTTCGCCGCAGTTGCTCCTCACGCCCCAGCTGGCCTGACGGGCTGTCCCAACCTGTCTGTCACCCTGACAGCTGATTTTAATTGGGAAGCGGGAAGAGATAATCTAGCCTGACACTCGTGCTTACCTTGCACAGAGCAGCCGGAGCGGTCTGCACTGCTGTGCCCCCTGGCCGCGAAAAGGTGTGCCAACAGGGCATGTGCCACCGAGCCACGTCCTGCAGAAGTTGCTCCTCCAGGAGGCAGTGGCAGCCACCAACTTGAGCTTTAAAAGGGGACGAGACAAATTCGTGGAGGAGACTATGGACAGTTGGAGGCAGCAATGCTTATGAGTATCAGTTGCTGGGAACTGCAGAAGACGGGAAGGCTCTTGAGCTCGTATCCTGCTTGTGGGTTTCCCACAGACACCTGGTTGGCCACTGGGAGAACAAGATGCTGGACTAGATGGGCCACAGGCCTGATCCAGCACAATCCTCTTTCATTTTTAAGCAGTGGAAGAAGCAGCAAAGTAGCCTTCCGAGGACGTTTCCGAACACAATTCAAAGTGTTGGTGCTGACCTTTAAAGCCCTAAACGGCCTCAAAGGCCCAGTATACCTGAAGGAGCGTCTCCACCCCCATCATTCTGCCCGGACACTGAGGTCCAGCTCCAAGGGCCTTCTGGCTGTTCCCTCGCTGCGAGAAGCCAAGTTACAGGGAACCAGGCAGAGGGCCTTCTTGGTGGTGGCGCCCGCCCTGTGGAACGCCCTCTAGCCAGATGTCAAAAGAGAACAACAACTACCAGACTTTTATAAGACATCTGAAGGCAGCCCTCTTTAGGGAAGCTTTTAATGTTTAATAGGTTATTGTATTTTAGTGTTCTGTTGGAAGCTGCCCAGAGTGGCTGGGGAAACCCAGCCAGATGGGCGGGGAATTAATAATAATAATAATAATAATAATAATTATTATTATTATTATTATTCCTGGACCCCCTGGCAGAGAACTAGGAGGAAGATCCTTCCTAAGCCCCAATAAAGCAGCCAGCCACTTCCTGTCCCCTTGCACACCCGCGGAGTACCCAAGGGAAATGGCGTTGATGCTTGATTTTCCAGCACCCAGAATCCTGCCACCCATTGTGGCAGGCCGGGGTGGCTGAGAGGAGAGGAGCAGGGGCAGAATCTCCGGTGGGATCAGGAAGCCTCCCTGCTTGAATCTGCAGCAGGCCCCGCTGGGCTTTGGCAATCGTCATTTTGCCATTCCCCGACTGTCAGTCCAGCCTCATTACTGTGAGGGGAGCTTGCTTCAGTTTCACAGGAGCCCATCTTATTGCTGTCGTCTCCCATCAGCATGGGGCATCTCGCGGCAGATAAGGAATGGCACCTGATCATTCATTTGGAGGTTAGCATCTTGACGGCTGCAGAGGGTTTGGGGGGGCGGAGAGAGAGAGGCAGAGTGGCTGTTTGGTGTTTGCACGGGGAAAAGATTAACAACAGTTTGGAGGGGGAGGAATGGTGGTTGTGAACAGGGCTTTAAAAAAATGGCAAGGTGGTGCCGCAGCCACCCACGCACCAGCTCCCTGCACACTGGCAAGCAGCTTTGGCTAAGTTTCCCGGAGCTCGCCGTGTTTTTTGTCTTGCTGCCAGCCCCGCAGGGAGAGGCTCCCGCCTTGCACGAGAGAAGAGCCGTCCCGGTTTCCGCCTGCGCAATCAGCGGATCCGGCCTCCAAATCACTTCGTTATCCTGGATTGCAGGTGTCGTGCGCCGTGCGCCTCAGATGTCAGCTTGAGCTGCCACGGCTGATGGCTTCGAAAACACTTGCCATTCGCATTTCTAAAAAATAAAAATCAAGAGCTGTCAAGGCGGAAGGGCAGAAATTAGGAGCTGGAGAGGCAAGGGGGGAGAGCCTCCTGCCATGGCTTGTAGATTGCCAGTGACATTCCTGCCAATCCTGAGCCAGGATTTTAAGGGTCTTTGAGGCTCCAGCGCATTCTCTGAGAGGCAGCTGCCACAAGCCAGGTCAGTGCCTGGACACAAGAGGGCAGGTCCTTGTTGTAGCAAAGGGTCTGGGTCATAGAATCATAGAACTGTAGAGGTGCAAGGGGCATCTAGTCCAACCCCCTGCCATGCAGGAGCCACACCTAAAGAGTCCCTGACAGATGGCGACCCAACCTCTCCTTAAAACTATCAAACCAGAAAAGGGTGCGGTGGCTTGCCAAAAGGCGGCGGGTTTTGAACATCCGAAACCGAGACTGCAAGGTGTGGTCCTGCAAAAGCTGGAGTAGGGAAGCGGAAGAAGTGAAAAGTCAGGAATGGAGTTGAACGGGGTTGTCCCTTTTAGGGTCTCAAACTCTCAGGGGAAGGGGAGCACACCTGTTTTTGTCACCTGCCTTGGCAAAGAGGAGGGGGTGTTTTCAAGGCCCCGACACAACACAAGATGAAGCTGGGCAAGTCCTACGCTGTGGTGCTTGGCTTTCGGTCTTGGTCAGGTGGGCAAAAGAAGCCCGTTGGGTGGAAGTCGGAGGACAGTATAGGAATACGAGAGCTCCAGAGGGCAGCAACATGAGAACGGGGCCTTTTCTGCGGTGGCTCCCCATTTGTGGAATGTTCTCCCCAGGGAGGCTCACCTCATACCTTCATTACATATCTTTAGGTGCCAGGCAAAAATGTTTCTCTGTCACCAGGCCTTTGACTGATTCACATTCTGTGTCCTTTCCAGTGTGTTTGGCGGGGGGGGGGGCGGTTATTGATTTGTTGTTGTTTTTATTATGTGTTTTGTGTTCTCGTTTTGTATTTTTCTGTTGCAAACCACCCTGTGCTCTTTTGGTGAAAGTTAATAAATAAATAGGTAAATAGAAACCATTCTCTCCTGATAATACCCTTCGTTAAACTATGGAACTCACTGCTACAGGATGGATGGCTTTAAAAGAGGTTTAGACAGTTTCACATAGGAAAGGGCTCTCAATGGTTCCTAGCCATCATGACTGGGCTCTGCCTGCAAGGTCAGAGGCAGCGATTCTTCTGAATTCCCATTTCTGGAAAGTGCAAGATCCCAAAGGCATCTAGTCGGCCATTGTGAGAGCAGGATGCTGACCTGGGTGGGCCATTGGCCGGATCCAGCAGGCTGTTCTTAGGGCCTTAAGTTCTTCGCATCGCTGCTGTCCCTGGACTCTTCCTGTGGGCTGCTGCTTTGTTCAGCAGTTTCCTTGCAGACCTTCCTCCGTCTGGGACCTCTGTTGCTTCATGTGGGCTCTGGGGAAGGAAGGTCTGGGGCTGGGCACCTGGCTGGGGGGGCGAGAGGAGCTTGCCGCTGCTGTGCAGCCTTGCCTTTCCCCTGTTTTTGCCTGCGACACACACACACACACACACACACACACAGGAGGGGGGTCCCTCCTTGCCAAGTCTTGCAGGTACAGCGGGTGCCCGCTCTAATGAGGAGACATAGCTCCGGCGGACTGCCACGCACCTGCTGGGCCGCCATATAATAAATCACAGCAGCAGCAGGGAGCTCGCGGGTTGGCAAAACAAAATTCCAGCGTGAGGATAGCAAAAGGTCACGTGTGGCATGCATTACTGCTGGCGCAGGGCCAGCAGGAAGCGGAGGGTGGGCTGGCAGGCTTGCGCCGGGGAGTGGGGGGTCCGCAGGGACATGTTTTGCCCAGGAACAAATGGCTCTTTCACTGCACAAAGGATTTCTGCGGACTTTGCAATCGGAGCTGCTCCTGGTGCTTCTCTTCCGGGTCTTGCGCGATGCTTTGGTTGAGACCCTTGAATTGTGGGGTGCTGGACTAGGGGACCCTAGGTAAAGGTAAAGTGACCCCAGACCATTAGGTCCAGTCGTGGCCGACTCTGGGGTTGCTGCGCTCATCTCGCTTTATTGGCCAAGGGAGGCAGCGTACAGCTTCCGGGTCATGTGGCCAGCAGGACTAAGCCGCTTCTGGCGAACCAGAGCAGCGCATGGAAACGCCGTTTACCTTACCGCCGGAGCGGTACCTATTGATCTATTTGCACTTTGATGTGCTTTCGAACTGCTAGGTTGGCAGGAGCAGGGACCGAGCAACGGGAGCTCACCCCATCGTGGGGATTCGAACTGCCGACCGTCTGATCGGCAAATCCTAGGCTCTGTGGTTTAACCCACAGCGCCACCCGCGTCCCAGGGGACCCTAGGGGACCTTTCCAACTCTGTGATTCTGTGATTCCAGGACATGGTCCGCCGGGGAGAGATCATTGATGATGACATGGAGGATGAGTTCTACCTCCGCCGCCTGGACGCCGGCCTCTTCGTCCTCCAGCTCATCTGCTACATCATGGCGGAGATCTGCAATGCCAGCATTCCCCAGGTGAGGGCAGCACGGCTGCCACATTACCCCCACCCCCCACCCCCAGTGTTCATGGTCTGGGGGCCCCCACTGGACTGTGTCTTTGCTTCTGTGCCTCCCTACCAGGGAGGACCCAGAACTCAGCACATCTGCATCAGGAGGTGCTTGGTGTACACATTTTATGTTGCAACCTCTTTTTTGAGTTTCCCCTTGGCTAGGGATGAAGGCAGTAGCCCTATATGGCTTAGGACCCTCGTACCTACGGGACCACCTCTCCTGGTGTGTCCCACGGAGGACCTTACGGTCTTCAAACAAAAACATCTTGGAGATCCTGGGCCACAGGGAGGTTAGGCTGGCCTCAACCAGAGCCAGGGCTTTTTCGGCCGTGGCCCCGATCTGCTGGAACGCTCTGTCACAAGAGACTAGGGCCCTGCGGGACTTGACATCTTTCCGCAGGGCCTGCAAGACAGAGCTGTTCCACCAGGCCTTTGGCCAAGGCACAGCCTGACCCCCTCCTTTGGCAATCCTCACAGAACTCTAGCCCAATGGTTGCCTTTAATTTGATCCTGAAGTGATTTTAGAATGAATTGGTTTTAGAATGCTGTGTTACTTTTATTGTTGTTAGCCGCTCTGAGGCCGGCTTTGGCTGGGGAGGGCGGGATATAAATAAATTATTATTATTATTATTATTAATTAAGGTGGCAGCCTTTCTAGAAGGTGGGTGTCCCTGTTTCCCCTCCCCTCCTTGGGCTAACACACCTGGGTGGAGGGAGGGAGGGATTCAGCAAGATTTTCCTTTGCCCACATGGGCTGCTTCCTGCCACATGCAGAATCATGGAATTGGAAGGCCTCCAAAGGGTCGTCTACTCCAACCCCCTGCAATGCCCTGATCCCAAGGCCAGATATGCAGGGCTGCTCATTCCTGCTCGCACAGATGAAGGCACTTTCCTTTCTGGCCATTTTGGGGCCGTGTGAGTGTGCTGTGTCAAGACCCTGGCACAGTGCAACCAAGCTGCCTCCCTGGGAAAAAAAACCCAACTCTCCTGTGGGTTTTTTGTTCTCTGTTTCCATTACAATTACTGCAGATTTCTCTCTCTCTCTCTCTCTCTCTCTCTCTCTCTTTTGCTCCCACCCTCTCTTGTTTTTCATTCCCTGGCCAGATTCGTCAGCGAGTCCATCAGATCCTGAACATGAGGGGAAGCTCCATCAAAATAGTTCGGCACATCATCAAAGGTGAGTCCTTGAGCCCTGGAGTGGGGGAACGGCTTCCTCTGAGGTCCCACTCAGGCTCCTGTTTGGCCAGCAACCCCATCAGAAAGCAGGGAGCCAGCCTCACAGCCTCAGGCACATGGAGCCGGGCAAGAGACCGCCTCTCTGCCTATTCATCCAGCCGCCACGACCCCTTTGGGCAGACCCTGTCTTCCAGCCCCGTTGTGCCGCCTGCGAGATTGCTGAAAGTAAGTGTTCGGTGCAAAGCCGTCGCCAGCAGCAAGGACTGGGCTGGCCTCTGTGGGCTTCTGCACATAGCTGTCAACGTTTCCCTTTTTCCGAATAGGATTCCTCGCAAGAAAAGGGAAAAGTTGGCAGCTATGCTTCTGCAGTGAAGAGGAGTGGTGGCATTTAGGAGACCCCTAAATTTAGATGCAGGATGCTTTGATGGCAGGCCTGCTAGGCAAGGCTTGGGAGAGAACCAGTGTGGTGTAGTGGTTAGAAGGTCCGACTCTTAATGCAATAAATAACTAAAAACAAAATTAATAATAATAATAATAATAATAATAATAATAATAATAATAATAATAAATTTTATTTATATCCCGCCCTCCCCAGCCGAAGCCGGGCTCAGGGCGGCTAACAACAATCAAATAATCAAACAATCAAATAATCAAACATTCTAAAAACATTTCATTATAAAAATTAATTAAAATCAAATTGATGGCAACCGTTAAGCAAATTCTGTGCAGGTTGCCGGAGGAGGGAGTCAGGCTGCGCCCTGACCAAAGGCCTGGTGGAACAACTCTGTCTTGCAGGCCCTGCGCAAAGATGTCAGGTCCCGCAGGGCTCTAGTCTCTTGTGACAGAGCGTTCCACCAGATTGGAGCTGCAGCCGAGAAAGCCCTGGCTCCTCTTCCACCACCTCTAGCCTCCCAGCCCTAGATCTCCCACTGCAGGGTCCTGAGTCTCCCTGAGAAATGCACAGTTCACCTTCTGACCTGAACCGGCACACGTGAGGTTACAACAGCACCCAGGTGGTCTGACCCACCTTAGGAGGGTCCGGGGCAAGTGGGGCTTCCTCAAGTCCCCCATCAGGCTCCAGGTAGCCACCCCCTCCCCCTGTGTAGGCGGGGTAGAACTGGATTCCTGCTTTTCTCCACCGGTGTGGGATTCTGCTCACCTTGAGCCTCGCACAGCTGGAGTCGTAAGCCATTCTTGCTGCAGGAAGAAGACAGGTTCTTTCTTGAGGGAGGGGGTTTCTCTGGGGCTTGGAGCCAGATGGTGGTGGGGAGTGGCAGGAGCACCCAAGCAGCAGGAGAAGCCGCTCCCGTTCCTCCCCACCAGCGGAGGCTCAGCTAATTCAGCATCTTCTGCCTCCTTCCCTTTTTCTGCTTTGCATGCAGGGCTCTGGTCCCCTTCTCTCTCCTGCTTTTTTGCATGCTAATTGGAAGCCTGTTTCTTAGTTTGATTTTTATGGCCTACATATTTTCCCTGTTTCTCTGGCAGCCTGACAGCTGATGGGTCCCTGGGGAGGGCCAAGAATTGCTTCGGATGCAAAGGGAGAGAGAAATTGGGCTCTCCATTTATTTTAAGTGGGGATGGAGGCAAGCAGGGAGGGGCAACAGGCTCATTAAGGCTCCTCTCTGATGGCTGACCAGGCTGGGCTTTGGGGAGAGATTTTGGAGGTGGGGGTGCAGCTGCCTTGGTGTGGGAACCGACAGCGTCTAGGAGAGACAGACCACCCTGGGTGCCCCACTGAGGCAGGGGACTTTGGGGTGTGAGAGATCCAATAACTGGTGAAGCAAGTGTTGGTGATAGGTTTAGCTCCTTCTCCCTCTCTCTGAGTGCCATGTATGGGGTCATGTTTCTTGGGATTTGTTAAAGCTATATTGATGGGAGTGGTGGCCACCAAGCTAGATAACATGATCATTGGCATTAGCATTCCTATACCACTTTATATCAAAGCAGTCTACAACACATTAAAACAATCTACAATGAAAAATTGCTGAATAAAGTACACATTCAGAGCAGGAATTAACAGGAAACTAAAATGCTATCTTAAAATTTTCAAAATAAAACATTGCAAAACAGGTCAACTACAAAATGCACATTTGAGTCAGCAGAGTTAACAAAAAAAAAGTAGACATTTTAAAAGAGTGAGAAAGAGAGAGCCAGATGAAATTGCCGTTCCCATCTCTTTGACTGCTGTGAGAAGAGGATGCTGGACTAGATGGGCCCAGGGCTTGATCCGGGAGGCTTTTCTCTTGTTCTCATATATTGACCTCTGCTTATTTGCTTGACCTCTGCTTACTTGCTTGAGCTTGAATGCATTAAATTGTTCCTTGCCTGTAGATACTTCCTGCCTCTTCTGTGTCTCGTTCACTCCCTGGGACACATAGTCATTTGAACAGTGCAGATTAATCAGTTTGGCTGTGTGTGGATCCTGCCCTAAGATCAAAGTGTGGGAGCAGATTTCCTTTTGGGTGCCTTGGTGTGGGCTCACTTCCCAGGGGGAAGGGGAACATGGGAGAGGCACATCCCACCAGACAGAGCAATGAGTAGCCCTCCCATTTCCACCTCCACCTTAACTTCCCTAGGCATCAGAAGCCCCCAGGCCTTCCCACCTTCTCCAGAAGAATGCTTGACTTGCTGCTGCTGCTGCTGCTGCTGCTGCTACAGAATTTGCCACCCCAAAAGAGTGGCCTCCTGGCGGTTGGTTGAGAAGAGTGTTGGCTCGCTTGTCTGCTTCTTCCAGTTTAGCCTCCTTAGGTGGCTAATGGCATCTCGGCAGCCCAGCGCTGAAGATGCAGGGGAGAGCGGTGACCTTGAGGTGCCTTCGCAAGTGATGTGGAGAAGCCATTTCTCTCCCTAATGGAGCCTCATTGTGCTCAGGACTCGTGGATATGGTTCATGGGGCGTGTAAGGCCAGAATCGGCTCTCCAGGAGTTGAGTGATGGGCCTGCAGTTTGACACATCTTGCCAGGTGTGCTCTCGGTCGCCAATGCCTTTGTTTGGCACAGAGCAGCACTGTGTGGAGGCTTTTCTTCGGCCGAACGGGAAGGGGGATGAGACTCACACCTTAGGAAATGGTGGCTGTAGCATTTCTTCTGAGCGTGATAGGAGAGCCTCCTGTCTGAGGTCCAAGCAGAGTAAGAGAAATTCCAGAATCGGCTCGTGCAAAAATAACATCTCTTGTACCGGTTGTGTGCAAAATGCTTTGAAATTCTTACTTATCCATGCAGCAGCCCTGTGTGGTAGGAGAAGGCAGACAGAGAGGGAGAAAGAATTGCAAAGGAGCAGACTTCTTCTGACCAAGCCCCTGCCCCACTTCCCATTGGCATCAGCATGAAAAAAATACACAATTCCAAACATAACCAAAAGCGGAAACAATAAATAAAACATCAAAAAGTATGCAACCAAACTGAACAATTTCCACATATAGTGTAATAAAATCTAAAGATGCAACAAATTAATACTGATAGCAGCAGCAGCAACCTGAAACAAAAAACCCCAAACAAGACCCCTTCGGAAGAGTCTGTTCGGCAGCTTCATCTTCTGCAGCTGGAGTCAGTCCCGGTCCCCCTTCTCCTGCCAGATGGAAAAGGCCTGCAAGGCAGGGAGCAGGTCTCCCAGGACTCCCAGCCAAGAACGGCCTTTCCCGGGCTGCTGTCTTGCTGACCTTTTGGACTCCAGCTCTACTGGCTGGGGCTGACGGGAGTGGTAGTTCAAAACATCTGCAGGGCGTCAAGCTGGGGGAGGCTGTGGTGGAACAAGACCAGAGATGTTTGAAGAAGCAGGGATGAGCAAGCCTAGATTGCGGGGCTGGTTTGTAGAATCGATACACCACTTAATAGCGTGCTTGCGGTTCTTGCCCCATTTGTGCTTCCAGTGCCTCAGTTATTGGGGGAGCGAGTTAAAGGTAAAGGGACCCCTGACCATTAGGTCCAGTCGCGGCTGACTCGGGTTGCGGCGCTCATCTCGCTTTACTGGCCGAGGGAGCCGGTGTACAGCTTCCGGGTCATGTGGCCAGCAGGACTAAGCCGCTTCTGGAGAACCAGAGCAGTGCACGGAAACGCCGTTTACCTTCCCGCCGGAGCGGTACCTATTTATCTACTTGCACTTTGACGTGCTTTCGAACTGCTAGGTTGGCAGGAGCAGGGACCGAGCAACAGGAGCTCACCCCATCGCGGGGATTCGAACCACCGTGGTTTAACCCACAGCGCCACCCTTTTGGGGGAGCGAGAGAGATGTGCAAATGGTCCAGGGATGTAAGCCCAGCTTTGAGGCCATTGCTCTGCCCCCCTCCAGCCTGCAAATGTTGCAAGGGCTGCTGGGCAGGCAGGTCTCCCCCTCTTTCACATAAGCCCAGAGGGGGCAGCTGCTGCTTGTTGCTGTGACTTCTCCCGCTCAATTCCCCTCCTCCCCGCAGCCTCTGGAAGTGAGGAGCAGAGCCTGCCCTGCCTGTTGGAGCAAGTCGAGCCATGGAGGGCACAGCCCCCATTGCAGCAGCTGCTGCCAGGCTTGAGCTTCATGCATATTCAAGGCTCTCCTCCCAGGAGCCCTGGCAGAGGCGGCGGCAGAGCAGCGTTGTTTGTGTGTGCTGCTTGAGGTGAGGGGGGAGCAGCGTCCCCATGCATTAGGGGGCTCACAGACCCCCCCCTTCCTGTAGCAGGGTCCGCATCTCCTGTATTAACGGGAGCCCTTTGCTCTGCAAGCTCTTGTTTTAGAGACTGGGTGGCACCCTGCATAGGAACGGAGAAAGCTGCTCCTTTCCCCTCTGAGGTACCTCTGGAATTACTGGGAGAATTGCGGGTTTTCCACAGGTATCTGGGTGGCCGCTGTGAGAACAGGATGCTGGACTAGATGGGCCACTGGCCTGATCCAGCAGAATCTGCTTGAGTTCTTATGTGGTCACAGGATGGGCCGGTTTGCCATGCCCTGCTCAGCTCCTGGCTCTGGGCCCGGCTGCCCCCTCTGCTTCCTCTCAGCTGCCCTCCTTCCCATAATCAATATTCCCACCCCACCCCTATGACTAGCCCCCAAACATGGCACCAAGTATATCTGCTGGTATCAGGCATTGCTTAATAGGGCCCCTTACCTCCTAATTGAAGCTCCGAAGACAAGGCTTCTCCCTTTCTGTTCCCATCTTACCTGGATTTCAGTTTTGTTTGGGGGGGGGGTTGCCCCAGATGTGGAGCTACAGCCACTTCTTCTTCTTCTGAGAGCCATCTCTTGTCTTCCTGCAGAGTATGCGGAGAACATCGGGGACGGGAAGAACCCCGAATTCCGGGAGAGCGAGCAGAAGCGGATTGTGGAGCTGCTGGAGAATTTCTGAGGGTCCCCCACTCAGCGGCTGCAACGCTTTCAGGACCCTGTGACCTCGTGCTGCAACTCTGGAGCCACAGAAAGGACTTGCTGCAGGAAATAAGCCTCTAGGCGGCTTTTTGAGATATTAAAGGATATTTTGTTTTGGTTTTTTCCTTACGTTTCCCGACTGAGTCTCTGCTGTGGGAGCACAGGATGAGGCCCACCTCCTTGAAGTGGAATGGATTGCTTTGGGCCGTGGTGAACCATGTCTGCATCCATTATGTCCCACTTTATTTCCAGGTTTGGGGCAGGCGAAAAGTTGAGGGGTTATTGATGCTATTTGATGGTCCTTTGCAGCATCCATTAGATCTTGTGATGGGGCTCCTCTGCATTCCCAGCTTCCTTACCCCAGTATGGGGCCCAGGATGCCTTTGGGTTGACTGATTCCATTTTTATACTCTCCTTTCTCCCACGGGAGCTCAGAGCTGTGAACAGAGCCAGTGTGGTGTAGTGGTTACAGCACTGGACTAGGGCCTGGAAGAGAGACCAGGGTTCAAAACTCTACTCAGCCATGATGTTCACTGGGGGTGGCCGTGGGGCCCAGCCACTGCCTCTCAGCTTAACTTACGTCGCAGGGCAGTTGTGGGGATTAAGTGGGGAGGAAGAGAGCCACATGCTATGCCACTCTGAGGCCCGGGGGGGCGGGGGCGGGAGCAGAAGCAGAATATAAATGCAACAAATAAATAAACTGCATTTCTAAAATCAAAACTGCACAAAGCAAAACCAGCTGCTAAACCATCAGTAAACAAAATTTATTCATTTCATAAAATTTATTCACGGCTTGATTCTGGAAAAAAAATCTCCAAGTGGTTTACAAAAGAGAAAACAGTAAAATCAAAAATGTACAACCCTACTTAAAAGCATACAAAATATGAAATACTAAAACAAAAAAGAATTACCTTAACTTTCTTAGCATTTGGGTAGGCTTGTCTAAACGAGAATGTTTTTAGCAGGTGCCAATATGAGTGCTTATTTCAATAGGCAGGGAGTTCCAAATGGCAGGCGCTGCCACACTAAATGCTCAAGTTTGTACAAAAGTTGAATACTTGTTGTGTGGCCTCTGTTGCAGCACCAGTTCTGCTGGTTGGAGTGGTCGGTTGAGCACAAAAAGAGCTTTTAATCTCTCTGCCCTCCTGGTGTGGGTAAGGGCTGCCCTGGGATTCTCCCCCAGAAGTTGGATGGCCCTGGCAAGGTCTGGCAAAAGCATCGCCCAGCCACCATGAGGAGCGAGCCTTGCCCCCCCCCTCCCCGGAAAGCAGAGAGCCTTAAAGCTCTTTACCTGCTGGGTAACCCCGGCCAGACCTGGCAAAAAGAGCTTTCAAGACCTCCTTTAAAAGGGCAAGACCTGCTTGGTATGTGGACTCCTGAAGTATGGAGGTTTCTCTCTCCCCGCTGGCCACGGGGGCAGCCCCAAGGGTCTTGGCACATACACTTTTCATGCATATGCTGAACTCTTGGAACAGAGTCCCAGATAAGATGTTTCTGTCGCTCCTTTGGTAATAGCTGCTTAGACTAGGATGTTCCTTGGAGTCACTTCTGACTCTTATGATTCAAACTTCCTTGAGGACCAGAGCCCAAACCAACTTTTTCTTCTGCTGCGGTTGGTTTTTCTGGAGTCGCTTTTCATCCCCCGAGGCTCGTGCTATCCCCGTAGAGCAGCGGATCTCAAGCTGTGGGTCCCCAGATGTTGTTGGACCACAACTCCCATCATCCCTGAGCTCTGGCCTTGCGAGCTAGGGGTGATGGGAGTTGTAGTTCAGCAACATCTGGGGACCCACAGGTGAAGAAAGGCTGCCATAGAGAGTTCTCTTTCCCACCCAGAGCTTTGACCTTCCTGCCCAACCTGAGCTGATCCTGCCCTGTTTCCTCCAGGGTGGGGAAAGAGCCCTGCTTCTGATGTGGGGCTCCTTCCTGGGTGTGGGTCCTCCTGTGCCTTTCACTTCAAGGTGCCCCTGTGGGGCAGAGGGGATGTGCTGCGGCTGCCTCCTGGCTCTCCACTCTCACGGCGTTGTCTCTGTCCATCGCACAAAGCCACGCAGCTTCTCCCGTGGACCTGGGCTGGGCCTCATTTGGAGAGATTTACATGCTGGCAGCATTTGTTCCTTATCTGCAAAAAAACGCCTTGTCAGAGAAGCTTAGAGGCGCCTGTTGGCATCGCAGGCCGGGAGGCTGTTATTTTGGTCACCAGCCTGGGATCTGCAGAGCCCACTGGCTGGAGAAAAACAGTGAAAGCATTTCCAAGGAGGCTCTCGGGGCCTTTGCCTCCTTCCTCGTTCTGTACAAATAACCTCCCTCCATTCTTTGGAGCGCTGGAGGGAGTCCATGCGAGAGACCCCCGTGGCCTCCCCATGCAGCGCTGTTTACTGGCAGCTGCAAGCTGGTCCAAAAGAACTTGGGACCACGTTGAATGAGGCCACAGGCAACTCGTTTCCTTCCAGAACCACGGGAAAACCAGATGGTGGGGAGGTGTGGACCTGTATTGTGCATTTTTGCGTGGGTTGCGTCTTGCCCACTCGGAGATGTTGCAGACGTGTCAAGCAGCAGCGTCCAGAAAAGCAAAATACTGATTAATATGGAATGAGTACCTGTGTGTGTGTCAGAGAGAGACAGAGTACTGTTCAGAACAATTGCATCTTAAATGCATTAAGCTCACTTGATTTCAACCATTAGCAGCAGGAATGCTTGAAATTCCAACTAAATGCAAGCAAGGCAGAGAGCTGAAAAGCACTTTTCCTGCCAGGAAAACCTGGTGCAAAAGGAGCTTCTGAGCTCTCTGGTCCAGGGAGGGGGGGGCAAGTCTCTCTCATGCCACCGTCTCCAGCACACTAGGGATGCTCACGTGAGGGTGGTTTCAGCATATGCGCCATCTGCAACATAAATCCCTGTGTAAGATGTGGCCATACTGTATTGACTTGCATTTTTCCCAACTTCTCTCCAAGCTAAGGGATATTTGGAGATCAAATGCACTAACACTAACGCACACATAGAAATTGGATTTGGCATTCCCCAACCTGGTGCCCTCGAGATGCTTTGGACTACAACTCCCATCAGCGCCAGCCGGTAGGACCTTGCTAGCTGGGTTGCAACTCCTGCAGCCTAGCTCATTCTTTTGAGATGCTGATGAGGACACTTAACTTTTAGAAGACATCTGAAGGCAGCCCTGTTTAGGGAAGCTTTTAATGTTTAACAGACCACTGTATTTTAGTACTTTGTTGGAAGCTGCCCAGGGTGGCTGGGGAGACCCAGCCAGATGGGCAGGGTATAAATAATAAATTATTATTATTATTATTATTATTATTATTATTATAACTGCCCAGCTAAGGTCATTGTCTTACAAAGAGACTTGTCTCACCAGCTCAACAACAGAACCCTCTATTGGATTCTAACCCTCAGTGGGTACAGGACCCCAAGAACTGGAAGGGACTCAGGGCATCATCCAGACTGACAACACACACACACACCCCAGGGGGAAAAACCCGCCCACATGCATGTGTTGCTTGCTGCTCTCTTGAGCTGCAGGTAAAGGAATCGTGCAGCTGCTCCCGGAAGTTGGTGAGACAGACGTGTCGGCTTCTGGACCACTGGGACATTCCTGGCAGGTTTTCAGAGGAAAGGGCTGCCCCACAGCCCAGCTCTATGGAATGGGACCTCCTTGACACATGTGCTTTCATTAGGGATCATGGAAGGGACCCTGGGGGTCATCTAGTCCAACCCCCTGCAGTGCAGGAATCACAGTTCAGGAATCCCTGCCAGGTGGCCATCTAACCTGTTTAAAGAAACTCCAATGAGTCATGGAATCGCAGAGTCGGAAGGGGTTCCAAGGGCCATCTAGTCCAACCCCCTGCAATGGAAACGATGAGTCAAGAACCTGCTCTGACCCTTGGAGTTCACACACCAGATCTCTGGACACGGAGTGCTTTGCACCGACCTTTCAAGATGAAAGTGCTTGCCTTCACATTGAAGGGAGGCTCTAAAGAACAGCGGGAGCTCCCCCCGCCCAAAGCCTGCAAAGATAATTCTTGCTTGTTGTCTTCCTCCTCGCCCCCTCTCTGCGTTTCTTCTCCCAAATGAAAGAAATGTTTGAGGGGATTATAAAAAAAACCTGAAATGCCATAGCTTATCGGAGTACAAAGCAATCTTGGTATCTCGTCCCTGTGATGGATGCTGAACGAGGCTCCATATGTTGCAGGCATTAAGCACACAATTCTTGTTATCTGGGCCAGGACTGGCTGTCACTAACCAACGCTGCTAAATTCCTGCAATCCCAATGCCTTCCAAACTTAATTATTGCTATATTGTTTATGTATTGCATTACAACCCAACTTTTTCTCTCTGAGGAGCTCAAGGTGGCATACAGCGTTTCGCCTCCTCATTGAATCCGCACAATGACCCTGAGAGGTAGGTTAGGCTGGGAGGCAGCGAGCAGAGCAAGGTCACACTCTGGGAGCTTTATGGCCAATGAGGGGGGATTCAAACCCTGGTCCCCCAAGTCCTAGTCCTACACTCTAACCACTAGGCCACCCTGGAGGGGAGGAACAGGGGACAAGCGGTTGACTACAAGCCCTGGAAACAGGCGAGACCAGTCGAGTCACAGAGTTCAGGCTGCGAGCAAATCTATCCCTGCTCCAGCATAGATTTAGCATCTGTTTGCTGAATGATTTATGTTCATCCGCCACTTCATCACAGTTCAAAAAATTGAAAAAGCAATAGGAATATAAGCAGAGCATCTGCTGGATCAGGCCCATGGGGGCCCATCCAGTCCAGCATCCTGTTCTCACAGGGGCCAACATGACATCCCCAAGCAAGACCCGGGTGCAAGAGCCACACTCTCCCGTCCTGGGGTCTCCAGCAAAATACTCAGTGCAATCAGATGCTAAATATCGCAGAACTGCAGGGTTGGGAGGAATCCCAAAGGTCATCTAGACCAACCCCCTGCATTGCAGGAATCACAGCTAAAGCACCCCCCACAGACCCAACCTCTCTTTAAAGACCTCCAAGGAAGGCACCCTGCTCCCCCCGAAACTGTTAAGCCTGTTCCAGCTTCACTCTGCATTGGTCACGTTCAGCAGACTCAGAGGAGGCTCTGCTGCTCCTTTCCTGCTAGAACAATTTGACATTATTTCAGCATTTGCCCCGTGTTGGGTGCTGTTATGGGGAAAAGAGGTCCTTGCCTCCAAGGTGGCATGCGCAGTCTTCCTCCTTCCCATTTTATCCTCAACAACAACCCTAAGAGGTAGGTTAGGCTGAGAGGGAGTGCTTGGCCCAAGGCTGAGTGGGGATTTGAACCCTGCTCTCTCCCAGGTCCTCGTCCAACTCTAACCACTGCGCCACACCACTGCGCCCCAGCCACCTTTGCCAGCTGAAGGTGCAGGCAGGCCAGTAATGCTGGAGCTTCTATGAGAGAGGAGAGGCCTTTTCCCTCCACTGAAAGGGTCTTGAGCAGGACATGAAGGAGGGAAGGAGGGAGAGAGATGCTCCGGAAAGAGCAGCGTGGCTTAGCGTGTGTCTGGCAAGGCGGTCCTGGAGCTGCCAGCCCATAAATAACAGTAATCACTAAATAGGGACAGTGCCTGGGCTGGGCTGGCGTCTCCTTCCCACATGCAGTAAAAATTCATTAGGAAAGGAAGCTGCAGCGTTCCAGCAGCGCGAGGGCCATAAATCTCCGGCCAGGCTGCTTCGGGGGCCGGCTGCCTGCCTCGCTGCCTCCGCGGGCCTCATCCTTGGGCCCTTGCCTGGGTCTCGGGGCAGAGCCACCACCTGCCGTGGTATCCCCTCGACCTCCAGCGGGGAAGCGTGGCTCTGGCTCATGGAGGGACCCCCAGAAGCCATCTAGTCCAACCCTCTGCAATGTGGGAATCACAACTAGAGAATCCCTGACAGAGAATCCCCTGTTTAACACCACCCACCACCTTCCTGGGGAGCCCAATCCACTTTTGAGCAGCTGTTACTGGATGTTTTTAAAGAGAGGGGGAATAATAATAATAATAATAATAATAATTTTTTATTTATACCCCACCCATCTGGCTGAGTTTCCCCAGCCACTCTGGGCAGCTCCCAATCGAATGTTAAAAACAATACAGCATTAAATATTAAAAGCTTCCCTAAACAGGGCTGCCTTCAGATGTCTTTTAAAGATAAGATAACTGCTTATTTCCTTGACATCTGGTGGGAGGGTGCTCCACAGGGCAGGCGCCACTACCAAGAAGGCCCTATGTCTGGTTCCCTGTTACATTACTTCTTGCAATGAGGGAACCGCCAGAGGGCCCTCGGTGCTGGACCTCAGTGTCCGGGCTGAATGATGGGGGTGGAGACGCTCCTTCAGGTATACAGGACTGAGGCCGTTTAGGGCTTTAAAGGTCAGCACCAACACTTTGAATTGTGCTCGAAAACATCCTGGGAGCCAATGTAAGTCTTTCAGGACATGTGTTATATGGTCTCGGTAGCCACTCCCAGTCACCAGTCTAGCTACCGCATTCTGGATTAGTTGTAGTTTCCAGGTCACCTTCAAAGGTAGCCCCATGCAGAGCGCATTGCAGTAGTCCAAGCGGGAGATAACTAGAGCATGCACCACTCTGGCGAGACAGTCTGTGAGCAGATAGGGTCTCAGCCTGCGTACCAGATGGAGCTGGTAGACAGCCGCCCTGGACACAGAATTGACCTCCGCCTCCATGAATAGCTGTGAGTCCAGAATGACTCCCAAGCTGTGCACCTTGGTCCTTCAGGGGCACAGTTACCCCATTCAGGACCAGGGAGTCCTCCACACCTGCCCACTCCCTGTCCCCCCAAAAACAGCACTTCTGTCTTGTCAGGATTCAACCTCAATCTGTTAGCCGCCATCCATCCTCCAACCGCCTCCAGACACTCACACAGGACCTTCACCGCCTTCACTGGTTCTGATTTGAAAGAGTTACAACTGGGTATCATCTGCACACTGATCCATCCAACAGGGATTCTTCAGCAGCTATTCCTGTATTGCAGTGGTTAGACTAGAGGACCTTCAGGGGTCCCTTCCAACTCTACTATTCTATCCTCCTGTTATTCCAGCAGGGCTGGTGGAGAAGAAGAACGCCAGAGTGGGCGCTCGTGGCCAGGTCTGCCTGGCCCCTCTTCTGCCCTCCTTCGCAGGTCCCAATCCAGCCTCCTCCTCCCCTGCCAAGAGAGGAGAGTTGAAGATCCCCTGTATGCATGGAGCAAGTTTTGTGTGTAATTCCTCTTAAACCTATTAGTGGATGAATGCAGAAGACTGACTTGGGAGGATTAAAGCCTTTAAACCCATAGCAAGGGCTGAACACCTGCCATCACTTCAGAGTGGAGGGAAAAAGTGGCCTTCCTGGAAAGGCAGGTGGGGGGGGAGGCTCCTCCACTGCCTGTTCGCTTGTGCAATAGTGCAAGGAAGAAGCTGCAGCCCAGCCAGTGGGCAAGGGCAACAAAACCAGCCGCATCGCAGGGCCATTCTACAAAGAGCATGCGCCACCTCCAAGAAAACTCTGTATAGAGGCATCTGCACACAGTCTCCTTCCCAAGGCCTCTCTTGGTCGGAATCTCTGACCCACCCCATAAAAATAAAAGAAGAGTGCTGGATCAGGCCAGGCCAGCATCCTGTTCTCACAGTGGCCAAGAAGATGCCTCTGTTGGGAAACCAGCAAACAGGATCCGAGCACAAGAACAACTCTCCCGTCCTGGAGAGAGCTGACATTTGTCATCATCATCATCATCATCATCATCATCATCATCATCTTATTTATTTATTTATGCATACATACATACAGTGGACACTTGGGTTGTGAACGTGGTCCGTGCGGGAAGCACATTTGCAACCCGCAGTGTCCGCAACCTGCAGTGCCGCATCTGTGCACGCATGGATTGCAATTCGGTGCTTCTATGCATGTGCAAAGCACAATTTAGCACTTCTGCGCATGCACAAGTGCCGAAATCCAGAAGTAACCCATTCCGGTACTTCCAGGTTCGGCGCCGTGCACAATCCAAAATCGTGCAACCCAAAGCATCTGTAACCCGAGGTATGACTCTACATACATACATACATACATACATACATACATACCCTGCATACCTGGCTGGGTTTCCCCAGCCACTCTGGGTGGCTCCCAACAGAATATTAAAAACAATAAAACATCAAACATTTAAAAACTTCCCTAAACAGGGCTGCCTTCAGATGTATTCAAAAAGTCAGATAGTTGTTTATCTCCTTGACATCTAATGGGAGGGCATTGCATATGATGGGAGCCACTACCGAGAAGGCCCTCTGCCTGGTTCCCTGTAACCTCACTTCTTGCAGGGAGGGAACAGCCAGAAGGCCCTCGGAGCTGGATCTCAGTGTCCGGGCTGAACGATGGAGGTGGAGACGCTCCTTCAGGTGTACTGGGCTGAGACCGTTTAGGGCTTTATAAGTCAGCAGCAACACTTTGAATTGTGCTTGGAAACGTACTGGGAGCCAATGCAGGTCTTTCAGGACTGGAAGCATAGCTTCCTCCGAGGCAGAGCAGAGCCGTTCTGGCTAGTAGCCATTGATCGCCGTCTCCTCCTCCACAAATGTGTGCGACGCTCTTTTAAAGCTCTTACTGTCAGAAATTCCCCCTGATGTTTAGTCTGAATCTCCTTTCTTGTAGCTTGAAGCCATGCCATGTAGATTCTATTTTTTAAAAAATATATCTTCATTAATGTAAAATACACTTATGAAAAACAGACGTACATACAAGTAAACAAGCATACAATCAAACAAACAAATAACAGGAAAATCAAACAAACCATCACACTATAAGATATAAGACGATTAATATAATTATCATCATATATACTCCTGGTATTGAACAGAATTATAAAATTTATAGAAAAGAAATTTAAAACTGACTTCCAGTTAATTTCACTGTACTTTGTCTATGTATTACTTTATACCGCACAGTTACATATTTCTTATGTAATTTCTTTTTATCTCCCTACAAACTTATGTTTATACAATACAGGGATCAGTCTAATTCTGCCAAGATGTTTCCTTTTATTCCATAGTTTTCTAAATATTCTTTAAAGATTCTCCAATCCTTAGAGACTTAAAATCCTTAAAGCAATTTCATTGAATCGCAGAAGGGTAGAGTTTCTGACACTGAGAGCCGTTGGACAGTGGAACTGTCTCCCTCTGGAGTTTGTAGACTCTCCTTCCTTGGAGGTTTCCTAGAAGAGGTTGGATGGCCATCTTTCATGGATGCTTTGGCTGGGATTCCTGCATCGCAGGGGGTTGGACTGGATGACCCCGTGGGTCCCTTCCAGCTGTACAATTCCATTATTTGAATTCTGTATTTGTTGCCTCTCCACAGCTAGGCTGTCTCCTTGGCACCCCGCCAGGCAACGGCAGAGGCCTTTGCTGTGCCTCCTCCTCCTCCTCCACTGGCTGTTTCTGCTGCTAATTGAGCATGGAGAAGGGAAGGCGGCTGAGCCAAGCTTTTCTCTCCCCCGCTGGGGCAAGCATGCCGGCTTGGTCTGCCTAATTCCCCAGCAAGTTCATTAAGCAAAGGCCCCGGAGCAAGTTATTCCAAGCGAAGATTTGCTGCCTTGCATCCAGTGGGAAGGAGGGCTTGCTGGGGAAACGGGGCGATCTCCTGCTCCGATGTTCTGACTAGAGCTCTTGCCTGCATTTGCAATGAGATTCCGGTTCGGAATGTGAATCCGTCCAGCAAACAATGCTCTGTTATCTAACAAGCACAGCACAGTTTGCCGGGAAAAGAAACCTTTCCAGTCAAATGTGACCTGGCACAAGCCCCAGAAGCCAACAGCCAGCAAAGCTGGTTTTAGGAGATGGATATGTTTAGCCTGGGATGTGGGTGGCGCTGTGGGTTAAACCACAGAGCCTAGGGCTTGCCGATCAGAAGGTCGGCGGTTTGAATCCCCATGACGGGGTGAGCTCCCGTTGCTCGGTCCCTGCTCCTGCCAACCTAGCAGTTCAAAAGCACATCAAAGTGCAAGTAGATAAATAGGTACCGCTCTAGCGGGAAGGTAAACGGCATTTCCGTGCGCTGCTCTGGTTCGCCAGAAGTGGCTTAGTCATGCTGGCCACATGACCTGGAAGCTGCACACCGGCTCCCTCGGCCAGTAAAGCGAGATGAGCGCCGCAACCCCAGAGTCGGCCAAGACTGGACCTAATGGTCAGGGGTCCCTTTACCTTTTTTATGTTTACCCTGGCAAAGAGGAGACTGAGAGGTGATGGGAGAACCATCTTTGACTATCCAAAGGGGTGTCACAATGGAAGATGGAACAAGCTGGTTTTCTCTTGCTCTAGAGGGGAGGAGCTGAACTAATGGATTCAAATTTCAAAAAAGGAGATTGCAACTGGACATGAGGGTGTTCTTTCTGACAAGGGGTGGAATAGGTGACATTCAGGGGTCCCTTCCTACACAATGATTATATGTCTCTAGGAGTTTCTTTCCTCTTTGAGTGCTCCCCCCCCAATTTTCCCCAAACATTTCATGGGGTTGTCCTCCCCGCCCCAATCAAGACCACAAGACCCCTCTTTCTTGTCCCACATGTACATTACACACACAAAGCTAAACACCACCAATGCCCATTGTGAGGTGGGAAAAAACTCCCCTCCTCCATAAAGGTGATTCCCCCCATCCACCTACCCCGCCCAAAAGTTGTAATCACTCAGCTAATTATGAGCTTAACTTAAAGGAGCTACCTCTGCCACTTTTCACCTTGGCTTGGCTTCCAGGGACCCGCAGAGCTCAGAAGACCTTTCACTCCATCCTCTCATTGAGGGCCTCCACAAATGTGTGTCTCAGCACTAAGCATCTGTGATGGTATTGACACTGTTGTGGGTTGCGAGGGTCCATCTGGCTTGGGGCCCTGCACCTGGGGAGGGCTAGACTGTAATAAAGGAAGTGGCTGAGATGGTCAGGCAAGTTCCTTTTGTAAGGCAATGGCCTTAGCTGGCCCCTTAAGTGTCTGCATCAGCATCCCAAAAGAAGGAGCCAGGTTGCAAGAGCTACAGTGGAGTGGCAGTGCCCTCCAAGCTAATGGGTGGGCCTTCCCTCCCACCTCTCACCCTCTCCTAGCTGCTAGGTAGAACAAGTGCCAGAGAGAGCTAGGCTGGCAGCTGGAGACCCAGAGACCAGCTTGCTCTGGGCTGGATCCAAAGCTGTGACGAATGGAGAAGGAAGATCTCCTGCGGTGTTGATGCTGAGACCCTTCCATCCTATACTCAGGTTGCAAATTAAACCATCTATTCTGAAGACACCGCAGTCTCCACTGACCTTCGCTCCAACCTGTTGGAATGTTCAGGGATGCAGGAGAGGATATATTGTCTGATTATAGCCTTTCCAACTTGTGTTAACAAGTTCACAGTTTAGCAGAGTAACATTCCCCTTTTTAAACTTGCAGCGGATGCGTTTGCTCAGGCTCACTAAAGCCTCTATTCTGGTATTTCCCCCTTATTCCATCATAAAATATAAGACACTGTCTTCTATAAAAGTATAAAAAGGTTTACTCACACATCATTCTGTTCACAATAGGATCCCAGAAGGCAGACGTAGCTTAGAAAAGTAACATATACCTAGAAACTATCTAATAAGGAGACAGTCTCTTTGTTCTCTCTCGGCTGGAAGCATCTTTGGTTAAGCAGATGTTGCTTTGATGCATGTAGTCAAAAAGAGAGAGATGGCTGCCCTGCCCTGTGCTTTTGTCGTTACCTGCACAAGTGAGGCCACGCCCACCTCTAGCCACATGCAGATGAGTCTGTCCCAGCCCAGAAGGAAACAGGAAGTTTACCTGCTGGCTGGACAAACCTTCCTCCCCATGTGTAAACATGTTCACTCTAGGAATGTTGTACTTGACTGCTCTTGTGTTTCACATCCCACACAACCTGGGTAAGTGCCTGGAACCCCTGGAGTCTCTCACTGCTCGAAGATTGGGGTGGCAGGTCACAATACTTTGAGGTTCTCCAGGGACAACAATCTTTCATTCTTATTTAGCATCTTCAAGGGATGCCAATTTGGGGCACGGATGCAGGTGTCTTTTAAATGTTCAGGTGCACACAGGAGGTTTCTCACTTCGAAAAGCAAATCCTGCGAATGACAGCAATTCAAGGGAGGGACAGAGCCAGGCTCTGACTTGAGCCCCTTCCCTCTCCTTCCATTTCCCTGCAGGGCTTGGACTGGAGAAAGGGAAGGAGCCAATTTATTGCCTCTTTGTTTGGGGCCATATTTTCTTGTCTCCAGTTGTAAGCAGATTTGACTAAAGAGGTAAATTAGAAGTTAATTAGTGGAAGCATGATTGATCGAAGCACTTGGAGGCGAGGGGTGAGGAAGCGGAAGGCAGGGAAGGGAGGGAAGTGGCCTGGCCACTGTTGTTGCTCCTGCCCATTTGCACAGCAGCTGTTGCGCTTGCTTGGGGGGCAATGGGTGTCATTTGGAAACCCTCTTGTTGCAGACCCTCCCTTTGTGAAGCGATGGGAGAAGAAGAGGAGAAGAAAAAGGGCTCCTGTATGCAGAATGCCACAGGGTGTGATGGCCTGGGAATCCGATTCAGAGGCTGAACCAGAGGAATCCCAGCCTGCACAGGGGTCCCCGCCTCCAGGGTCGGCTCAGTCGGGGCTGGGGCTTGAACCTGAAGGGCCCTCACCTGTGCCGGATCCTCAGGAGCAGACACCAGATGTATCCACTCTGGCTCCGGAGGTGACTGAGGACCCATTGCCTGCAGGTGCGCCTCTCCCAGCCCTGTCAGGGGAAGGTGAGGTTGCCCCTGGGTCCAGTAACCCTCCAGCCTCTCCTGAGCTGCAGAGGCTCAGGGCAGAGAGGGGGAGGGAACTGGGTTCTCTCAGGAGGAGAGCTCGCCTTAAGGCCAGGAGAGGCGGGTCACCTGTGGGCTGGGACTGCCCCTGGCCTCAGAGGAGATAAAGGCCAGTCAGCCCAGTCCCAGGTTGCAGGAGCAACGACATTGGAAACCTGTTCCTGGCAGCACCCTGACCTGCTCTCCTGAGTTCCTGACCACGCCCAACTCCTCACTTTGGACCTTGCTTCGCCCCTGACGGACAGCCTCCTTACCCTTGACCTAGGACTGGACTTAGACCATGCCGCATGGTAACCCCCACCCCCGGGACCAGCACACAGGGGCTGCAAAATCCCAGCTCTTGCTGCTTGTAAATGATCACATTTATAACATGACTGTCGCCTTAAAAAAAATAGTTCAAGGTGAACACATGCAGTTACTGCTGGATTTTCAGTTTTGCACACCTATCCACGGAATGGATGGCACGAGGCTCCCCTCATATTCCAGCCTCTGTCTTTCTTGCACAGTGACCAGGGTCAGCAGAAGTCTACAGAGAGCTGTAGTCTGACTATAGCTCCCATCAATGCTTAGCACATTGGCCAAGGCAGATAGGAGCTATAGTCCAACCATTTCCAGAGGGCAACAGGTTGGGAAAGGCTGGCCAAAGGTGCCCCTCGCTCCTGCCCCTCCCTTGTTCCTCAGCACCATGGGATCTCAACTTGTGGGTCCCCAGATGTTGTTGGACTACAACTCCCATCATCCCTGAGCTCTGGCCTTGCTAGCTAGTTGTAGTTCAACAACAACTGGGGACCTACAGGTTGAGAAAGGCTACCTAGGCGCTCTCTCTCTCTCTCTCTCTCTCTCTCTCCCCCCCCCCCCGTGTGTGTGTGTGTGTGTGAGAGAGAGAGAGAGAGAGAGAGAGAGAGAGAGAGAGAGATGTTAGATTGGTCAAGGAGGGTAGCTGGTTTGGCCTTTGGATAGGTGGAACTTTGGTGGTCATAGAATCATAGAATCATAGAATCATAGAGTTGGAAGAGACCACAAGGGCCATCGAGTCCAACCCCCTGCCAAGCAGGAAACACCATCAGAGCACTCCTGACATATGGTTGTCAAGCCTCTGCTTAAAGACCTCCAAAGAAGGAGACTCCACCACACTGCTTGGCAGCAAATTCCACTGTCGAACAGCTCTTACTGTCAGGAAGTTCTTCCTAATGTTTAGGTGGAATCTTCTTTCTTGTAGTTTGGATCCATTGCTCCGTGTCCGCTTCTCTGGAGCAGCAGAAAACAACCTTTCTCCCTCCTCTATGTGACATCCTTTTATATATTTGAACATGGCTATCATATCACCCCTTAACCTCCTCTTCTCCAGGCTAAACATGCCCAGCTCTCTTAGCCGTTCCTCATAAGGCATCGTTTCCAGGCCTTTGACCATTTTGGTTGCCCTCCTCTGGACACGTTCCAGTTTGTCAATGTCCTTCTTGAAGTGTGGTGCCCAGAACTGGACACAGTACTCCAGGTGAGGTCTGACCAGAGCAGAATACAGTGGCACTATTACTTCCCTTGATCTAGATGCTATACTCCTATTGATGCAGCCCAGAATTGCATTGGCTTTTTAGCTGCCGCGTCACACTGTTGGCTCATGTGAAGTTTGTGGTCAACCAAGACTCCAAGATCCTTTTCACAAGTACTGCTCTCAAGCCAGGTGTCCCCCTCTAGTATTTGTGCCTCTCATTTTTTTGCCCAAGTGCAATACTTTACATTTCTCCCTGTTAAAATTCATCTTGTTTGTTTTGGCCCAGTTCTCTAATCTGTCAAGGTCGTTTTGAAGTGTGATCCTGTCCTCTGGGGTGTTAGCCACCCCTCCCAATTTGGTGTCATCTGCAAATTTGATCAGGATGCCCTTGAGTCCATCACCCAAGTCGTTGATAAAGATGTTGAATAAGACCGGGCCCAAGACAGAACCCTGTGGCACCCCACTAGTCACTCTTCTCCAGGATGAAGAGGAACCATTGATGAGCACCCTTTGGGTTCGGTCAGTCAGCCAGTTACAAATCCACTGATTGGTAGCATAGTCAAGACCACATTTTACCAGCTTCTTTACAAGAATATCATGAGGCACCTTGTCAAATGCCTTGCTGAAATCAAGGTAGGCTACATCCACTGCGTTCCCTTCATCCACCAGGCTTGTAATTCTGTCAAAAAACGAGATCAGGTTAGTCTGACATGACTTCTTTTTCAGAAATCCATGCTGACTATTGGTGATCACAGCATTCCTTTCTAGGTGCTCACAGACTGTTTGCTTAATGATCTGCTCCAGAATCTTCCCTGGTATTGATGTCAGACTGACTGGGCGGTAATTATTTGGGTCCTCTCTTTTCCCTTTTTGAAAATAGGGACAACATTTGCCCTCCTCCAGTCTGCCGGGACTTCGCCTGTTCTCCAGGAATTCTCAAAGATGACGGCCAGTGGTTCTGAGATCACATCTGCCAGTTCTTTTAATACTCTTGGATGCAGTTCATCTGGCCCTGGAGACTTGAATACATCTAAACTAGCCAAGTATTCTTGTACTATCTCCTTAGTTATTCTGGGCTGTGTTTCCTTTGCTGAATCATTTGCTCCAAATTCTTCAGGTCGGGCATTGTTTTCTTTATCGGAGAAGACTGAGGCAAAGAAGGCATTGAGGAGTTCAGCTCTTTCTGTGTCCCCTGTTTGCATTTCACCATCTTCTCCTCTGAGTGACCCCACTGTTTCTTTGTTCTTCCTTTTGCTACGGACATACCCATAAAAGCCTTTTTGTTGCTTTTAACCTCTCTAGCAAGCCTGAGTTCATTCTGTGCTTTAGCTTTTCTGACTTTGTGTCTACACGTGCTGGCTATTTGTTTGAATTCCTCTTTGGTGGTTTCCCCCTTTTCCATTTTTGTACACATCCTTTTTAATCTTAACTCAGTTAAAAGTTCTTTAGATAGCCACCCTGGCTTCTAGGCACCTTCCATGTTTCCGTCTCATTGGTATTGCCTGACGTTGTGCTTTTAGTATCTCCCTCTTAACAAACTCCCAGCCATCATGAACTCCCTTTCCTTTTAGTATTACTGTCCATGGGATCTCACCCAGCACTTCCCTAAGTTTTATGAAGTCGGCTTTCTTAAAGTCAAGAAATTGAGTCCTAGTATGCTTGGCTGCTCCTTTCCGCTGTATAGTAAACTTCAGAAGAGCATGATCACTTGCGCCTAATGATCCTTCCACTTCTACCCCACTAACCAGGTCATCAACATTGGTTAGGACCAGATCTAAAATGGCTGTTCCTCTTGTTGCTTCTCCCACTTTCTGGACAATGAAGTTGTCTGCAAGGCCAGTGAGGAATCTGTTTGACCTTATGCTCTTGGCTGAGTTTGACATCCAACAAATATCCGGGTAATTGAAGTCCCCCATTACTACTATCTCCCTTCCTTTGCATGCTTGGCCATCTGTTCCAGGAAGGCATCATCTATGTCCTCCGTTTGGCTTGGGGATCTATAGTAAACTCCCACAATGAGGTCACTGTTATTCTTCTCTCCCTTAATTTTGACCCAAATGCTCTCACTTTGGCTTTGAGGTTCTAAATCTTGGATCTCTTCACAGGTATACACATCCCTGACATATAACGCCACTCCTCCTCCTTTCTTGTCTGGTCTGTTTCTCTGAAATAGATTGTATCCCCCATTATTACATTCCAATCGTGGGACTTATCCCACCAGGTTTCAGTGATGCCTATTATGTCATATTTAGTTTGCTGTACCAAGAGCTCAAGCTCATCTTGTTTATTTCCCATGCTTTGCGCATTAGTGTACAGACATTGAAGTCCATTAATCATTCCCCGTGACTCTTATTTAAGGATTTTTTCCTCCCACCACTAGGTCTGTGTGCTGTTTGCTCCATTTGGTCTATGACATTTGGATGATCATCTTCATCAATTGATAGACTCCTACCTTCAGGAGCACTATCTCCCTCCCCACATTAGTCAGTTTAAAGCCCTCCTGATGAGGTTTCTGAGATTTTGGCAAAAACATTTCTCCCAACCGTTGTGAGGTGCAGCCCATCGCTTGCCAGAAGTCCATCTTCAAGAAACTGCAGTCCGTGATCTAAGAATCCAAACCGTTCCTGTTTACACCATTTGCGAAGCCAGCTGTTCACTTCCACTATTTTCCCCTCTCTCCCTGGGCCACGTCGTTCAACTGGGAGGACAGATGAGATCACAATTTGTGCATTTAATTGCTTCAATTTCCTGCCCAGAGCCTCGTAGTCTCTTTTGATCTTCTGGAGGCTATTGCTTGCAGTGTCATTGGTTCCCACATGAACCAAGAGGAAGGGGTATTTGTCAGTGGGTTTTATGATTCCTTGCAGTCGTTCAGTTACATCTTGGATCTTAGCCCCGGGAGACAGCACACTTCCCGAGACATCTTGTCAGGCCCACAGATCACTGCTTCTGTTCCCCTCAGTAGGGAATCCCCTATCACCACTACACGCCTCCTCTTAGGTTTGGCCGGGGTTCTTCTGTGAGCTGTCCGCTCCAAGGTCGCCTGCACATTCCCTGAGGACTGACTTTGCTGCTTTGAGCGAGTAACAAAAATTGACTCTGTGATCATCATACAGCCTTGAGAAAATTAAAAACAAGCCCAAACAGATCTGAGTATTTGCCTTGTCACTGCTTTTAGCCTTCTCTTGTAAGGAGGTGATGGGCCACACTTTGTGGTTGCTTTTCACCAAGGAAACTCTGCTTGCCAAAAAGCATCAAGGGACAAATTATTAACTCCTTCCGTCCTGTTGCAGGGAGTTGGACTGGGTCCGTTCCAACTCTACAGTCCTACGATTCTGTATCCTTTGGCCCCAATCAGATGCTCGAATCTCCTTCTCCAGCTCTGAACGTTTGTGGAACAGCGCGTTCCAATCTCCATGGCAAACTGGCTTAGCAAAGCCTCTCTGTCAGCAAAGGAAGGCTTAGCTCTGTTTTGCAGGAGCAGAGGCAGCTACAGACGACTCTTCTCCCTCCTTTCCAGTGCCAGACTTTTGAACAGAGGGCCCGTCTACCGGGTCTAGACTAAACACTGAGTGGGTGGTTCTGGAAGGGCTTGGATCCAAAACAGGCAGCCTCTAGGAGTTCCTGCCCTTTTCTTGAGTAAGCCACAAATTTAGGCCTAAAGCGACAAATAAGAGGCCTGTGTGCTCACACACAAACACGCTGTTATGGAAATTAAAGTTGTTAAATGTTACAAATATTATGCCTGAATGTATCCTTTCGACTTGACAGCTCAGGGAAGATACCTAGCTTTATAAATCATGTAAAATCAACTCCTTTGCCAGTTTCCTCCATTTCAGCGCTATTTTGCCCTTGGAAAAATGGACTCTTTTCCCTGCCACCTCCCCAAGCGTGAAGACATGAATACACACCTCCTACCCCAGGAAGTGCCCAGAGGTGACAATTGCTGAGCTGATTGTTGGCTAAGGAAAGCCTAACCCCATCACCGGACTTGCCTAGGGGTCCAGACGTGCAAAGGAGGTTCTATTGTACTTTGGGTGGTGGGACTTCAGAGGTGTTTGCCTATGCTAATCTTATACCTGGGTCTTGCCCATATGCTAATATTGTACCAAGGACTTGTCTGGACAAGGCTGAAGCCTCTCTGTCTACTCCTCCCCTTTTGTGACATGTCAGTGATGTAGCAATGATGCTGTACGAACTATATTCTGGTGGGAAGTTTTAAAAGTTAATGTCGCCCCATACTCTGGGTTCACTCGCTGCTGTTGAACCTGTTGTGGATCTAAGTCTACTGACTGCTGTTTTGCTCCAAATTGCTTAGCAGGAATTTCCTTCTTTTACTGACCACATGGACCTGTGGGGGACTGGTACCCCAACGAGCTGGGCTGCTGAGTAGTCTCTCAACCCAGAATTTTCCCTATCACACGTACACAGAGACA